TTGTGGCTGTAAGGCTGTTTCCAATCTTGGTCGAACTCAAGCTAATCCACATAGTCGTTCTTGACGGTACCTCTTGTAGTCCTACACAGTTTCCTCGCGTGGCAGTATAACAAAGTTGCTGGATATATAAGCCAGAAGGCGACGCTCCATACCGCGTGCACCTACGTCCTGCGATTAACAACTCTTATTTGGCTGGGATCTAGCGTGGCAGGGTTGGTGGTGGTTTCGCAACAGGCATACTGTCTCCCTGATTCTGCTGGCGGCAGCTTTTGGAAAGTTGGCGTCAGCTGTGCTCTCCATCGAGCCGTGGTCATTGTTTCAGTCTTATCATTGTAAGTTGATGGTGCTAATGGCTATGTGTATCCACTGACCGTTAAACAGCATCACTGTTTGTCTCTATTTTTGCTCTAGAGAGCTCTGCCAGCGCCCGTATGATGTTTCATTGCTTGGTGTCTACCGTCACCAGCATTCAAGAAGCCGGGATGGCAGTGTCCTTTCAGGCTCCACTCTACAAAGCGAAAAAAGCCTGAAGCGTGACATTCTATGTGTCTGCCGCCATCACGACATCACGTACGGCCGAGCTCCATATATACCACCAAGTGATCACAGTGGAGAATCCGGAAGCATTCCCAGCATACAGCAACCTATGCCGATACGTCCAACGTCTTTTCTATCTGGCCTCGGTCCAGACTCAGATAGCGAAGCTGGATACCTGACAGGAACAACTGCCACGTCTGGCACGCTCTCTGACTCTTTCCAAAACAGTGTCTCTCGCACGTCCTCTACTGCGACTGCGCAGACCAACCTTCAAGCTCATAATCAAATACTCTCTGAGCTACCGGCTGCAACGCTGCAGCAACATTCAAACCATACAAAAAATCAGTCTTCAGTATCCTCTCTTCGCCGATTTCTGCCAAAATCCCTCCCTATATCGGTGCCCTTGTCATCAGATCCTCAAATACGCGCACTCGCTGAGGCAAACGCCCAGGTGGACCTCGAGAAGCAGGAGCCTCAGAGCAACGAATCTGCTGCAGAAAAGTCTGAGCCGTCAGCGTCTCCAGCAAAGCCACCACAGCAGCCCGAAAAGGATGAGCAGCCGACCACTCAATCCCCCCAAAACACTCAACCAAGCACATCCACCACTTCCCTTCCAAGGTCAACGACATCGAATTCCGCAGAAGCCCCCGAAGTCGTCACACCTGCTCCCCTCAAAATCCGCAGATCCCACACCACACAAACCGTTCCTCTTCCTCTCAATTCCAACCCTGTCCCCTACAACTGGGCCAATCTTCCTGACCACACTCCGCCAAAGCCACTACGCATCAACACAATGCACAACCCACGACGACAGGGCCACTTCGACCCCCATCACATGCCCCGCTACACACAAAGCCAGCGCTTCCCCCCAGGCCGGAATTTCTACAGCCGTCGGAACCAATCAAAAGTCCCCGGTGTCGCATACCAACACCCCGGCCCACGGCGGCCACGCAGTACTATTGGCAATGTGAGCATCGCCTCGGTATCGGGTCATCTTGACTGTATTCGAGAAACTGGTGCGTCGATTGATGAATTGCCGCCAGATAACAGGAGAATACCCGGTGGTAGGAGACAGGGCTACTAGGCTATGTTGGCTAGTTACTCTGCAGGACAGATACTTGAGCGTATCCTAGGTGAAGAAGTGTGACGTCACGTACGGTCGGTGGCGTGGTTCACAATTCAATTCAATTTTTTTTCTTTTTTTTTCCTTTCCAGTCAAGTTTTATTATGGCACAGGCTTAATTATCGTTACATGATAGCGGGAAAATACCACCTTAGGATTTAGATTTCTGCAATTTTACATATGCATATTTCAAAGGCTGTTTTGTGTCACTTTATATCATACAGCGAATCTGCTATCAAATTCCAAAACATCTAATGATTCCTCTAACGCCATAAGCCTAGCCATCCTAACCATGTCCCAGAGCCCTAACTAATAAACCCCTCCAACAGCACCGTACGCACCAAAGTCATCCCGAATAATAAAACACAGTAGTCAAGAAAGCAGAGGGTAAAACAATAAGTTGGACCTCGGAGGCTATATAATATACCTGCCCGGTTAAGTCCTTTTCACGTATTTATACCGATACGGCTGTCTCCGCTTTCCGTCCTCGTCTACATTCTCTTTGTCGTTCTTGTCCGCTGCAGGTTGGCTGCTATACTTACTCTTACTATCCTTATCACGGGGATTCTCCTTCTCTCCCCATGTCCATAGCAGAGCCTTACCCATTCTCTCGCGCTCCTTTAGAAGTAACTCAACACGGCGCTCCCACTCGCGCTCGCGCTTCTCAACGGATTTGGCAATGCGCAGGTCCATTGCGGCGGCGGTTTCGTCTTTGGATGTGATGATGCCGCGGAGGCGTTTGATCTCGGCGCGGAGGGACTTGACTTCGTCCTTGTGCGCGTTCTCTTTATCCTCATCGCCGTTGCTGTTTTGACTTTGGGGCCTCGTTTGGTCTTGGGCTAGTTCAGCGCGGAGGTCTGCTTCGCGCTTTTCAGAGGCGGCGAGGAGGGCACGCAGTTTGCGTGTTGAGTCGGCGTGTGCGGAGCGGATGGTGGAAATTGCTGTTGAGTGTGCGGTTTTGAGGTTGGCAATTTGGGCTTTGTGAGTTGTCTCCAGGTTTGAGTTTGCATGAGGCGTTACCGGAGGACTGGGCTGCTGTGTCTGGGCCCGAGTTTGAGTTTGCCGGGTTTCTTGGAGGCGTTCGATGGTCTCTAAGGCTTCAGAGTATTGTGTGCGGAGACGGTTGAGATCATCGTGGGTTTTATCGAATGTAGATTTGAGTTCCTCTGTTTGTTTGGTGAGTCGTGTGTTCTCTGCCTCGACGGATTGGATGAGGAGTTGGGATTCTGCAGCTTGATCGTGGGCACGCGATAGTTGCGCCTCTAGGGTTTTGTTGGTTGTGGCTCGTTCGCTTGATTCAGAGCGCAGTTTTGTTAGCTCTTCGAATATCTGTTCTAGTTCCTGGTCGCCGCTGTCTCTAGGTTTTGCGGGACGGCTAGTGTTCGGCGGGCCCAAATCTTTGATTAACTCGAGAATTTCACTATATGTTCCTCCTGGGGTATCATTTGGCAAGTCTGCTGCCATCGCTTTTAAGGCGTTCTCCTGTGCCGTTACCTGTGATTGAGCGCGGGTCAAGTCGGCTGCAAGAGTGCTGTTTTTCTCCTCTAATGGGCGATTCTTGGTTTCGAGCAAGACCATTTGATCTTCAAGAACCCGGTATTCCCGGTGAGTGCGCGAGACGTCCATCTCGAGCTTGTCCATTTCCACACGCTGGGAGTCGACTTGGCCACGGAGCCTGTCAATGTCTGTATTCTTTTCGTGTAGCTGTAGCTCTTTAGCTGCAGTGACGTCTTTCAGTTTCGCAATAGTCTCGTCGAGAGTTGTATCCCGCTTTCTCAATTGCTCCTGAGTCATCGATAACTGTTGACGCAGCATCGCGATTGTCTCTAGTCGCTCGGCATCGATGCCCGTATTGGAGTTGTGTGTTTGCATGTCTCTTTGCATGTCAGCGATCTGCTTCTGAAGGGTATTGAACTCGGATGTGTTGACAGAGGATCTTCGTGATCCGGCCCTATCTACATGGCCTTCTTGAAGCTCTTCTAGGAGGAGATCCTTTCTCTGCAGCTCGGCGCGCAGATGCTTGATCTCTTCCCCGGCGGAGGCTGCTTCAAGAACGCGCTTTCGATTTTTCTCTAGTTGATCATCACGGTCTTTAATGGCCTGCATCAACTCGGAAATTTGCCGCCGTAGGTCCTCGTCCGTCTGTCCCACATCTTTGTTGGTCGGCGACTTTGGCTTACGAGCAGTTGGCGTTGCTACCAGACTCGCTTCATCATCGGAACCTTCTTCGATATCTTCGAGGTGCGTCACTTCTCGGGTAGGGGCCACATCGCGGCGCAACAAATGCGATGGAGTAGACATGTCGACCGGAGGTCCAAATTCGCTGTACTCGCCAAGCTCTGCCTCATCTTCCACTGCCGGTTGTTGCGACTGGGTCGTACCTGATCGGACAGGCTGTTCATATTCCTGAGGTTGAGGCAGCTCTAGCTCGCTATTTAACGCTTCCTGAGGTTGTGGTTGTTCCTGGTCCCTCTCCTCGTCAATGCCCTGGTCTACCGAATCCTCCTCCCCAAGTAGATAGCGTTCCAGATTGGCGGTAAAATCCTCGGGACCACCGACAGCTGATAGCCGATCTGCTTCCTCCTCGATCTCTGGTTGTTCATCTATAGCATCATCCGGTCCGTGTCCACTGGGGAACTGGCTGAAATCGACGGTGTACTGAGCGAGACGCGCATCGAGCTCCCGGGCCGCACGCTCGAGAGAAGCTTCACGAGTAGAAGGGGGCGATCCAGACGGTGATCGGGCCCCTGGGCTACTGACTGGGCTTGGAAGACGGTCGGGCGAGTCGATTGGGGGATGATCAGATGGTGACGGCGAGGAAGGGGAGAAATACGGAGCGGCCATGGTTGATGCGCCGACGGTATCGTGGGTTGTTGTATCGGCCATGGCAGACAATCAACACTTACATGGAGACATCAAAGGGGAAGTAATATGGGAAGTTAAATTGATAATTGCGAAGAGTGAGATGTGAATGTTGAGAGTTGGCGGCAGAAAACGCGACGCGGGGATATGCCTGAAAACACAGGCATCCATTGTTGATGATATGCCGTATCGGGCTAGTTTCATTGCCGCCTCAGTGCCTCAGTTCTCTTCCCTGGGACAACGATGCGATGAGAGGTGGCCGGCAAGAATATTATTAAGAACCATCAAAATGACAAAACAATTGTCTTTGATACCTAGGTGTAACTGGGCTTACTATATTGTGTTTCACAGGTTGGGACTGTTAGGGCTTCAGGGTTGCCGTAGGTTAATTACCCCTCTATGCTTTGCGGTGTACTGCGTAATCTCGAATTCTCACCACTTCATACACTATCAATCAAGCCCATCCAAAACTTGAAAGATGCCTCCAATTCCTCCCCCTTCATACCCTCATCGCATTGTACTCTATCACCAGACATTATGTCCCAACAGAGGACCCTACGTTTCTCTGCTTCCCCTCTTGAACAATCACACAGGCCTCACGCACGTCGTTCTGGCAGCTTTCCATCTCAACGCTCCCAACCCCAACCATATCACTCTCAATGACGACCCCCCTAGTCATTCGATGTATGAAACATTGTGGGCTGAAGTCCCTTTGCTACAGCAGAGCGGTATTAAGGTGATGGCCATGTTGGGCGGTGCTGCGAAGGGCACCTTCTCTTGTTTAGACGGTGACGACGCCCAATTCGAGGAATATTACGTGCCTCTTCTGGCTATGATTCGTCGCCATGGTTTAGACGGCATCGATCTGGATGTCGAGGAACCCATGTCACTGTCCGGCATTATACGCCTTATTGACCGGCTTAAGGCCGACCTTGGCCAGGAGTTTCTCATCTCCCTCGCACCAGTAGCGGCAGCCCTGCTAGGGATTGGAAACCTCTCCGGTTTTAATTATCGTGAGTTAGAAGCACAGCGAGCTGGTAGCATCGCGTGGTATAATGCCCAGTTCTACAACGGCTGGGGACCGGCAGAAGACCCTCGCATGTACGCCGCCATCATAGCGCAGGGTTGGTCACCGACTAGAGTCGTGTATGGCCTCTTAACAAACCCAGGAAACGGCTCTCAGGGATATGTGCCGCAGGAAGTGATAGGGCCTGTCCTAGCTCTGCTGGTGGAACAGTTTCCTAATTTTGGCGGCGTCATGGGCTGGGAGTATTTCAATTCGATGCCCGGGCAAACAGAACGGCCATGGGAATGGGCAGCGCAGATGTCACTGAACATGGGAATGAAAACAGTGCTACAAAAAGCGAAGGATATGCTGATTTCCCGATTGGGCTAGTTTGAAGCTATCCCCGAATGACATCATATGATCGGAGCTGGAGCTTTCTCCAGACTCCGCCTCATCTTCCGCCTCCTCCATTTCTTCCCCATTCATCTTCGGCGCGTGCGATGTAGCATCATGTTAGCCACTACTAGCTCAATTTTCCTCCGTCTCTCGTCCTTCCTCTTTCTTCGTTGGGTAATTTTCCCTTGTCTCCGTGCTACCCCGCATACAATTGCTAATGGGACATTCAGATCCCAGGCCATGTTTTTGTTCCGGTAATCTTCACATCGCTCGCCGTTTATTCGACCTCAATCTACTTCTCCTCAGCTAAAAACAATAACAATGGCGTTATCAAATCACTACTTACTGGGGCTCCCTGTCGTCAGTCATGGGCGACTTGCATCGCCGTCGTGATCAACCTTATTTGCGGACTATTCACCGCAGACTTTCTCCTGCGCGGCTTCCTCTTGTATCCGACCGCGGACCTACGTTTCTCCCGTGTGGGACATATTTCGCATGACTCTGCCCATCTACTACTCAGAGAACCTGATGTTTCTCAGCTTCCGTTGACTGTCTCTTATATGGAGGCCCAATATGGGGATAGCGAGCCTCGGTCATGGATTCAGGCAGCTACAATCGACTCTCTGGGCGAGTCAACAGACTTCACAACAGCAGTCACATTTACCAACTTAAGCCCAGAATCGTCATATCGTTACATTCTGTCCAACAATCAGACTGGCTTCTTCGCCACCAGCCCGGCTCCTGGCTCTGCTGCAGGCAACAAGCTCAGCTTCCTGACCTCTAGCTGCATGAAGCCCAACTTCCCTTACGACCCTCGGCGCCACCCACTGCGTATTCCGGGACTCGATAAGATGACCATGGCTATCACCTCTCTCCCCCATGTTCCGTCATTTATGCTTTTCCTTGGCGATTTCATCTACATTGACGTCCCTCAACGTTTCGGGTCGTCCGTCGATCACTATCGTAGCGAATATCGTCGGGTCTATTCATCCCCCTCCTGGACATGGTTAGCAGCTAATCTTCCGTGGATTCACACTCTCGACGACCATGAGATTGCCAATGACTGGAACTACGGAAACACCACACCCCCATACCCAGCTGCTATAGACCCTTACCTCCACTATCACGCTTCGGTTAACCCTCCAGCACCTGATACCAAGACGGAAAACGTTAAATCTTCATATACGATGTTTACCAACGGCCCCGCTGCCTTCTTCCTCCTCGACACCCGGTCCTACCGTTCCCCATCGGACGAGACTATCCTCGGCAAAGCTCAACTCAACTCCCTTTTGGCTTTCCTCGCCCGCGTAGAACCCCCACACATCCGGTGGAAAATTATCTCATCCAGCGTTCCCTTCACTCGCAATTGGCACGCTGGGACATCAGATACATGGGGTGGGTTCCTCTCCGAGCGCCGTGTCGTCTTCGACGCAATGCGCGCCGCGCAACGAACACTCGGAATCAGAATCGTCCTTCTCTCAGGTGACAGGCACGAATTTGCCGCTACCCGGTTCCCCCCGCTCCCTGACCAGATCCAGACCGCTGAAAAGCAAGAAGATCTTGAGAACGGTGAAGATCTAGTCGAATTCTGTACAGGCCCCCTAAACATGTTCTACCTTCCCGTCCGCACTTACTACCAGTCTGGCCCGGGCGACGTCCCTATCAAATACCTCCCAGATGGGAACACGAAGTACGGCCTCGTCGAGATAGAAGATGCCTCTTTGGATGGCGTGACGAGTTCCGTTCTCACGTACTCGCTTTATATTGACGAGAGCGTGGTTTGGAAATATCGGCTAAGTGTGCCTTTGGGGGTGACGTCGGAGTCTAAGGCCCAGCCTGCTGCGTCGGCGTCAGATACAAAAGGTGTTTCGACGGCAAGATCGTTGCTGCCGCCCGGTGAGGTTCTGGTCGATGAGACCGTTGAGGGGTGGGTGGATGTTATTTCTAGGGTGTTTGGGTGGAATGTTATGATGGTAGACCATCCGAAGAAGGATTGGGTTGTTTGATCAATTTAAGAAAAGATAGGCTCAGTGTCATTTTGCTGTTTGGGGTTGGATAGATAAGATGGGCATATTAACGTGAAAAAAAGTGTTGTTTCTGAGAAAGCAAATAGACTAAATGAACTCCAAACTCCATCAATGCGGACGACTACTCCCGTCATCGTTTAATCAATGTAAGAAAGGGGTAACAATATATCAGCAGAAGGGGGGAAGTAAAGAGGAGGTAAAAAAAAGGCGGGCCTACCGGCCTCGGCCCCTTCCACCACCGCCGCCGCCTCCTCCTCCCATACCACCCATCAAGCCGCCCATTTGGCTCATCATCGACTGTAAGTCCATCCCACCTAGCCCTGGAAGTCCGCCGCCGCCGCCGCCCTGGCCTTGCAGCATCTGCATCATCTTCGTCATATCGCCCATCCCGGGCATGCCTCCCATACCGCCACCTCCACCCATCGACGCCATTCGTTTCTGCATAGCAGCCAGCTGCTGGTCCTTGTTGCCACCTTTGAGCATATTTTGTGCGCGCTGCATCTGCTTCTTCTGTCCACCAACACGCTTCGCCATCCCGGCCATCATGCGGTGTTGTGAAAGGAGGTCTTCAACCTCGCGGACTGTTGTACCACTGCCACAAGCGATACGAACCATGCGGCTAGGCTGTTCGACGAATATCTTGCCGTCACCATCAAGCTCGACGGCGGACATACTGTCGAAGATATAGATCATGCGGCGAAGCTTCATGGAGCCGTCCTCATCGTCGAGGCCTGCGGTAAGGTTTGAGAGACCTGGAATCATGCCAGAGAGTTTGGAAAGTGGCCCCATTTTCATAATTGATGTGATGTTCTCACGAAAATCGCGGAGGGTGTAAATGCCCTCTGCAATATGCTTGTAGGTCTCTTTGGCTGCAGCAGAGTCTTTTGTTACAGCTTGAACGTGCTCAACCAGTCCCGCCATATCACCCATCCCAAGAAGTTTTTGGATAAAGGCCTTCGGTTCAAACCTCTCTAAATCCATCATGTGTTCTCCAGTGCCGAGGAAGATGATTGGTGTGTGAGTGGCTGCGACAGCAGAGATCGCACCTCCACCTGCAGCGTGACCATCGGTTTTGGTGATGATGATTGCACCGAAGTCTGCGGTGGCTTTAAAGGCTGATGATTGTACCTCCGCGGACTGTCCAATAGTACCGTCCAAAACAAGAATTGTTTGATCGGGCGTTACAGCCGTCTGGATTTGGGTCATTTCTGTGAATAGCTGCTCCTCTTGCTTGTGACGACCACTAGTATCGACGATAATAATCTCGAACCGCTCCTTCTTGAACTTGGCCACACCCTCTGCTGCTACAAGAGCAGGATCGGTCTGTGTTAAGCTTCCATAGTATGGAATTTTGGCCTTCGTCGCATTTTGCTTCAACTGATCAAACGCACCGGCACGGAAGGTATCCGCACAAACGAGGGCCGTTTTGAATCCGCGCATCTGATAGTGTCGGGCGAGCTTAGTACAGGTCGTCGTCTTACCCGCACCTTGAAGACCAACGAACATGATAATATTCGACCGGCCTTTCTTAGGTCGGAACGGTTCAGCATGAGGGTTAACGAGGGCGACGAGCTCATCGAAGACGGCCTTCTGAATCACTCGTTTCTTATTAACGGCTGCGGGGAGGGAGGCGAAATTGACGTTTGCTTTGATGGACTTGCGGAGTGTCTGAACAAGACGGACGTTGACGTCGGCGGAGAGCAGGGCAGCGCATATCTCTTTTACCATCTCCTCAAATGCCTTTATCTCATTATTAGCATCGCTCAGTAGTTATAAAGTGTAGGCGGGGTGCGCACCTTTTCGTCCAAATTAGGAGACCGAGTCAAGTCATTGACGGCGGCGTTAATACGCCGCCCCAGATCCTGGAGGACCATTGTGCTGGTTTCTGATGATAATAGGTTCCAGTTAACAAAACAAAATTCCCTCGCAGCGAGTTCCTAGCGAAGATAAGAGTAACAAGGTGGTTGCACTGGAAAGCGGCGAAGGCGAAACCGAAGAGGTCAACGTGAGCCCCGCAGCCAATCAAAGCCCGCGGCTGTTTTCCGCCCGCAGAACAGAAAAAAAGTGAAGGCTTCATCCATCCTACAATTCACAAAATACATCAACGAATTCAAACCGGCAGAGCTTCATCATGCCGCTTACAACTAGCCAGAAGAAGAGAAAGGTTCTCGAGGGCTTTCAGGGTAAAACAAGCCGCCCAAACAAGAAGTTCAGAAAGCAGCGCGATTACCACAGCAGCTCCGATGAGGCCGACGATGAGCCCACCGACTTTAAAGCAGTCGATCTTGCAGATTCCGACGAGGAGATAGAGAAAAAGGCCTCAAAAAATGTGAAGACGAGAGAATCGCGAAAACCAGAACCTCAACAAAATCCTCAAAGCGACAATGACGGAGAAGAAGAAGATTCCGCAACCAATGCTTCCTCCGATGCGGACGACGATGAAGACGACGGTGCAGAGTCTGACGATTCCATGCCTGTTGACACAGCAGGAAAACGAGCAATCCCCAAGCGCCACGATCCATCTGCCTTTTCTACCTCTATCTCGAAAATTCTTGCCACGAAACTACCAACATCTGCTCGCGCAGATCCCGTACTATCGCGCAGTCAAACTGCCACACAGACCACCAGTCAAGCGGCGGAAGACAAACTAGACCACCAGGCGCGGGCGAAGCTGCGAGCTGAGAAGAAGGAAGAGCTAGACAGGGGCCGTGTTCGTGATGTTCGGGGTATTTCGAGTGGCCAAGCCGGTGTGGTGGCTGAGGAGGAGAAGCGGCTGCGCAAGGTCGCTCAGCGCGGTGTGGTGAAGCTTTTCAATGCTGTCCGAGCGGCACAAGTACGCGGTGAGGAGGCTGCAAAGGAGGAGCGAAAGAAGGGTACTGTTGGAATGGGTGAGCGAGAGAAGGCCGTCAACCAGGTTAGCAAACAAGGGTTCTTGGAATTGATCAATGGGAAGAAAGGCACACCCCTTAACATCGAAGAAGCGTGACATGCTTGTTTCGTTTTGTTGTTCTAATGGAATCGGTCATATCTACGGCGTTATATGATATCATTGGGAGAAAAGTTATGTACAGTTTATTAGACCGTCTGCTGGTACGCGAAATATTTGAACGGAGATGGGAATACCCTATTTATCTTACACCTACACTACTTAGACGCCAATGTATAGTTTCACCAATATTATACATACCCCCAAAAGATCGTCATTTTATTTCTTTGCTTCAAAATCGCTCGCCTGTAGATTCCGAGTCATTGAGGGCAATCGCACCACTAACCCATCGAGGTCCTTGTTCATCAATACCTGACACCCCAATCGCGATGTTTCCGTCAGTCCGAATGCCAGATCAAGCATGTCATTCTCATCGTCCGAAGGCTCCTCCATTTTATCAAACATATCTGGTTCCTCCACGATAACATGGCAAGTCGAACAAGCGCATGAGCCGCCGCACGCACCTATAAATGGTCCCGATCAGTACGAGCGAAGAATAGTAGGCAAGGATATTTCGAACCTTCCATTTCTAGATCATTGGCTTGCGCAATGTCCAATAAGTTATCACCCTCTGCTACCTGGAAGTCGTACTTTTCGCCGTCCTTGTCAATGAAGGTCACATTGATTCTGGCCAATCAGCGTCTCCGTAATAACAAAATAGGTGGGTGGTTTTTTGGGGGAAACTCACTCCTCACCCGGTTTTGGGGGTGTGATATGGCCATGCTGCATTCTCGTTGCGGCGGAGAAGCACCGGAGTGTACCAGCCTGACCCCAGCGCTGTTGTTTTCGGGAAAAGACCGTTTTCCCTGTGATTATCGACGTTTGGTTTGAGCGGGATACGCGAGGGACTCGTGAGGAATAGCTGAGCAATCGCGCTGACTGGGAGCGACAAGCACGTTCTCCGGCGACTGCATGCCGCAGCACGCTCAGGCCGGCGTCCTTCCAAAGTGCCATAGGAGAGAAGAGGGCAATGAAAATTAATTGGCGAGTCAAAAAGTAGAAGGCGAAAAGAGTGCAAGTCCGTCGTTGTGGTGGGAGTCGCAGAGGTCAGAGGCAAACGGCAAAGAAGCAGGGAAATAAAAATCCCGAGCAAAAGGCGGGAATCTCGGGCTTTCCACGACTTCACGTTTTCGCTCCTCCTCCTCGCCCATCTCCTCTTTCTGCGCCTCACCAACCCTCGCCATCCGATAATAATCATAGTATTCAATTCCGAACATGGCCTCTCGCGATGGTCCAAACCCTCTCCGTCCTTACTACGTCCCCCCGTCGATCGGCCTTGAGCAAGATGAGTTCTCGTTCTCCTCGCCTCCCAATGCATCGTCGGCTCAAGTTTTTGGCGGCTCAGCGCGCGACCTGCTCCCTGACCTAGACTATTCGGACTACCTTGATACTTCACCGTCGGTCTCCGGCTGGGTCCGAGATGCTTTGGACGTCGCGACCAAGCGGTATACTTCCGTTTTAATCGCTCAACCATTCGACGTCGCGAAGACGGTATTGCAAGCATATGTGGTGCCAGATGACTCTCCAGCCAGCCAATTCCCCAAGAGCGACCGGCGGGGATCAGGAATGGGTAGTAGAACTGATTCCTACGATGATATGGGTTCTAATGAAGACGAAGAAGATGTGAGCATCCGCTCCGGTTATCAAGAGGGCTTCTCCGCTGACAGAGTCTATTAGGACCTATCCTCTGACGATGAAAGCAGCTACTTCACCTCCGCAGCACCCACTGTCTCGTCGCCGTCTGCTAGGCGTACACCAAAACCTCGTCATCGGATTACCGACCGCAGCGGTTATATCGCGTCTTCGCCCTCGTCCAAATCCGCCTCCCGACATGCGCTCGCCCTGAAGAACCCTGCGTCATTGATGGAGGTACTTTCTCAGCTCTGGACTACCAGTGGCCCAACATCGCCATGGAAGGCAACCAATGCAACATTTATCTATTCATTGCTCCTCCCGACCCTGAATACATTTATTCGCAGTCTCTTGTCCGCCATTGTTGGGCTACCGGAGGATGACATTACCCCATCCATGGCAAGCGATATTCTCACTTCCACCTCTCCAGCAGCGACCTTGGTTCTATCCTTTATTTCCTCTTCGCTGTCTGCCATGCTCCTATCTCCCATCGATACGGCACGCACATTTCTCATCCTGACTCCCGTCACCCACGGACCCCGCTCTCTTCTTCGCGCCATTCGTCAGCTGCCAACACCCAACTACACTATTCCCCCGCATCTCGTCCCAATCACCATCCTGCACTCAAGCTTGCCGAACTTGATTATCAACAGCACTCCATTGTTCCTCAAATCGTACCTCTCCCTCGACCCCGTCCTAAACCCGTCCGCCTGGAACATACTGAGTTTCATCGGGTCCGGTATAGAACAGGTTGTCCGCTTCCCTCTGGAAACTGTCCTTCGCCGTGCACAAATCTCTACATTCACTTCTCCCAGTATTCGACAAAACTGCGCAGGTCCCGTTCGTCCCACAGCAGAAGATGCAGCAGCTCAAGCCGCACAAGTTGAGACGATCGTGCCGACTCCACAAACCTACCGGGGCGTTATCGGTACAATGTGGAGTATTGTCTACGAAGAGGGCGTTCAGCCCACCCCAGAGGCCCAACGCGCGCAGGAACTACTCAACAAACCTTTCCCTCACCGAAAACGCCAGGGTCAAGGCATTCACGGCCTCTACCGGGGCTGGAGAATCGGCATGTGGGGTGTTGCAGGAACCTTGGGTCTTCGCCTCCTTGCTGCGGGGGGTGCAGAGGACGGTCCTATGCCCAGTGGCGGCCGATTCTAGTACTTTCCTACATTTCCGGCTGAAGCAGTTCATATACCCCTCCTTCCATGACCCATGTTATTGTTTTCTTCTCTTTCTCTTCTTTGTAATACCACTAACGTCGTGATGGGACATACCTCTTATACCCAAGGTTATATACATAGCGGCGCCGAATGAGGGGGGCATAGGCGTTGGTTACATGTATTAATATTACTCCTTTCTATTTGCTATTTGGCGTCGTGTATCGTTCATATCCATACCATATTCTGCTGGATTTAGCGCCTCTCTGCTCCTCCGATTGCCTACAGTGCAATACAGCACAACCCGCCTAATATAATACGTTCAATGCCAGTACTTATCGGCGTACTCCTTCCGCTTTGTGTAATTCATAGGACATGTAGAGCAAGCTTCTTCGCCGCACCTATACTTAGCGGCAGTATTCTAGCTTTGATACCGCTCACATGGTTTACTCAAGCTTTACTCATGCTTTACAGCTTCAACATGAAGTAAACAAAGCACCGTAGACTCCCTTTATTTCTTCAGTTATATTTTTGAGTGTACCAGACGAGTGAAGTAGGATACTAAATGTACCTAGAGTACTCCGTAGTAGGAAATCATCATCCATCCATACGCCCAAAACCAAAATCACTGGAGATCAAGTACACTCGATTGACCGTATCTCAATCGAGTGAGGGTAAATATAGAAGAACGCCGTCATTCACCCGTCTAATCATAGCAATTGTAACATCCCAGGAAAACATGTCGATAGGTATGTGTAGCGTAACGACATTTCCATTCCAATTCATCCCAGCCCAAATATTTCCAATCCATTCCCGGCTTTTGGTTTTGATTTCGTTCCTAGTCCCGTGTATTGGTGCTAGACTTTGTAGAAGGCCCTTGGCACCGGCAGAAGTTCACGGCAGCCCGGGTTCGTTCGTAATAAAGATTCGTATAATACAAACTCAGACATAAATGAGTCAGGTTTGGGTATCATAAATAAAAAGAGAAAGAGAAAAAAACAAGACTAAATATAGTAAGAAAATATGCGACTATTTGGGCCTCTATTTGTCGGCAAATCGTCGATCAAAGTAACGCAACACGCCCATGACGCTCGCAGCCTCAACTTCCATCGCGGCTCGAGAAGCGGTTGTGGTCTGGCTGACGTCTCGAGGGTTGGGAAGGGTATGGAGCTTTGGCAGCCAAGAGGTGAGTTCGTCGCTGGCACGGGAAAAGTTCGGGTGACGAGAAAGGGTTGTGAATGCGTCGGCACAAGAGAGAGTGAGGGGCGTTGATGCGCGGTCGGTATTTGCTGGGTTACGACGGGGCGGTGGCGGTGGTGGTGCACGGGTTTGGCAACATCCACCATCCGCACCCTTACCGCCGCAGCATCCAGTCGGGGTACCGCTGGCGGAGCGAGAGGCCGCTAGAGTCTTGCAAAAAAGGGTCCTTCGGGGATCTGACACGCACTGGGCACATGTTCCCGGACCGTTGGCGCAAGGGTTTGCCGCGGTTGCCTGGCTGATAGGAGGTAGGGTGACCTCCGAGCGCACATCACTGTCGGAAGGGGGTGGAGTGAATTGGGAGATATTTTGAATAGGTGCTAGGCGGTTGTTCTCAAATGCGCTGCCACGCCGGCGTTGGTCCTCTTGCGCGGCCATCTCTGCACAAATGCAAGGCGTTCCATCCTGACAGAATCCACAAGGGTCGACCGGGGGCGAAGACACAGGACTAGCAGTGCTTTCATGATGAGGAGCAGCAAAGCGAGCTGTGAAGTCAATCTCCATTTCCTCTGGCTCAGGCTTGATCTTCGGCTCGGGATCGCGCGACGCGTTGTTGATCTCGACGCCGGGCATGGAAAAGGCCTCCTCAATACATTGACAATGTGTGGTAGAGCATCGGTTACAGCCCAATGGAACTTCTTCATCCGTTTCGGAGTGGCCGTGGGTCGACGGATTCTTTTCGCTTGCAACGCGGGCTCTCTTTGAGGGCCGAGGCGGCAAAGGCACAGCATCGGTACTCGAGGTGTTCTTATCGGGCAAAGACTCACGGAATTCCTTCACGAGAGTTTCTCTTGCAGCTCTCTCGACAGAGACCTCTTTCTCCAGGGTGTGACACCGGTCGCGCCACCATGACATCTCGGTTCGACATTGTTCGACCTCTCGCGAGAGATTCGAGATTTGTTCCTTGAACGTGTTGACGTGAATATCATGGTCATCCTCGATGAGCTTGATTTGGTCTTCGAGTTCGTTCACACGGGCCGCTCGGCGTTCTCGAAAAGCTCGCTGAGCAGCACGATTTTGTGCCTTTCGCTTCGTTGGGGGGGTATCTGTGGCTGGCTTGCGACCTGGTTTAGGACGGGGTGGAATTACCCATTCCTTGGAGGTGACGGATCCGGGTGTACCGGGGCCGGGTGACGGCGAAACAGTGGGCTTGGCAACTAACGCGGGGGCCAAGGGGGCAGCCGAAGCTGGAGCGAGGGAAAGCGCTGGCTGAGCAGCCATTGTGAGGATACAGCCTCTTTTTAGTTAATATATTTCTGCATCGTGGTTAGCTGCGTGTAAATAATTGGTGGATGAGAGGGGGGGAACGAACGGCCTTCGGTTGTGACGCTGGTATTACCGCTTCGGCCGGAGGAGCGGATGTGCGTCCTTCCAGCAGAAGCGAGCGGTCGGGGGCGAAGGGAGGCGTGTTGGAAGGAGAATTTTCTCTAGTACAAAAATCCTCCAGCATCGGAAAGGAGGATGCAGAATTGGGGACGACAGAAGTAGCAGGGTTGAGGGAGCTCGGGACGAGAGGGAAGATGGTTTTATTATAGGCGAAGTTTCCTGGGTTCGGGAGGGGAGAAAAGCCCATCGGATCAGATTAGATTATCGTGCGCTCCATCCGACCTCGGAGCGAGAGGTTGACTCGCCTGGTGGGACCATGGGGTCTTTCTACGGACAACTGATTGGCCACCATAGGGCTCAGTCACTTGGGTGCATCCAATGTGAACGCGCATCCTCTTTTCCCAGCCGTTTTACTAGAGAGCAACTTCAACTCCATATTTTAGGGTTGGCCGTGTCGTCATGATGGACACAACATCGTGTCTTTTTGTAATCAGATGTTTCAATTATGGCTATACAGAAAGCCAAAGCCAGCCATCATCACATGCATGAAGTGCAGGAGTAACTGTCCGTATCTTAAGTCTCGAGTGCTGCTGGTCGGAACCGAACTTCCCCCGTCGTCTGATCTTATCTGATCCCGCCTTTCCCCTTCCGGAATCCCGGCCTGCTGCCGTCCTCCACACCCCCCCAACGCTCTGATCAATAATACTGAGCTGACTGGATACTCTCTGGCGTGGAGGGTTGAAATTTTCTCTTTTTCTTTAGTAAGAGCTCGGTAATTGGGTTCCTGTGTCGCGGCTGGCACGGCTTGAGCTTAAAAAGCTGCGCTTCGTGCGCCAGCTTTGACCACCGATAAACGGAACTACTATCGGCCACACCTCCAGAACCCAGCTGGTCTTCTCCCGCCACCTGGAGGGGCTGATGGGGTTAACTTATGCGTCTTACTCTATAGCCCTACCAAATTGAACCTAGCTGGATCAAGCTGGCTACGTCCTGTTCGGGAAGATGGTGTTGGTGAAGTTCCGGGCTCGGATTACGTTACACAAACGTAAGCTCCAGCGATAAATATATAAGATCGCTCGCAGCGGTGACCTGATGCGCAGCAACGGCTAGAGTATTTGGCAAGCCGGTAGCATTTATAGATGAACTATTGACGCAGTACATACATTTATTGGTTTTATATGCATTGTATGCGTAATAAGGAAACGAGAGGATACGAGTTTCGACTCGAAACAGGACAAAGATTAGACGTGTCTTAATGGATTTCTCTCCTTGCTCTCCCACCACAGTCGCCCAAAAGACTGAAATAACGACCATTTCTAGTCTACGAATGTCCCAATTGCAAGCGCTTAATTATTGGGATCTCATTCATTCTTCCGACAGACCTAAAGTTCATATACCTGCGGGGCCAAAATGAAGCACCTTGATCGTTTTCTACGTCATGTCCATGGCAAAGAGAAACCAGACCAACCGCCGTCGAGTGAGTCGGGGCCTAATAGTAACCAGGGTGAGTTAGTTTATTTCCTTGGTCATTCATCAAGCTGTATTTCCACTCAGTTTTGTAATGTTCCTCTTTTGTCGACTCCATCTAACCTCCGCCCATTCTTCCGTTTGGGGTGGAATGGTTCATGATGTCGGAGACAATGCAGGAACAGAGTTTTTCTATATCAGATTTTCCCATCCATCTGGATTTACAAAATGGCACTGTTGATCTATCAGTGTTATTTTCCAGCTGTCATGGTGTAGAGCCCGTGCATTGGGATGCGATATTGGACTCACCTCCGATGCCGACTTTTCCTTCACCGCATGTCACTATATTCGGGAAAATGCTCATTTTTATCTTTAATCGATATTTCTAGTTGGGTCTGAGGTGTACTCCCAACCGCCGCCCAATGCCTTTGCTCAAAATGCGCCACAAGCCCGAAATGCCCCGTCGGAGCCACTGAGCGTTTTCGCTCACTTCCTGGTAAGGCAACTAAACCGCAAGAATATGAACCCCAATCATTAATAACGATCCAGGTTGGGACTGCCGGAGCTATGTCGCCTGCCGAGTGGGAACGCGATATCATCGAGGCGCAGAAAGCTCATATTGACGGATTTGCGCTAAACATTGCCCCCCAAGATGACTATACCGATAGGGTTCTACAGGCAGCTTATGACGCCGCTGAGAGGATTGGCGACTTCTCACTTTTCATCTCGTTCGACTATCTATCGGGAGGACCATGGCCGCAAGACCGAGTCATCACCATAATCAATACGTATAAGAGTAGACGAGCCCAATATCTCTACAAAGGAAAGCCATTGGTGTCCACGTTTGAAGGCGTGGGGAATTCGGGTGACTGGCCAAATATAAAGAGCGCGACTGGCTGCATTTTTATTCCTTCCTGGACCAGCCTTGCGCCATCGGGTTTACACACTGTCCACAATGTGATTGACGGCGCGTTCAGCTGGGATGCCTGGCCAGTTGGGGCAGAAGACAAGGACTCATCTAGCGACAAGGCTTGGATCGATGCCCTTGCCGGGAAACCGTACATGATGGCTGTTTCTCCATGGTTCTACACGAACCTTCCACAGTGGAATAAGAACTGGCTTTGGCGTGGCGATAACCTATGGCATTACCGCTGGCGCCATGTGATGGATTTGCAGCCAGCGTTGGTTCAGGTATGTTTGACGATTCCCCTGGATTGGGGCAAGTTCTGACAGAAACTGTTCGTGCAGATCCTCAGCTGGAACGATTACGGAGAGACGCACTACATCGGGCCAATTTACGAGCCGGGGGTCCCAGATGGAGCTATGCGCTTTGTGAAAGGCTGCCCCCATGATGCGTGGCGTGAATTACTACCCCACTATATCGATGCCTATCGTCGGCAGAACGCGATGATCCGCGAGGGAGTGTCAAACCCAGGCGCGGTGACCTCTTATGCCCCTAAACAACCTCTTCCGTATAAGGACAAGATTGTGTATTGGTATCGACTCAATCCGAGCACCTCTGGAAATGCCGGCGGAACAACAGGGAACAACCCGAACATGGGCCAGCCGGAATTGAAACCGGGAGATGTGTCGGAGGATAAAGTGTTTGTCAGCGTGCTAGTGACTGAACCAAGCGATGTGCATATTCGCATTGGCGATGCAGCACCTACGATCTTGTCTGCAGAAGAATGTGGAGTAAACCACGTCTCTGTGCCTTTCAATGGGCAGTCGGGGCCAGTACACTTTGCAATTGTGCGCCATGGCAGGGAAATCGAGTCGACCAGGGGCCCTGCTATAACGGAAAATTGCGCAGACGGCATGGTGAACTGGAATGCATTTGTTGGGTCAAGTTAGCTTTTTAAAAGATCAAGGTACAAAGTAGTTCGTGTTGTGTTCGCAATTTGGTTGGTGGTTGTCGCCAGCAGCAGCCAACCAGCCAGCCAACCACTCCAGTTGTTGGCCTAGCGGAGCCTGAGGCTACCAACGGTAGTTAGTGATAAGCGCTCGCCCAGTTCTCCGCATGACCACATCTTCCATCACATCTCCAACTCTCTCCCACACTTCGTCCTGCTTTCTTGTTTCTCTCGCGCTCTGCATTCTTTTAGAATATTCTTGTCGTATCCGTGACCCATCTCTCTTTACCACCACACAATGACCAAGAAGAGTATCTCTAACCACCAGCCCAGCTTGGCTTATCGCCAGTATGAGCGGCTGCCTGAAACCCTCCACTTCGACTACCAGCCTCCGACTGCTGCCCCCCCTGCACGCCCCAACGTAAACCCAGCGACAATCAACCCCGCGGACTACTCACAGTCGTACTGCGATTTTATGACTGAGAACCCCACCATATTCCACGCCGTCCACAGTTTCGCAAAGCAACTCGAAGGCAAGGGATACCGGTTCCTTTCCGAGCGGGAATTATGGACGCCGAAGCTCGAACGTGGAGGAAAATACTATACTACACGGAATGGAAGCTCTCTCGTCGCATTCTCCGTTGGGTCTGAGTACAAGAGTGGTAACGGCCTCGCTATCGTCGCCGGCCATATCGATGCCCTAACAGCCAAGCTCAAGCCCGTCTCCAAGCTTCCCACCAAGGCTGGCTACACCCAGCTGGGCGTTGCTCCTTATGCCGGCGGTTTAGGCAAGACTTGGTGGGACCGTGATTTGTCCATTGGTGGAAAGGTCCTCGTCCGCAATTCCAGCACGGGCAAGATCGAATCCAAGCTTGTTAAGCTGGACTGGCCGATTGCACGCATTCCATCGCTCGCGGAACATTTTGGTGCCCCTGCGCAGGGACCTTTTAACAAGGAGACACAGATGGTGCCTATCATCGGAGTTGACAACTCTGACCTCTATGAATCCGCTGGCAAAACAGACACCGCTGCGGCTGACGAGGGAATTGAGCCTGGCACATTCGCCGCCTCGCAATCCCCCAAACTCGTCAAGGTGATCTCTAAAGAGCTTGGCATCACAAACTACAGCAGCATTCTCAGCTGGGAACTCGAGCTGTATGACAGCCAGCCGGCACGCCTGGGCGGTCTTGAAAAAGACTTCATCTTTGCCGGTCGTATCGACGACAAGCTCTGCTGCTATGCTGCACAGGAAGCCCTCATTGCCTCCTCGGATGACACCTCCCCCGCGTCAATCAAGATGGTCGGATTTTTTGATGATGAAGAAATTGGTAGTTTACTCCGCCAAGGAGCTCGCTCCAACCTCATGTCAAGCGTCATCGAACGCATCACCCAATCCTTTGCAAGCTCATATGGCCCCGACCTGCTTGCTCAAACTGTTGCAAACAGTTTCCTTATCTCCTCAGATGTCACACATGCCGTTAACCCCAACTTCTTGAACGTGTACCTCGAGAACCACTCGCCGCGCCTCAACGTTGGTGTCTCTGTGTCTGCTGACTCAAACGGCCACATGACTACCGACAGCGTTAGCTACGGGTTCATCAAGCGTGTCGCTGACCGAACCGGCTCTGAAATACAGGTCTTCCAGATTCGGAATGACTCGCGGAGTGGTGGAACGATTGGTCCAATGACCAGTGCACAGATCGGCATGCGAGCTATTGATGTGGGGATCCCGCAATTGAGTATGCATAGTATTCGTGCGACGACGGGCAGCCTCGACCCTGGGCTGGGTGTTAAGCTTTTCAAGGGATTCTTCGATCACTTTGAGGAGGTGGATAAGGAGTTTACTGACTTTTAAATGTATGCCTCTTCTACCCCGCACTAGCAGATTCATGTGACTTGACCTGCATGGTAGGTATTGAGGTCTTTCTGCTTAGTGATAGATGGTGTTTACGAGTATGTTGGTTAGGAGTTTTGCGCATCTGCACTAGATTCTAGACAGCTGGTAGCTAATAGAAACCCGTATGCAAAGAAACGTCAAAATGTAGTATCACTGTAGAGCTGTAAAACTATAAACATGAAAGAAATAATAGAAGTAAAAAGAATGTGGTACTGAGTCCCCTTCCGTCTTCACCATCCACATTGCCTGAGAAACTTCACAACTAGTGGTTTGGAGAGCGGCCTCATCCCATCGGGACAATTGAAGCGCATCCCAATAGCAAGTATTGGAGAGTCATCCGCACACCACTGGAAAGACGAACTCTTTTGTCTTTTTTACCTTCCGTCACCATCACTCTTCCTACCTGCCAAAGGAACAGACGAAGACGACGACGAACCAGCCCTCACATGAGACTTAACAATAACACCCTCGCGACCATCCTTCCCTGCTTCCTCCCCCGCTCTCACGTCCTGAGTAGCAACTCGTGCAACATCCCCAGCTTTAGCACCCTTGATAACGCCAGTATCCTCAATTCCATCCCCATCAGGCTCACTCCCAACATAAACACGCGCCTGCGTCCTCCCATACCCAACCCCGTACTTCATAGCAAAAAGCCTATCTGCATCACCCTCACAAGACCCATACTCCAGGTCGTCGACATGTGTCGTGATAGTCGTGGACACGCCCATACCACCCATCCCAGCAACGCCCCAGAAAGTCTGCGGGTGGATCTCGTGGATGTGGCCGCGAGAGCAGCTCTTGGTTCTGGGGTGACGGCTCGCTGTTATGGAGGAGAGGAGCTGTGGGATTATTCGGGAGACGAGCGGGCGCAGGGTTGGTAGGCAGGCGCATATTATGCCGACGTTGCATTCTATTGCGGACCAGGAGGCTGCGCCGACGTTGTCATCTGTTTGTTTCCGCCCCCTCTGTGTTAGCTTGGATACGGGGTATAGAGGGATCGGATTGAGGGACGTACAGGTTGGGTCTGATGAGTCTGAAATCTTCTTTAGGGCAATTAGGCGGCATATGCTGGTTACGCAAACGCTGGATTTTGTCACGATTAGCTTGTGCCATGCTGGCATATAATAGGGCTGGGGAGCATACAATCCACCTAGTGCAAAGATTGAGATTAGGGCTACTCTCTGCTTCTTCGGCAGTTCAAGCGCAGCCAATGCTGGGATTGGAATAATCAGGATAGCAAGATCAGTAGCGATGTGCATAGATGCGTTGGAGAACCACAGGCCCTTCGAGCTGAGACAGGTTCCTGGAACTGTAGGGTCCCAGAACCGTGCCACTGGTACGCAGTTCAGGAACGCACTCAGAACAGCCCATGTGCCGTACGTAGCAAGTACAACAATCATGATACAGCAGGTATGACGCATGCGTTTGGAAGGGAAGACGCGAAAATACTGCATGAGGATGGATGCTTTTGCACAAAGTAACGCGGCGTTGTAGAAGGGGATTGTAATCCAAAAAGCCTATCCTTTGTATTAGACCGCACAATAATAGAAACAAAATGAGTGGACTACCTTCATTTGCTTCAACAGGGCTGATTCGGGAATGTCGACTCGGTGCATACCCATTCCATTGAGCGCTTCAACTATGAAGAATGACATAAAAATGAAGGAAAACACCTGTATTCATCTATTAGCATGCTATATATGAGACCTTGGTTGTTGTATACCAAAGCAATAACAATCATCCAGTCATTGGCTTCCATTCGTTTGATTAATTTGGCCCGAGTATATACCCGGGCAAGAACAAAGAAGACTGCGAGGCTGGTGAAGATGATACTAATCACCAAGCCCTGAGTTCCACGAGCAGAGAGGTAGACATCCTTTTGCTCCGCACGGGGATAAAGCCCGTGAAAATGGGGTTCCATCATTGTTGCATCCAAGGCCGAGTTAACGAGCAGCTTTAGTTTCAAATTAAATGAACGGGTGTTCGAGACAGGGTTGACGCCGCGATGGGCTTTTGAGTCGTCAGATAAAGGAAGGGATGCAACGAATGGACATCACGGTGTCCAGATTGATCCTTGACTTAAAGGTTAACGCGGCCTAAAGATTGCCAGGAACAGACGCATTATAAGTATGATTTTCTATAATTTCCAGTTGTTATAGATATCGAGGCGTATTCCATCCCGCGATCCGGTCAGTACGGGGCTTGACTATGCGACCCATATTCCATGCGTCCCCGTTTTGACCGGATGACGCCCAGATTGATGGGCAGATATGAACAGGCTTTTTACGCAAGGGATGCATAATAAGCATATGACAGGGCAAGGGCCACACTGAGCACGGGAGCGATTGGCTTAAGCTTGCAGAGTCCATGAGAGCCGAGCCCAAATCGAGGTTTGATGGGGCTGAACTATGTGAACTTCTGCCAGTGTCAGAGGTACGGGGCTCAGTAAAGATGACTTCAGCGTGGCGCTAACGATATTATTCACTTTTAAACAGTCATTCCGGCCCGTGAGGGATGGGCAGTGTGGACAGTGGGATCAGGATCAGCGACGTATCGTAACTTTCTTATGCACGGACGGGGATCGAGATGTGCATCCTCGCGTGGTTGAAGGTTCCACGCTCGGTGCATGGATCCTCTTCTGCTCGGATTAATGCCTTGACGAACTAATTGTTAGGGATATCATGGGTCTTGTGGGTTCTTGGAGTTCTGGGAAGTGGCAATGGGACCTGTGAGATTGGGTTTGCAGTAGACTTTTTGAGCAGCCTAGTACACCCCTTTAAAAGCCAAGATGCTGCACATGGAGGAATGCCTATAAACAAGTTTTCAGCAAGGGTCACAACTGGGGGACGACTTTCTTATTCTCCTCTTTATTTTAAGCTCCACCGGGCGAAGAAGAAAGTTTAGGGCTCTAGGGGGTGTTAAACAATCGGACATATCACATTTGCTCTTGCTCCAGGATCCGTTCAACCTTTCCAAACTGGTAAGCACGGTGCTCGCAAAGTCGAGACAGAATAGATAGCGGGCAGGTGGGCACACTGCTACCAACCATGGAGCGGGTGGGTATGTTTTGATTCCAGGTGCTCGGTTCGAGGGAACTATTTCTGCAATAATTGCCGAACGGTTACCATGAACCATGAACGGCGAGAGATAGTAGATGTATCATAATGAAGGGCGCTTCTTCAGAATGAAGCCATTTATTTTCTTGCTGGAGCTCCTGGGATTCTGCGAAGTTCAGATAAAACCCGACCAATTATTGGCACCACACTCTCATACGATCGATTATCGACCATTGGAAATTCTCCGAGCTGCAGGCATGACGTCCGTTTCCCCTCGTATTCCTCAGTTCTGACGGATTTGACACCAGCTTGGAACCGAGGAGGAAAAGTGAGAGAAGATATATAGGTTGATCGTTGCTTATAGCGAGTGATGAATTGAACGGCAGAGACCCTTCTAATGGCAGTCTTCTCGGGAGTCCCATAACCCACTATCGGCCAATGATGAGCCTAATAAACACCCACATTCATGTCTAGTTCTGGTTAGTAATAAAGTGGTAAATTTAGAAAGGCACGGTTGAACTTTTGCTGCATTAGCGTCTTACGAGACAAGCGGGTCGAAGCAAGATATCCTAGGATGGCGGCAAGAAGAAGAGGAGTGAGGTTCTTGGATAGACGTGAAAACTAGCTAGATAATTCGACAGTGCTAAAAAAGGAACATGGCAGATGGCGCTCTGTAGTCTGCACAAGTGGAAAGTCCCCATGGCTCGAATGAGAGGGTCCGGAGGACTAAATAGATCTAGAGGCTGGATGCGGAGGATACACCTCATGTCAACAGTCGCAAAGGAAAGGTGAGAATTCTGGCAGCCTGGCACTAAATAAATTCACACTGCCCAACGGATCCGCAGCCTGGAGGTGTGCAACGCCTTCAACAGAGCTATCATATAGCCGGTATATTTTTCTCTCTGGCAGAAAGGTTATCGATAGAACCTCAAGCGAGTGGAGTCGCGTCGTGTTCCGAATTGAGTCGCAATTAGCGAGCAAACGCCAGGTTTCAGCATCGGTGCACCAGATTGTCGATGGCAATGCGAATGGGTGTTAAATCCCATTGCAACAACTGAGTTACACTTCACCCATACTGAAGGGCAGTACAATATGTATTTGTAGTTAGCGGCGAAACCTGGGGGCGCTGGTACCGGGGGGAGGTATTTAGTCGAGACATAGACACTAGGACTTTGAAATACACCTGTTTAGGATGGATCAATGGGAGGATGCCTTGGGAGTGGGAAAACAGTGGAGGAATCCATCGAGCCAGGGTGGGAAAGTATATGAGGACCCCGATAAGATAAGTCGGTATAACGCACGGACCAACAAAAAAACCAGCAGATTTCAAACCCACCACCACCGCAAATCTTAACAACCCCGCAACACCACGACTGTCCCTATTTTCTGACGCTGGTCGAGACGCTTGGAGAATATCACACCGTTTTGATCTGTTCATTATGGCGGAATCTGCGACCACGAAACCAGTCCACACGATTGTCCTCGATGCCGGTCCCATTCTCAAGAATAACCCCCCACTTTCTACCCTGCTGGCACAATGTGAGGAACTCGTTATCACACCGTCAGTAGTTGCTGAAATCAGAGATCCCGATGCCCGCCAACGAGTTGAAACCTTGTATCTTCCGTTCTTGAAACAGCGCAGTCCGTCTCCGAAAAGCGTCGCTTTACTGGCCGAGTTTGCGAGGAAGACCGGCGACAGGACAGTGCTGAGTAGAACCGATATTGAGGTCTTGGCTCTCGCATATGAAGTCGAGTGTGAGAGGAATGGCGGGGATTGGCGGCTACGTAGCGTCCCAGGACAGAAACAAGTGAACGGCAAGCCTCCTGCGAAGGTGGCCGAAACGGAATCGGAACAGCCTCAGGAGGCCGCGAAGACGGGAGGAAATACGGAACAACCAGCCATCGAGCAGGTCACTGAGAACCTTAAAACTACATCACTCGAAAATAAGGAGCAAGAAAATAATGCTGAGACTGCGGAGACGGAGGCAGCTGAGACGGATGAGACAAAAGCGAGCGAGCAAGACCCCGAGGCCGAAAACCAAGCTGGAAATGAGGAAGACGGAGATGCTTCTGACGGCGGCGAGTGGATTACTCCATCAAACTTGAAAAAGCGACAGGCCCGCGATGAAGCCGGTTCAACAACCACTGCCCCAGAGCCTAAAGTGATGCAAGTTGCGACGATGACAACTGATTTTGCGGTTAGTTTAACCTACATACTGGGCCAAATCTTGAGCCGTTGACTAACTTTGAATAGTGTCAAAACGTTCTACTGCAAATGAACCTGAACCTCCTGTCTACAACTACGTTGCAGAGGATCAAGCATCTGAAGTCTTTTGTCAAACGCTGCCACGCATGTTTCTCAATTACCAAAGACATGAACAAACAATTTTGTCCGCGTTGTGGTGGAGACACCCTGACTCGTGTATCATGTACCACCGACGCCAACGGACAGTTCAAGATGCACCTGAAGAAGAATATGCAATGGAATAATAGAGGAAACGTTTTTAGCGTTCCTAAGCCTGTCCATGGCAGCTCCAACGGAAAATGGAAAGGTGGCGGCGGCAAAGGCGGCTGGGGTACAGAACTGATCCTTGCCGAAGACCAAAAGGAATATAGCAGAGCTACGGCGGAGCAGAATCGTAAGCTTCGGAGAGAACGAGACTTGATGGACGATGACTACCTTCCCGGTATCCTCACTGGAGAAAGGAATAAGCAGACCGGCCGTATCAGAGTCGGAGCCGGAAAACACGTGAATTCCAGGAAGCGCTGAATGATTAATGTTTTGTTTTTCCTCTGAATGCATTATGTGGCTTGGAGTTTATGGTGCACAAAAGTCAAGATGGTTTTGGGCAAAGTAAATAGGATTTATGATCATGGTTATTCGAATGTTGGTAGTTCATAGAGTATATCGCTAGATGCAAGGAGCATATTGAATCAATTCCAAGAATTATATTGTCATTAGTAGCGTTACTGTATCTTATGCCTACTATGAAACCAGCCTGGAATGAAACAATTGGTATTGTGAAATCTGAAATTTCGTATATCTTAATCCATGTTTAACACCATTCGCCAGCAAATGAATCGGAACCACCTTTTGGTATTACTCCAGCAAATCCAACTTTTTGAGCTCTATAGTTGCGCAGCCTCTTTGTCTGTATCAAGAACAATTAGGTCTTGCTTCCAGAGAGTGGACGGGTACCAATTAACATACCAGCCTGCTGAGTGAGCAGAAGACTATATCTCTTCTTGAGTGTGACACGGTGTCTAAATGCGTAGTAACTTGATTAGTACAGTCGTAGAAACCACCGCATATACACATGTCTCCGCGGATGCGTAAGTAGAAGCTTACCGAGAGTACTTGTCATCCGGAGAGAAACGAGCGGGATGAGCGCTCTTTGTGACTTCGCCGGAGGGAGCGACCTTCTTCAGCGTGTAAACACGCTTTCCGTCCTGGTCCAGAGTGTACTAATCGGAGCTGTTTAGACTTTGCACGAAAAATTTCCGCGAAGTTGTTCAGGGTATAGCGATCGAATAACTCGAAGCCGAGCGACTTGGGTTGAGAGAAAACCGGGATCTGAACATACCATAAGATGCATTCTAGGTAAATTCTTGTCAGCATCATGAATCATGAATAGTGCATATAATATAGGGAAACTCACTTGGCGGATATACTTGCAATTAGCGGCGAGAATTAGACTGCGAGATCTGTAGCTTTGCTAGACAACTCTGGATGCGATGCAGGAAATTTTTTGGATGGGAGGGTGGTGCACGGACCATGCGACCTCGGCTGAGTCATCGCCGTGCCCTTTTTAACCGCTGCGATTCCGAAATTTTTGCTTCCGCAACGCACGAATAAGCGAAAACAATGTTTGTGACAGAAGAGAAGGGATGAGTTTGACGAAGCTCATACATGCAAGACTTCAGCATGACACTTGATGCAGTGCATGTTACTCATCGCTAGCCTACTCTAGTCATTATAATTATCCACGCTACCTCCCAGTGCTGGTTATCCCACGCGGCTTGATATCCCAGAAACACAGTTTTTCTGGTAAGCCTCAAAACCCAGAACTGTCTTGGACTCAGAAGAAGTATTCGCGTTTGTTCCGGTGATGACTCCTTAAAGCTAAGGCAATGGCAACCTTGATTTCTAGCTGTTGTCAATGACTGCTTTTATCAGACTACAACGGTATCTGAGGAACATATATCGCAGTACTTCTTTTTTGAGTCTAGGGGCTGTTTACTGTAATGAAGAGACGCCTTGCTGATTCTTCAACCCGTAGTAGATACTCAGAGCATTCAATTGAATAATATTCTACAATGGCTTCCCAACCTCAACCTAATATCGCTCCCTCTACACAGGAGCAAGCTACTCCTGCAAAAACTCGGCCATCGAGACGCCAAAGGCCGGATTATAGGCACATTCACCGTTTCCCTCTTCCTCTCACCGTCCACCCACTCCCCCCTCTGATCCCACACAACCCACTCTCCATTGTCAGTGTGCTGCTTTCCTATCTTACATATTTCATTGCTCCGCCTCACAATGATATTCACTCCGCCTATTTCGATCCAAACACGTCCTCGGTCCACGTTACCGACGAGAAGACTGTTCGAGCTTTATGGGAAATGGGTTTCTTTGGAAAAGGAAGCCTAAGCCGAAGCGAGCCGACTTGGCTAGATCAAGAAAAAAAGCGAAGAGGACTCCTTGGAGGTGTAACGAGTGAAGAGGTTACTCGTCAGCGAAGAGCCGAGCGCCGTGAACTGAAACTCCAAAGAGCAAGGTCAGAGAAGTTGATAATAGAGCAAAGGCTTCTGGCAGAAGCCGCTGCAAGAGAAGGTCGCACGACTCCGGAAACTCAGTCTGGACTGCCATCCGGTGCCACAAATGGCGCTGCCATAACTGCAGAGAAGTTCTCTGTAAAAAAGGCGCGAGAAGCCAAGTTTCTTGAAGGACAGCAACTCGCGAAACGGGATAGGGAGATTGCCGGCAAGGCGGTCCAGTTTTCTACCACAGCCGAAGGAAATGATTCTACGTTGAAGCAGTCCGAACATGCTCACCTTAATGGGGGGGAGTCTACTCAAGAGACGACGGTAGATAACGAAGAACACCTCCAAATATCCAACGAGGAGGCATTCTTCCTTGTATACGGACTGGGAGCTTTACACATATTCGACAAGGATCGAAAAACTGTTCTGTCACCGCGTTCCCTACTTATACGGTTTTGTCACCATTCGTACTCGCCTCCTCGGGACACGTCTCTGGACCTGAAAACTGACGACCCTTTTCTTATTTCCTACGTTGTGTACCACCATTTTCGATCACTGGGGTGGGTTGTCCGCTCCGGTGTAAAATTCGGAGTCGACTACCTACTATACAACCGCGGCCCAGTTTTCTCCCATGCCGAGTTCGCTGTCGTGGTTATTCCTTCATATGACCACCCCTACTGGTCTGAAACCGAGGATCGCAGAGCCGAGTGCACTGGTAAACAGGCACGTAGTTGGTGGTGGTTCCACTGCGTTAACCGTGTTCAGGCGCAGGTGAAGAAGACTCTTGTGGTGTGCTATGTGGAGATACCACCCCCATCGCCAGGTCTGGAATCTGGCTCGGCTGATGGTCTTGATGTTGGAACATTGCTTACTCGCTATTCTATAAGAGAGCTAGTAATCAGGCGCTGGATACCAAATCGTTCTCGAGACTAATTTTCAATAACCTGTGCAACATTGGAAAATTACTTGATCTTAGTTGTGGCTGTGAATGTCCATTCATTTGTATTAGGTTACTTGGTGTAACTATATCTGTAAATAGGCAATTAACACTGCCTGGCATTTCAGTGCAGGACTACATAAGTTGAATTGGTGTCACGATAATTACTCTAGGGCCCCAATCTTATAAAACCACCCTATTATGGTGTACGTATACATACGGAATATAACTGTATAAGTCGCTCAGAATTCCTGTCGCTGATGCTTTAGCCTAACCTAAAGAGGTAATATTACAAAGTCACGTGCTGGACGCGTTTCGCGTTCGATCCCGATAACTTACTGGATAAAACTCAATATCTTCGGGGATTGTTCAAGACTCCTGCGGCGACAAGTAAAGGCAGGCGAAAGAATGCGGGTAACTGGGTGTTTAACACCAGTACTTGTGGGCTGATTGCGACAATGGAAACCCAGGACGATAGCATAGATATCGCGAGGCTGCAACGCGACGCGCTGGGTTTAGTGAGTATCACAGGTCAATCTCAGCCATGATCCCTGCACTAACCAACGCCACTCGTTTGCTCAGACATCACAGGCCTTATTTTATGCGCCCATAACAATTGAGACGAATTCTTCCCAAGACACTCTCGATTCGGTAACCTTGCGACTCGCGGATGAGCCTGTCTCGACATCTAATTCTCGAAACGCGCCCGACAAGTCGCCTGTGCACGGAACTGTTGGAGCTGGGAGGAACACGGCCCATGATGCTCCAGAGCTATTAAATCCGAACCAGCAGTCTCCTGAACGGACAACACTACTATACTCCTCAGGAAAACCCACTGTGAAAATGAGTTCTGCCGAAGCACTGCCTTCAGACACCCAGGAGATTTCCCAATCGATAATTGACAAAATTATCCAACAGAACAAAGAAACTGGGAACAATGGGCTCGATAGTAATGTTTTTGATCGGAATACACTCATGTCACTGCAGGAGGGAGACAGTGGTCATATAGACCTATTTTCTGGGTTCGATGCTGCTCAAATTCGTGCACTGAACACCGACGAGAACGAGAATGAGAATGATGACCAAAGCAGCTCTAAACTAGGCGACTCTTCTCCTCTTGTTTACGAGCGTGATAATTTCCCCGAATCTCAAAGATTTGTCGCAAAAACCCCTGTGACAGCGACGAAGCAGCATGATGTCGGGACTATCTCTACGGGCTCTCCCCTCGTCTCTCGCAATCCTCTAGCATCGGATCTAGAATCTGCCAGTGGTATTATGGCTCTTAGCCAGGTGTTCAAGGCCACACAGGCGCCATCTTCTCCTCTTGTCAATGGCCTACAGTCAGATCTCATGTCCGACCGGCCCTCGCCGAATATCCCAATACAACACCGGCCACTTGCTCCGTCCCTCTCGTCGCCGTTTAATACCATCGCGGCAACTTTCCCACGCGAGTCATCGGACACGCCGTTGAAATATGTGACAATGAAAGAATCTCAAACCAACAGGAATGACTTATTGAAAGAGAGAATGACTCGGTCCGCCGACCATATCTACGAAGATCAGAGTGATGGGGAGTTTGATAAGGAACCTAGCTTTGTTGAACGTCAGAGACGTCAGCGGAGAATCAATGAGGAAGCTGAGGTACAGTTTGCCATGCTCTCGGCGCCTGCGAGGAAATCCAGCCCCATTGAGAACCAGGCAGGGAGTATAGCCGGCTCGTTAGTCGGGGCTCCTCAGCGAGAATCAGTGGATGGATCTACAGAAGCTATAACTGAACAACCACATGGCCCTACTTCGGAGCTGCAGAATGTGGGGATGAGTGAAGAAGAGACAGAGCAGGAAGAAGAATTACGGAAGCCTTCCCCACAATCTCAACTACCCAATCCATCAACCGAGGAGGATAAGGAGAATTGTAACGATCCTTCTAACGCCGACCCATCTAACACAGAAAGCGCACACGACCGTCTTTCTCAAGCTCTCTCTCTACACGAGAGCCCGCTTGCTCCCCATAAAGGGCCTGCTAAGTCATTAACAGATCCACAGTTGCATCGACAAAACGACGACATGGATGATGGTCCTGTTGATGTGATCAGATCATCACCGATATATGTGGTGAAGGATTCACAGCGCTCTCCTGGGCCTGATTATGTGGAGCAGCCCGAAGATGAACTTATTGAGAGTCCAAGTAACCGAAGCCAAAGTCGCTTGCATGGCTCTCAACTACAAAATAAATCCACAACTGGTCACGAACAAGGCCGCTCGCTCCCTGCTAGGGAGGTTGATCGTCATGTTTCTATCCAAGGGTCTCAGCATGGCAGCAGGCAGTTTGAAACCGAGCATATTGGTAATCTTAGTCCGACTCGGCCAGATATTGCCGGCCTTGCTAGGTCCTCCAATCCGTCCCAGGAAGGCTCTACGGGCCTTCATACCAACTTTGTCCGTTTCAGAAACTCATCTGCTCCAAGCAGCATTGAGAATGGAGACAGGGCACCGGTGCACGATTCTCGAGGCAAGTCGTCTTCAATGCCGTCCCGTATAGCCGAAACGCCTGTGCATCAGCAGCAGCGAAGCTCTCACGATTTGCAACCATTCGCTACTATCCCAGAGACAAGTCCAAACCACATGAATAATGAAGGCTGGATGAGTGATGGAAACAACGATCCTGCGGATCAAGAGGATGATGACCTCCCTCCTCCACTCCCAAGAACATTTGATCGTGCCAACCAATCACAGCCTCTTGTCTCCGATAGTTCTTCTCCCATTAAACCCTTGCTCAATTCCAAAATACTGTCAAGCCCAAGTGGACGGCAACGCAGGGCCTTGACGGAGATAGCAGCTGATGCTTCGCCCCAAGTTGGAGGCTCGGCATTCGATCTCAACATCAATATTATGAGTGCAGACGATCATGAATTTAGGTCTGCTATCGCAATGTCGCCGATTCCACCACGCAAAAAACGACGGAGCAACGATGGTCGGAATATACCGGCCTCAGACCCAATAATCCCAGTTACGCCCCGTTCAAAAGCACGTCTAACTCCACCACGAGAGGATGAAGAGGTGACCGTGGCACCACCTCCCCAACCAATAGATCCGGCAGGCCAGCGTCAGCGTACCTTTCCCGGACGCCCGAAATCTTCGAGACGATCCGACTCCTTCTGGGATATGGAAGATTCACCGAAATTTAAGGTTTCTAGTAAAGAAAGATCAAAAATATTTGCTCGCTCTCTCACTCGAGAACGTCGACCTCCACCTGCTCCAAAATCAGAGACAAAAGAAGTCTCCCAATCTATTTCTGCCCCTATTTCTGCCCCTGTCCCTGCCCCTGTGCCGAACCCGGAGGAAATAACTCCTACCCCAGTCCCTGAGGCACCAAGCAGTGCACCGATTGTTGAGGAGGCACCCGCCGACGAATACCAACAACCTGCCCTTGATGCCACGATAATGGCGCCAAATCAGGTCCTTGCACCCTGGAGGGGTCAGAAGAGGGCATATTATCCGGCAGCTTGCTTTGGAAAGCCGTTTGGAACCCCGCAGGATCAGTACCTGGTCAAGTTTGAAGACAGCGCACCAGTTGAGGTGCCCCTAGGTACCGTTAAGAGGCTCGAACTGCGGATCGGCGATGCAGTGAAAGTGGATATGCCAAATGTTCCCAAAGTTACCCACATTATCAGAGGTTTCGCCGACAAGTTAAGTGCAGACGAGTTACGGTCGAATGAGACTGCAACGGGTTTCATTCCAGTCACCGATGTGTACGGGCACTTAATCGTTGTTTTGGGGCCGAAGCAACGCAAGAGTCTTCCGAGTGGAGGGTTCTCAGGCCCGGAAAATGTTATCAACGTCCCCATCTCCCGAATATACCTGGACACCATACTGTGGAACCAACTCAAAGACCGGCCCTACACTTACAACTCTGTGTCTGTAAGCGCAGAAATTAGGCCTCAGACCCCCTCAGATCGGCACCTTACACCAACGTCGCCGAGCACCCGGCTGTCCCGTAGCTTCCGCCTTTCAAATGGCTTGTTTACTGGCATGGTATTTGCAGTGTCATACGGTGACAAGAGCGAGACCAAGAGCCGCGTAACAAAAATGATCCTAGAAAATGACGGGCGAATTCTGGAGGATGGGTTCAACGAATTATTCGAGTTGCCATTGAACGTGTCGCTGACGACACCGACGAAATCACCAGCTCCGCAATCAACAGGCGCTAATGGTGGTCTCCGTCTTAGGCCAGGAGCTGAGGAGGTTGGATTCGCATGTTTGATAGCAGATAAACACTCTCGTCGCCCGAAATACATGCAGGCATTGGCTCTCAGTCTCCCATGCCTCTCAGACCGCTGGATAGAAGATTGCGTTGCAAAAGGTCGGGTTTTGGATTGGGAGATATATCTTCTCCCTTCAGGAGAATCATCGTACCTCAACGGAGCAACAAAGTCAAGAATTCTCACACCCTACCCCGCCACAAAAGCTCGACTTTCTGAAACAGTTGCAGCGCGGCCAAATCTTTTGAATGGCCAGTCTGTATTGCTCATTACAGGCCGTAGTGGCAAGGCAGATGAGGAACGAAGAAAGGCTTATATCTTCCTAACATATGCTCTGGGCGCGTCGAAAATCGAACGTGTTCCTGATATTCGGTCAGCTCGAGCCATCCTCGACCAGCAAAACTCCGGCGAGGAATCATCCAGTTGGGATTGGGTTTATATCGATGACGATGACAAGGCAGCAAAAGCCCTAACTGCGGGGAATGCTGGATCAGCATCGCTGCCGTCGAAGAAACGGAGAAAGTCCCGGCTTAATGAGCCGGTAAATGGGGATGACCTGAGTATAAACAACGACGTTCGGGTCGTGGGCAATGAATTTGTCTGCCAGAGTTTGATTCTTGGCCGATTGGTTGACCAGTGACATTGTCGGCTTGGTCCCTATCACATATGTTTGTCATATTACTGGTTTTTTTTTTAAAAAATGTAGGAAGGATATGACGTTGGAGTACAACGACCTTCCAATAGCACAATATACCCCCTTGTTTGTTGTCTACTAGATATCATGTTGATTAATGTTAAGAATGACCTTGATTTTTAGTTATTATTCTGCTTGGCAATAATCTGAAATGCGGTTATATTGAACAGAGGCTTATCACATAATATCTTCCTATAGTACAGAGAACACCAGTCCCAAGATGAGAACACGAGCAATTGGAGACAAACTATTAGAGTCAATAATTCATCGCTTGGCCTTCTTCGACGCCTTCTTCTTATTCTTCAAACTCTTCATCTGGGCAACACGTTCAGCCCTAGCCTGTCTCTTCCTCCAAGCCAACCACCGATTATCCTTCTTGTACGGCTGGGCGGTGATACCGGCCTTCTCAGCAGCTCGTCCAATCTGCCAGTTTGCCTCACGCCACATGTACCCAGGGCGCAACTGCTTCCCAGCGCCCGCATCCACAGCCGCCACATCCCCAACCGTTGTCCCACTCTCATTCATGACAACGGTTAGATCCGACTGTCCTTCCTCGATAACATCTGGCAATCTCGGAACAGCAACTCGGTTCAACTTGCGTCGCGTCGGCGCATTCCGAGGCGTAGGTAACTTGCCTTCCTTCTCAAATACAATTCCGATATACTTCCTCTCCGAATGGCGCTCGGGGTCAAGGTAATAGCGAACATATCCGGCCTCCGTAGCGTAAATGGTGTGATCCCTTCCCATGGCGCAGTTTTCGCCGGGAAACCATTTTGTACCGCGCTGGCGGAAGATGATGCATCCGGGAACGACGTATTCGCCGCCTGTGCGCTTCGCGCCGAGGCGCTTTCCGGCCGGATCACGAGAGTGCTTGTTTGCGGCTCCTTGGGCAGAGTGAGAAGCATGTCGAACTTGGGAGAATGAGAAAAGAGGAAGGTTGCTGGAAAGGATTGGCGATGGTGTTGTTGCAGCGGAGGCCGTTCGGGGGAGGAGCGATTGGGATGTTGATTGTTGCGGGAGTAAGCGGGTTATTGGTGTAGGCGAACGAGTGATTACTCCTCCCAGGGCCCGGAGGGGCGTTAAGAGCCTGGGTTGAAGCATCGTTGCGCGATTGTTTCCTGGTTGCAATCTGGGGCGTTTAGACGGAGTTGAAGTTCGGAGCGACTTTTTTCTCGGGGATAGAGAGTCTTGGCGTTTGTCACGTGTAGTCTACAACTTATTGGAAGGTGGCATTCCAAGATATACTCTTCTTATTGCTTCTCCGTAATCAGATCTCTCCTGCATTTTTTTTTTCACTTGTTGAAGATTGAATTGGTTGGAGATATTTTGAATGATCCATATCTTGTTTTAGAGTCTCGCGGACCACCGAGCTCGCTACAATGTTCAACATAGTCCGATCTCTTGGAGCTCTCCTCCTTCTAGTCTCTTTGGCGCACGCGCAGTTTCAATTCTTCGAGCACATGTTTGGAGGTGGTCAAGAACGCCAGCAAAATTCGCAACAAAATGTTCCCAGCGACAGCTCTCGATACCAGAGCATGTGGGAAGGAGGTACGTCATTAACGCTGACGCTGTTAACCTGTGGACTTTCTTTCTGTTTTCTATACCAAATCAGTAGACTGACATTCCGGTAGCCCGATGCGATAAATATCTATGCCCTGGTACCCTCGCCTGTGTTCATTTCCCACACCATTGCCCGTGCCCACACCCTGCCGCGGAGGAGAAGTTCGAGCTGGGCGACGGCAGTGCAGTTTGTGTCTCAAGGGGAGGATACAAGCCTGGGGAAGCTGCGCGAAAGGTTGAGCTGGCTCGGAAAGGACTTCTTTGATTGAGAGATGTTATTAAGTGTGTTTATTTTGTCTTGATTGTCACCGGAGTTGCTGTCTATAAATGATTTAGTTTGTTCGGAGTATGTACGGATTATATGGAACCGTCCGGCAAAATGAATATAAGCCTACCAACAATTGCAAGCCTCGTAAAACCGCGCATTAAAATCCCAAAAGAAAACAGAAGGTCTTGGATGTTAGAGGTCGTTTTGATCGTCTAATACGTTCTGGATCGTTCTGCCTTCTTATCCCCGCTAATTCCGCCGCCTTCGTCATTTTGGATTCTCGACCATCAAGAACTCCATCTTTCTTTCATCCTACCGACAACTTTCTTCACATAGATTTTTCACCCTCCAAACTATATTATACGGCATATCACTTTCTCATGTGGTGCAGGAGAGTCCAAATACCCGCCGCGAGGCGGTTTCAATGCCCAAGAGCTTCTGTCAGCTCTTTCACAAGAGGTCGAGCCACGCCCGCTCGCGGTCCCCGAAATTCCATTCGAAGACCACCTCCGATTCGAAATGATGCGACCCCCTCCGATGCACAGATAGGAAACACTGGATCACCGGTTCCGAATTATGACCCCGCACAAAATACACTGCTATCTCCCGTCTACATCCCAGAGGATCCCCATGGTGTCCTCAAGGAGTCCCATCCCGCCACTGGGATTCTAGCGAACTCCGGACTGGTCGTCCAAAGACAGCTGGAGTTGATGAATGTAATGATGTGAGTGACACATTTACATATCCATTCAATAGGTATAAATTGACTTTTCTTGGTCAGCGGTTTCGAGCAAGCCAATAAGTACGTTATACTAGATGCGGCAGGAAATCATGTTGGATATATGGCAGAGCAGGAAAGAGGAATGGGGAGCATGATGGCACGACAATGGTTCCGCACACACCGAAGCTTCGTTACGCATGTGTTTGATAGACACGAAAACGAAGTCCTCCGAGTAAGTTTCCTGTGGTCAGTACTCTTCTTGGCTAATATTCTCAGTTCCATCGCCCATTTTCATGGATCAATTCCCGGATTCGAGTATACGATCCTTTCAATGCCGATACAAGCTCACACTCCTCATCTTCTGCCCTTCAACCCAATACTCCTGGCTCTCTTGCTCAAGCCTCGGATTACCCAAATGCCCGGATATCGCCACTTGGAATTGACCAGATGCGCGTCATTGGGGAAGCACAACAACAGTGGGCACCACTGCGGCGGAAATACAACCTATTTACTTACCATCATTCTCCTAATACTGCGACTGAGATGGGAACTCAGCGAATACCTCTGACGCAGACCGGGCTGTCCAATTCTCAGCAAATGCAACTTTCTCAAACACCGGAAGGGAGTCGCGATTTTGGCGAATTTAACCAATTTGCCTACGTCGATGAGCCTTTCTTATCATGGGACTTTTCGTTGCGCTCTGCCGATGACCGTTTGATAGGGTCCGTTAACCGTGACTTTGTCGGGTTTGCTCGTGAGATCTTCACGGATACAGGTGTCTATGCTTTACGGATGGATTCGGCGGCTCTCAAACCTGCTGAAGCACCGGATCAAGGTACCACGATCACCGGCATGACCCTTGATCAGCGTGCCGTTATGCTAGCCACAGCCGTCAGCGTCGATTTTGACTATTTCAGTCGCCACAGCGGTGCCGGTGGCATGGGATTCTTCCCAATGTGGATGCCAGGTGTTGGCGGAGATGCTGCAGCTGGCGGTGCAGCAGCTGGCGAAGCTGGAGCTGTAGGCGAAGCCGCGGCTGGGACCGTTGGGAGAGGAGCTGCTGGAAGCATGGGTGAAGGCGCCGCGGCCGGTGTCGCTGGAGCAGGTGCGATGGCAGGATACGATGCGATGTCTAGAGGTGTGACGGGCGAAAGCCAACCCCAAGGAGCTGCACCGACTCAACCACCCGTGGATCAGAATTCACCAACGAGCAGCCAAACGGGTCCGTATGGTGATGTCTGGGAGCCAGAACAAAAGAATGACCGTCAGCCAGATAATCCATGGGCTGATGAGTACGATGATCATGACGGAGGAGATGGAGGGAGCGGAGGGGATGATTTTGATTTTTTCTAGACCTACAAAACAGTATCTATCAAGCCTTGGTTGCGACGCGGCCCTTGTACATTACCTAATAGAGCAGGCTTGCTAATAGCATGCTTTGATGAGACACGACATATTTGATATAGCTATACACAACTATTACATACTATTCTATTATTAAGAAAGGCTTAATGACTACTTACCAACTACTTTTCCATATTATGGAGTTGAGTTGTTCTGCCTGAGGCATCGGCGAACCATCACCAGATTGGACGCCGCAAGGCAGTGGCAATTCTTCTGGAAACAAAGACCCGAATCTTGGTTCTTTTCACAGTTTCATTGCCGCCACAGGATCTATTCTAGACAAATCTTAGATCCACTGCTTATTTTTCTCAAAGGTGGCCCTTCAGCGACCCTACTTCTCTTCTATCCTGCATCCCCTCCATCCCACGGCCGGTCAACAGTCAACTCCGACTCAGCACCTCCTTCCCCACTCCGCCGACTTCTTCTCCGCATCACCACCACCGATTCAAAGCCATTGCCCTTGCGAACCGCTCTGCAATATCCATCAGAAACCATAGCTTGTCCCCCAAATAATACCTACAGCCAACCATGTCGTCCATGACACAAAACCGTCTCTTCCGCGAGTACAAGACACTCTCAACAAATCCTCCGGATGGTATCACCGCGGGGCCTGTCTCGGAAGACGACATGTTCCACTGGGAAGCCCTCATTCAGGGTCCTGAGGGCACGCCTTACGAGGGCGGAATATTTGCTGCCGAACTCAAGTTTCCGAAAGATTATCCACTTAGCCCGCCCACGATGAAGTTTGTTGGTGGTGGGGTCTGGCATCCAAATGGTAAGCTCATTCCTTCTACTATATGTGGAGGGCCTCTTCTAATGTTTTCTTAATCGCAGTCTACCCTAACGGAACGGTCTGCATTTCTATCCTTCATCCGCCCGGCGATGACCCAAATCACTATGAACATGCGTCGGAACGGTGGTCACCTATTCAGAGTGTGGAGAAGATTCTTATATCCGTTATGAGCATGCTTGCGGAGCCAAATGACGAGAGCCCGGCGAACGTTGAGGCAGCGAAGATGTGGAGGGAACGGAGAGCTGAGTATGAGAAGAAGGTCAGGGAGGAGGTGAAAAGGGGTCTGGGATTGTAAGCCAGTTTCGTCGCCAGGGTTAGGTCTTGGTTCGCATTGTACATATTCAAGGCTGGTTTTGGTGGCATTTCGTCCCTTTTTTATTCTGCTGCTGCTCAGTGCATGCATAGCCCTGTTCATATACCATTAATCGTGCATCGCGTTTAGGACGGGTGGGCGTTGGGGTTGGTATTTGTTCCTAGTGTTTACTGCTTTACTTTCTACTCATGGATCCGAGCATTGATTTACCAGTCACATATTCGGGTATCAATAAATTTGCAGAATGGTTGTCATTACCGCCTCATCTCCCGATCAATCCACCCTTCAAGTCCATCTTCCCGGTCATACAATATCTCAACCTCGGCTTTCACATTCAGCATGAGCATGCGCTGCAACTCCACTCGCCATTCTGGTTCGGGCCCATCAACCGCCCACACCGGATTGTTTGACAACATTGAAACGATCTTCCTCCGGTCCCTCCGCGTCAGAGACATCAGTGCCTCGTCACCATCAGCTCCTAAACTCTCAACCACCTCCGATATACGTAGCCCTAGCCAGCGCAGAGATGGAATATTTAGTTTCCAGTTCTCGTTTGTGTGCGCCATTGAGCCGTATTTATATGTAGACATGATGGCCATTCCATCTGGATCACCGTCGACAAGAGCATAGCAGTGTGGAGGTCGGTCAGGCCGCAATGGCAGTATCCGCTCCATGATATTATGGATGAACGCGCGGGTTCCGAGGTCTGGGTAGCCCTTTCCCTATATATTTCATTACTATTTTCGTTCCTCTTTATAGTTTAAGAGTGTGTAGGGCCTACCGTGATGAGTATCCCCTTACCAGTTGTGGCGTAAAAATGGAAGTAGCTGCGCGCGAGTCTTCGGAAGACAGCCTATTGTGATAAGCATCTGAATATACTATGTAAAGACCTGGGTTCCGGGATATACCTCTTTCTCTATAATTAGAACCCAGTCAATGTCTGGAATACCAAGCTCCTCCATGTCTTGCACCCGTGGGACAAGGTGATCCTGAAACTAATCACATTAACACCACTCTTACCATCGAAGGTCAGTTGTTCATACCTTCGTTGATTCTCGCCCACCGACGATACAATTTCTTGCCACTGTTGACTGGTAGTATCCGGCAACAAGACCCTTTGCGGCGGCTTCCTAATGTGTTTACGGTCAAGGCACAGTGCTATTATAGATAGTTTCAGGACAAATACCACATTCAAGTCAGACCTTTCCACGCCAATTGTGAGCGCCAGATCGTCAACAAACCGGCCCACAACGCCCTGGGACCCGAAGTACTCCGGATCACTGTAGTATATATCTCTATATAACATTTATATTAGATTTCGCCTTCAGATGCACAATCTAGCGACATGTACACACCTTACCGAAATTGCCAGCCCGGCTTCCACGGCTTCACGTATGGTAGAGATAATGCGGAGAGCAACAGCTAGAAAACCGATGTTAAATAGTTTCTATTGATGGTGATAGAGTCTCACTTACTAAATCTCCACGCTTCGTATCCATCTTTTCCTGGAAACGAGTACGTGACAGTCGTTTCTGCCCGACTGCTTCTGAGTGCACCTGTCGAGGGATCTATACGAAATGTAGTAGCCGCATTTGCTGCTCTTCGCTTCAGAGTGATTGTTGCGCCCTGGTTCTCCTCATCTTCGGAGAGTGTGAGTTGGTCCAGCACAGTATCGAGAGTATCTTCGAGGTAGTTATTAATGCGAGCACGGGGAGATTGAGTGTTATTCAGGCGACTAGGCGTGACAAAAGTAGAATTGGGGTTCGCTCGCTGGATATCCATTCTGTTGAGAGACGCCAAGTTGAGGAAAGCGGACAGTGGAGAGATTGTTTTCTTCGGTTGCTTGATTGCAATAACGCAGCATAAAATGTAGCCAAGGTGATTAGCCTAACTATAGTCAAAGATAAGCATAACACACTACTGCATGTGCTAGCAAGTGTACGTATGGGGATTTTGTGTTTATTTAAACATCATGGATCTATTTTAATCGTGCCCGAAACAAGTAATATTATAAACGTACCTTAGATTCTAACGTATAAGGCATGATTTACATGACTTTCTGTCGTTAAAGTGGACGAAATACTATCCAGTACCTAGTATTGCCAGCCCGCTGTTTTAAAAAGGTTACTTTACTCCCTCCAATTCTTCCAGCATATTCCTTTGCCCACAATCTGTATAGTTCTAACGAATGGTGTATTCCTCAGGCACCAAGGCAATATCCAGGGAACAAATGACTAAGCAATTATAGACCCCCGGATTTCAGACCAGAACTCTTCCGATTCCTGTTTACACCACGCAATTGATTTGTCGCTTCTTCTATTCTTTGTTTGTTTGGTCTCTACAGTCGTCATTTTCGCAGTCTTTTCGGGGCCAGCCACGTTAACAATGTTAGGCGACCACATTGCGCCCTGGCGAACAGAATCCCAGGGCCATCTTTCCCCTGACGCTAACAACGACTTAAAGACCGACTATTCAAAATGGCGACTCCTAGACGACGATGGCCGCCAAACATGGCACTATCTTGAATCCGATGAGGAAAATAAGAAGTGGCCCCAATCAATTGCCGACAAGTACTTTCTGGGTCTTCCTACGGTAATACTTTCGCGCTCTTATTATATCAAATTCTAATGCAACTAGGGGCTTCCTGAGCTGCCAAAGGCACGGACTCCTTTGCAGTGTGCAGAAAACGGCTTAGAATTTTTTTCCAAGTTGCAACTGCCCCCAGGTAACTGGGCATGCGAATATGGAGGCCCAATGTTTCTACTCCCCGGTCTAATCATCACCTATTATGTCACCAACACTCCAATTCCTCCGGAGTACGCGACTGAGATCAGGAGATATCTCTTCGCACGACAGCATCCAGAGGATGGTGGCTGGGGCCTGCACATCGAGGCTCATAGCTCTGTATTTGGCACCAGCATGAATTACGTTGTGCTGCGTATTCTAGGTGTCAATGAAGATGATCCTCGTATGATTAAAGCCCGAGGGCTATTGCATAGTTTTGGGGGTGCCATATATGGACCTCACTGGGCCAAGTTCTGGCTTAGTGTCCTCGGCGTCATGGATTGGGACTGTGTCAACCCTGTCCCTCCTGAGATCTGGTTTGTGTCTCTACCACTGTGACTTGGGTTCTAGACTAATTCTTTGCAGGTTACTTCCTGACTGGGTACCCTTCGCGCCCTGGCGCTGGTGGATTCATATGCGCCAGGTCTTTTTGCCCATGTCGTACTTGTGGTCTAAAAAGTTCGCCTACCCATTGACTCCTCTCACGAAACAGCTAAGGGAGGAACTGTACACGCAGTCCTATGACTCGATAGATTTCGCCAGTCACCGAAACTCAATCCACAAAGCCGACAACTATTACCCTAAAACATGGCTTCTGAACACCCTTAATTCACTACTTGTGAATGTTTGGAACCCTGTCCTTCGTATCTCTGCCATAGTCAATCGCGCAGAGGACTGGACATGGGAGCTGATTCGCATGGAAGACGAGAATACGGACTATGCCGGTCTTGGGCCCGTCAGCAACCCAATGAACATGATTGCGTGCTATATCCATGATGGACCAGATAGTTACTCAGTTCGCCGACATCGAGAGCGTCTGAACGACTATATGTGGATGAAGGGTGAGGGCATGCTAATGAATGGCACCAATGGTGTTCAAGTTTGGGATACCTCTTTTATCACACAAGCTATCGTCGTTGCAGGGTTTGCTGATGATCCGAAATGGCGACCAATGCTTTCCAAAGCCCTGGAATTTTTAGATGCACACCAACTTCGAGAGAACGTCCCCGACCAAGAAAAGTGCTATCGTCAACATCGGAAGGGGGCATGGCCATTTAGCAACAAAACCCAGGGATATACCGTCAGTGACTGCACTGCGGAAGGTTTACGATCATCAATCCAGCTCCAGGAAATGCATAACTTCCCGAAGATGATTTCGGAAGAACGTCTTAAGGACAGTGTGGACTGTTTGCTGCTAATGCAGAACCCCTCTGGTGGCTTCACCGAGTACGAGACCACCCGTGGCTCTGCAAAGATTGAATGGCTGAACGCGGCTGAAGTATTCGGTGGTATTATGATTGGTTATGACTACCCCGAATGTACTACTGCCTCAGTTACAGCCCTTTCCCTGTTCAGCAAGTTCTATCCCACTTACCGTGCGGAGGAGATCAAGACAGCGAAGGCCAAAGCAGTGAAATACATTAAGCGCGTGCAAAGAGCCGATGGGAGCTGGTACGGTTCTTGGGGGATCTGCTTCACGTATGCTGCTTTGTTCGCCCTGGAAAGTCTTGCGAGCATCGGAGAGACATACGATACTAGCGAAAACTCTCGCCGCGGCTGTGAGTTTTTAATCTCGAAGCAGAAGGAGGATGGAGGATGGGGAGAATCATACCTCAGCAGCGAGAGACACGTCTATGTCCAACACGAGAAATCCCAAGTATGCCAGACGGCTTGGGCCTGTCTCGCTCTGATGGAAGCGGGATATCCACACAAAGAACCGCTCCAGAAGGCAATGAAGCTCATGATGTCCAGACAACAGCCCAACGGCGAATGGCTGCAAGAATCCATTGAGGGGGTATTCAACCAGTCTTGGTCAGTTTTCCGATTATACCCACCCTATACAGCGAAACTAACACAATATTAGCATGATATCATACCCCAACTACAAGTTCTACTGGCCTATCCGTGCCTTAGGCTTGTACAGTAGGAAGTTTGAAAATGAGGAGCTGCAATAGCTGGTTCTCTGTATAACTAATGATAATAATAGCGAAAGTACAAAAGCCGGCTTCCACGCATTAATATGACCTAAAATAGGATATATACCTTTCTTCTAATTAACGACTAATACATTATTTCAAAGAGAACCCCTGATTCCATGCAATTGCGAGAGAAGATATCCTCATTGGGGAAAGAGTGAGGACGCATAAAATTACATAAGCTCTTCCCCGCGTTGGTTCGGAGAAAAGAGAAAGTTATGGAATCATGCGACAGGTAACTAACAAACACAAAGGACTTTGGGGCTGGCTTCCTCAACTTTGGCCTATCTAACTTTTCACAAACCCAATTTCCACTTGTTCCTTAAAGGTCTCTCAGCCCCCTCTTTCTTCATCAAAAGGACACACAACTACCCCGACCCCGTGAAAACAAAAGAGATAGCTAAAATCAAACCCCCCGCCCTAAGACACAAAACATTCAGTCTGTGAAACAGCAGACATGAACGCCGCTTCTCAGGGCGATGATGCCGCCGCAAAATCTGACTTCCTCGGTGCTCTCCAACACTACACCCGTGCCCTCGCCGAGCTTCCCCGCGCCCCAACCTACTACATCAAGCGATCAACCGCATACATCCGCCTCAAGCCCTCCGATGGCGGCCCCAATGCGCAAGCTGCACTCCGTGATGCTGAAATCGCTGTGATACTGGGGCGAGAGCGTGCGAAGCGCGACTTTATACTTGCTGCGCAGATGAGAAGAGCTATAGCACTCTGGCACCTAGAGAGATACGGAGATGCGGGGTTTGTGCTTGAGTTGTTGGATGAGAAGGTGGGAGATAAAGGGAAGCAAGGCAGCGATGGTATCGGTAATCCGGGCGCTGCTGGTAGAGTGAAAGATGTTATGAGCGGGTCGAAGTCATCGGGGCCGGCAAAGAGCTTGCCGCAGGAGCTGTCGATTTGGTTGATGAAGATAAAGGCAAAGCTTGGACAGCTGGAAGAGAGCGATGAAAGGCGAAAGGTCAGTGTGGAAGAGTTTCCTGTTGGCGTGAAGGTGCCATCGGAGAAGGATCTAAAGAAGCAGCTTGAGGCATTGAAGGCGGGTAAGATTGGCGGTGGTGATGAGTCTAGTGTCGCACCTGACACTGCCGCTGTGGCGGACAAAAAAGAGACTGGAGATGCGAGCGTGGGGGCTTCTAATGAAGTCAAACCTCCTGCCGCTGCCACTTCTCAGGCCATTGGGAGTATCCGACATGAGTGGTATCAGTCAAACGATTCCATTGTCGTGACACTTTACGCGAAGGGCGTGGCTAAGGAAAGCGTGGACGCTGAGCTCAAGAGTGACTCGGTATGCATACCTCCTCAACCCATCTACTTCAGCCAATTGGCAATACTAACTACGACCCAGGTATCTGTACAATTCCCGCTCCCATCAGGTTCAGAGTATACCTTTTCTCTTGACCCCCTCTTCGCCTCCATCGACGAATCTACTTCCAAAATCAACACATTTGGTACAAAAGTCGAATTGGTTTTGCGCAAGAAGGCGCCCGGACAAAAATGGAGCTCCCTCGAATCCTCGCCATCCACCATTAAGCCTTCCACCGTCCCCTCTACCGATGCCGCCCCTAAGCTCGCAGCTGGCCCATCGTACCCAACTTCCTCACGCCACGGCGCCAAAGACTGGGACAAGGTCGCCTCGACGCTCACAACTAAGAAGCCCAAAAAGCCACACTCCCACGAGAATGGCAAAGGCAAGCCCACAGAAAAAGCCAACGGTGAGGCAGACGAGCTTGCAGATGAATCCGACAACGAAGGCTCCGTAGACTCCGAGTACGGCGGCGATGCTGTAGATGGGTTCTTCAAGAAACTGTACGCTGACGCGGACGATGATACCCGGCGTGCTATGATGAAGAGCTTTGTTGAGAGTAACGGAACCTCCCTAAGCACGAATTGGAGCGAAGTTGGAAAGGGGAAGGTGGAACCTTATCAGTCCAAGGATTGAAGTCGACTAATCTTCACAAAGCTTTCCAACCTTTCAAAAACTAGTCTATTCAGCTCTCTCAGACCATCTGTCTTTTTTTTATGTTTAAAGGAGCGACGGAGTGGGTGTTTTTGTTTCAAGCAATTGATTGTTTGTATCCCTTTTCCAGTATCATACTATATTGTGAGACTCAGTAGTCTTGGCAGAACCTAGAAAATTTGACTCCATTCTCTTGTCTTCGTATGCCAAGATGTACCATGATATCACCGACAAGTAAACCAACATGAAGCAGATGTGGTATCCCATAACGCCTATAACCTCTATGCTTCTCTGAAGACTCGGAACAAAACTAATAAAGAAAATTTAAGAAACAACCATCGTCAATCACGCATCACTGTCCTGATACAGAAAGAATTGAAGAAAGATGACCATATCCAAAAACAACGTGCCGAAACTCCCAATCAACCAGGATAAATTCACAAGTATATACCGGCCATACAACTTTCCAAGCTCACCGTCCTTGCAGTGGCGAGCCCGCTCACACACAGGAGAGTAGGCTAGAATCGAGAGCACATACGTGAGGTTCCCAATACAAGCGAAGAGGAAGAAGAGGAAGGATACACCGTCGGTGGACTTTCGTTTGTAATTGAGAAGAATTTGAGGGAGTCGAGATCCGAGGTACAAAACCGCACACAGATATCCGAAGACCTGACCGAGAGTATCAAAGGAGAGGCCGTCGTTGCGGTGGGCTTTATGCTTCTCGTGTTTGGCCGGCGCAGAGCGACTGACATACCAGCCTAGTATTCCTGCAATGCAAACGATAGCGACGGCAGAGAAGTTAAAGAGGACGGACTGGAGGGTCGAGATCGTTTTTGCGTGACGCGACGGTTTTGACGGTTCGACGAATGGGGTTGCGGGCGAGAGATGGGTTCCATCAACAGTTGGGTGGAGGAACGAGGACGCTGAGTGTCTGCGATGACTTGGTGACAGTAGTGGTGCTGAAACCACGCCATTAGTATTGGGCGCCCTTGAGCTCGACGCACTTGCGCCGGCGTTGTAGGTTTGGTGGGTAGCGTGTGTGGAGAGCAGAGATGTTTGCTCGTTTGGTTTTCTTGCAATGACCGGTGATGGAGTCTCTATTTCGTCAGGCTCGTCTCCTCCGGAAGAAGAAGACACATCATCGCTAAGAGTGAAGCCACGGTAGTAAAAACATTGGCCAAGCAGCACGATGTCGGCGAGGGTGTAATAGACTGCCAGGATGATCATTGTTGGCAGGACACCCTGCAGGACAGCACCAAGTATGTTGAAAACGTCTCCTGCCAGCCAGACCACAAGAAACAGGAGGGAAAGGCCATCGGCCGAGCCACGGCGGAAGTTCTCAATGATCTGCGGCGAGAAGACGACGACCCAGCAAGCAATCGAGATAGAGCTGGAAGTGGTTAGCAGAGTCCAGAAGTCGAAGAGAATGAAGTATATTAACGCACCCGCAGATCCCACTTAGGGCCTCCAGGTCAATATTAAGGATTTGAAGGGGAAACATTTCGAATCGCGTCCAATTGAGCGTGGACAATGGCGTCAATGGGGAGATCCAAAGAAAATCCGGGGTTGAGAGAAAAAGTCTCTTCGTTAGGGCTTATGACGTAGGTAACATGTTCCTAGTCATGGAGCTTCTCAAACACACAACCTCAATTGATTATGAAAGCTTCGATTCCAGATATATACTGCCGCTCGAATAATGTGCTATAGACTCTACAAATAGACTGTTTTGTCTCCATGCTACAGTCTTGTTTGTGAACATTGCAAAAGAGAGAGATAGATCTAAAAGCAGCAATGGACGTCACGTGGTATGACATGGGTTAGTCAGCTCCCGGTGTGGAGCCTCAATATGAGAGCGGCTGCGGCAAGTCCGGCGAGGCTCCGATGAGCATTTCCAAGCTTCGCCTTCTTTGAGCCGATGTAGAATTTGGTTAAACATGTGTGCTCGATGACGGTTCTAGCAATCCGAATTCCCTTCACCGGCCCATTACCCCCGCCGATTATTGTTCCGCCGTCCGCCAGCTCAGTGTCGGGAGCAATCGATGCCTTCCTCAACTTCCTGACCGCGGCGCCGTCGCCTTACCTCCGCGGAGTTGACGTTGGACGAAACTCCCAGAGCGTCCTTCTTACCGGGGCTGGAATCTCGGTGGCATCGGGACTGGCAGATTATCGGGGCGAAAATGGCACGTATGTCACGAACAAGACATATCGGCCGATATATTTCCATGAATTCGCAACGCGGCATGAGTCACGGAAGAGATATTGGGCTCGCAGCTTTGTCGGATGGCCTGGGCTTGTGAAGGCAAAGCCAAATTCAACTCACTGGGCAGTCAAAGAGCTCGGCGCCAAAGGTTATGTTAGCTCAGTGATCACACAGAACGTCGACTCGTTCCATCAAATAGCTCATCCTGAGATCCCATCGGTTGAACTACACGGATACCTAAGGTCTGTTGTTTGTTTGAGCTGTCGGAATCAGTTTCCGAGGGCTGATTTCCAGGAATCTCTCGAGAAGCTCAACCCAGCCTGGGCAGAATTTCTAGCGAAGATGGTCGACAGTGGAGCTCTTGATGTAAATAACCCAGAGGAGCAACAGCGCATGGGATTGAAGCTCAACGCAGACGGAGACGTTGAGCTACCAGAGGCACCATATTCCACGTTTCGCTACCCTTCGTGTCCGACTTGCCTTGAGAAACCCCCACGGCTTGAAGATGGAACCCCCGCGAGGGTTGAGGTTGAAAAGGATGGGGCCTGGCTGCCCACTTCGAAGGCGGGTATTCTGAAACCCGCGGTGATCATGTTCGGAGAGAACATTGACCCGGCTGTCAAGCCAGCCGCAGAAGAAGCCATTGACGACGCGGGAAGATTACTTGTCCTCGGAACGTCATTAGCCACATACTCTGCATGGAGGTTAGTGGAAAGAGCCTACAAGAGAGGGATGCCGATTGGCATTATCAACCTTGGAGGCGTTCGAAACGAATCAATCCTGGCCAATAATGAAGCAAACAGAGGCAACGATATTGTTTCGCGATATACCCGCTGCAGCCTCAACTCTGACTCCATCTTACCATTCATTGCATCCCAGCTGCCAAATATCTTGCATTAATTTTTCTTTTTGCCAGGGCCAATGGCAAAGACATAGAATCGTGGTACCATAGATCAACTATTCTTAGAAACTTCTCTATATATAAGTTGGCGCCGACCAATAAAGAAATATAGTTGACGAGCGCGTGCCGCTGAGAAGACAATTATAGTAATATAAAACCGCTCGAGGGCTGATACTTCCTCTTTAGCCGCCCGCTGGAGTTGGGCGGGACGAACAATTTCGGCGTCCGGCCCGTCCGTGCTTTGCACTCTTGGGTACTTCGAGTCGCGGGGCTCGATCCCGCCGCGACAGAATTAATTAACGGAAACTGACATGACTTCATTACAAGACCCCCAGCAACTGCATACAACTTCCTCGCCCTCGTCCTTGCTGGACCTTGCATCCAGCCTCGTTTCCCCAAAGTCCTTCCTTTTCAACGCTTACCACAAAACACCCCCTCCTTCACTCCCGCCCCAACGTGCGCCGACGATGGACAAGTCGCAGCAACCCAGCTCATTTCAGCAGCTGGAGAAGGTGAGAACCCCATTAATCTCTGGGCCTGAGATGCAGGGGATGTATTCAGAGACTAATCGTGATTCTTTCTTCCAGCTCGGAGAGGGTACATATGCCACCGTACGTTCATTCACATCTTTTGTCTTATTGCAGACCACTCCTTGAACAAGCCATTCCTTGACCGGGCCATATCCATGCTAAAAGAGGCGCATCATAGGTTTTCAAGGGGCGAAATCGCCAGACTGGCGAACTGGTAGCTTTAAAAGAAATTCATCTTGATTCTGAAGAAGGAACGCCGTCCACCGCCATTCGCGAAATCTCGTTGATGAAAGAGTTGAAACATGAGAGCATCGTATCTCTTTACGACGTGATTCATACGGAGAATAAGCTCATGCTTGTGTTTGAATACATGGACAAGGATTTAAAGAAGTACATGGACACCCGGGGCGATCGGGGGCAACTGGACCAAGCTACCATCAAGTCATTCATGCATCAACTTTTGAATGGCATTGCATTCTGTCATGACAACCGAGTTCTGCATCGTGACCTCAAGCCCCAAAATCTGTTGATTAATAAAAAGGGACAATTAAAGCTGGGGGACTTTGGGCTTGCTCGCGCATTCGGCATCCCTGTCAACACATTCTCGAACGAAGTCGTGACGCTCTGGTACCGTGCTCCCGATGTCCTTCTTGGCAGCAGGACATACAATACGAGTATCGATATTTGGTCCGCGGGTTGTATTATGGCAGAGCTATACACAGGGCGCCCGTTGTTCCCGGGAACAACGAACGAAGATCAACTACAGAAGATTTTCCGCCTCATGGGGACGCCCTCTGAGCGCTCCTGGCCGGGCATCTCCCAGCTTCCGGAATACAGAGCGAATTTCCATGTTTATGCCACACAAGACCTCAGCCTAATCCTCCCCCAAATTGACCCGATCGGCCTTGATCTGTTGAATAGAATGCTCCAACTACGACCGGAGATGCGTATCAGCGCCCATGACGCCCTCCAACATCCGTGGTTCCGTGACCTTCCACAGCTACAAGCACAGTTGCATCAGCAGCAGCAGCAGCAGCAAATGGCTGGGTATGGGGGGATGATGCCGCCGCAACAAGCGTATTAGTTGTTACATTTTTCCAATTCTGATTTGTCCGTTTTTCTTCCGCGTTGAGATTCATGGGATTATTCTATTGTTAGCAAGACATGACGAGAGGACTAGTTTTAGATAGGAGAGCACGGCGTTAGACACAAAGGGTAATGAACCAACCACGATACTGATTACTGGGATAATTGATTGAAAGAAAGTCCACGCCGTATCTCACTCTCCATCTCATGGACTTGCTGAATCAATTGATCAGCCTCGATCGATCGGGCCGCCTCAGGCACTAAAGATGATCGACCTTATAGCTTGCAAAGACCAATCAGGCAGTCTATGTTGAGTTGTTGTATGAAGGGGCGAAATTTGCTTCTTTCACAGTCTTTTTTATCGCCCAAATCCCAATCGATGACTGGCCAGAGCTGGAGGGCACACGACTGGAGCTGCCTCCGTCCGACCTGCGGGGAAGCGAATCCTTCCAGCAACAAGCAGTTTTCGTTTCAATCCATTCTGTGGCGAGTTTGGACCAGGTGATTGATCACTTAACCTCTTCCTCCATTCCGGACACCGGTTTCCTTCTGAGCTGTCTCTCCTTCATGAGGCCCAGCTGCGGGCCTTAACCTTCGGGCCACGGGGCCGGCCGGGGTCGCTTAATATTATGTCCTCTCGTTCGGATTGGGAATCTTCGTGTTTCAGATCGTCCACGAGCTTCAAAGGAGGCGGCCAGGAGCCGGGAACTCGCCTCCTCCAAGGCGGTTAATTAACTCCTTTGGTGATGATCGCTCATTTTCCATGGCAATCTTGGTCCCCCGCATTTCACCGGCTCGAATCCAAAATCTTGCTGGTGCTCTCGGATTGTCTGTTTGATCGCATTGGCCACCGCAGACCTTGTCCATGTCGCAGGCTGCAGGCTGAAAACACTCTTCAGCGCTAAGACTGGGCCTATCAATCAGAAGGCCAGCAACCCCGGGTCCGGATGGCCGAGACTCGTAATAATAAGAACGTATAATAATATGATATATTGATCCGATAATTCCTCCTGCATACCCAGGAGCTCGCCCTAGATCAGCCGCTCCTTTTGCGCCTGGGACCGCAGTTCCTCCCAACTTTTGTCTTCTGCATTTCTCACTTCTTGAACACTCGCAATGTAAACATCCGGCTCATTACCAGTCAGTCATGTTGCTATGTCTCTGTCGGCGGGCCAACTCTTCGCCATCTCGGCCACAGAGCGGACATGCTCTACGATCTCCCTGACTGCTACCAGCATCATCATCATCTCTTTTCTCTCCTCGCCATCATTCCGCAAGCCAATCAATCGTTTGGTATTCTACGCCTCGTTTGGAAATATCATGGCCAATGTCGCAACTCTCATCTCGCAGTCCGGTATCGGAGCGGGTACTAGCAGCAATCTATGTCAGATTCAAGCTTTCTTGATTCAATGGTTGGTCTTCATTGTGGAAGTGCAGGGCTGTGCATTGTTGGGTCTTTTTGACTGTATTGACGTCGTCAGGTTCATGCCCGCCGACGCCCTATGGACTTTCGCCATGGCCTTCAACGTCTATCTCACCTTCTTTCGGAAATATAACTCGGATCAGCTACGACGCCTGGAGTGGAAGTACATTGTATTATGTTATGGCTTACCATTCATACCGGCCTTTACATATTTCTTTATAAGAAGCCCATCTCGAGGCAAGATTTATGGCTCGGCTATAGTATGTTCACTCCCTTCTAGGCTGTGGCAGCATTCTTACCCATCGCAGCTCTGGTGCTGGGTGGCCCCATCATGGGACATCCTGCGCATTGCGCTCTTCTACGGCCCGGTGTGGTTCGTCATCTCCGTGACCTTGGCAATATATGCGCGAATAGGTAATCTTGTCTGGCGGCGTAGACGACAACTCAAGGAAGCTGGGGGGCTCGATACAACAATTGACGTGTCTATCCCGGATGATCCACCTTTTTCTAAGGTCACGGAAATTCGGATTACAACGGAAGATGCAGCCCCTTTCCGCTTGGGGGAGGCCGGTCCCTCCATAGAGCAGAACTCTAGCTTTGCTTATATTCAGTCGTCACATCGGCCCTACTCCGTGAATGTCCAGGCAGGCATCGCCCTCCCCACAGAGGTCCAGCTCGAGACAATACGCGGTGACATTTCTCCCAACACCCCTCCTCCAGATGATGAGCCCTATCGCCATTCGACAACTGCATCTGAGGTAAATGTCGCGGCTTGGGCCTATACTAAGTACGCCATGCTATTCTTTGTGGCGTTACTGGTCACCTGGGTAAGTCATTCCTTTCGCAGCCCCTTTCAAAGACTACTATTTGATTGAGTACATGACTTACTTGGAACAGGTCCCCTCGACAGTCAATCGCGTCTACGCATTCGTTTACCCTGAAGTATCCAACTTCGGTCTGAATTATGCATCAAGTTTTGTCCTTCCGCTGCAGGGCTTTTGGAATAGCCTGATATATATCTCCATATCCTGGCGCAGTTTCAAGTCGGCCTTTGTCAATTTTCGTATTAGTCCATTCGGACATGCATACTCCGGTGCTGACCTGCGACGTCCATCGAGTGGGAATGAAAGCACCCGCAGGCTAACGGTCTAACGGCATGAGCATCCACGACACTCCAAAAATTAGCGATAGTAATAGTTTTCTGCCCATTTTTTAGCGACAATAGAAAAAGAAATCTATTAAGTTCTCGTAATTAGCGTGAAAAGTGTTAACAATTATCCGCCGCGCAATAAATGTATACAAAACACGTGATCGACACGTCGAGTAATTTGCTTTGCGCCGCGCGCGACTGAGTAGGTACTTCCATACATTCCTCTGCATTCTCTCCTCAACACCCAACCACCGCAACACTACCCAACTCCTCACAATCTAATTCCCCGAACGTCCCCTCAATAGCACTAGAAAATGGCTGAAGGGCCCAACAACTCCCGTCAGGAAGACCAATCGCCCTCCCCACCTCCTCAGCCACCCATCGCGCAAACCCCCGGACCCCGCGTCACCCGCCTACAGGATATCTACTCGCAAGCGCTCGCACGCACGCTCCGCTCGAATTCCTATGCCAATTTCGCATCCTGCTTCCCCACGCCGGCAAAGCATGTCCCCGCTAGTCTGGAGAGTGTATGGCGCCAGCTCAATGCGAAGTTAGAGGAAAGTGCGAAGGCCGAGTTTGATGATATTCTGATCGAAAGAAACGCGATTTCGCAATTGAATGAACTGGATCGATTAGTTGGGGAAGCGAAGGCCCGGAAGCAAGGGGCGGAGAATGATAGGAAAGAGCATGCTAGGGGAGATGACGAGATGGAAGAAGATGAGAAGGAGGGCAATGTCCCGTATTAGCTTTCCTCCCCCCTTTTTTGGGGATAATTTGGTGGATATATAACTGACGCATGATTATAGGCCGCATACATTACCACCGGATGAGTTATTTAGGGCTCATTTAACGCCGCAGTTGGAGAAGACCAAGGGGGTTCTAGAGGGCAAGATACAGGCTACCGAGACACAGAATGTGGAGTTGGCACAGCGAGTACAAGCCCAGCGGGCTGAGATTGAGCGCCTGCTGGCTGGCTTGGAGACGGTAGTTGCGGATGTTGAGGGTGCTGCGGCTGCAGCGACTGAGTATGGGAGCAGTAATAACCTTCGCAAGGAGGCCTTACAAATGGACGAAGAGGTCAAGGCAAGATCGGATATATAAATTTTGCACACAACGTTACGGTCGAAGAGAAATTTCCGGGTATCCTATCTACGACAAAAGGGTCTCCATGTCAGCCCCGTTGACCCAACCTTCCTCCACCATGTCCTCAGCAACGACTAGCAGCTCTTTGGATGCCGTACCCTTGAGTTGCGCTAGTTTTTCCTTTTGACCTTCGATAGCGGCGGCAATTGCTTCTTTGCATGTCCCATCGCGCTCTTCGTCGCCAGACCCCTCTCTGCGAGCCAATGCCGCGGCGCCTCGATAATACGTTTGAGCATTGCGAAGCAGGGTTGCTCCATATTGCTGGGCCATTCCGTGCTCCCAGGGTGGGAAACCAAGCCTCCATCTGCTCATTTCAGTGTCACCTCTTGCGAGATGGATCTTGGGCAGATTTTCGGCATCCGGAAGTTTAGATGCTTTGGTTAACGTGTCTACGGCAGCGGATAACGCCTGCCATCGGAGGCCAAGCGACTTTTTGAAGGCTTCTGGATCGTGATAAGGAGGCTGTTCTGCTGTGGCCGTGTTAAATGATACGAGTGCATCAGCTTTAGCGCATTGAGCTGCTGGATCTGCTGAGATATCCAAATTCGGTGCGAAGGGGTTTACCACAGCGGCATATGTCTCGACATCTGTCCGTCCGCTTCGGTAGAGAACCTCATTCAAAGCAGCACTGAATCTTGCCCGAGCCAACTCCACCTCGTAGTGCCGGCTCGAGCCCCCCACGTATGCGGAAATCTTTTCCTGGAGCAGATTGGTAGAATACTCCTCGACCCAATTGAGCCCAACGCCAGGATCATACGTCAGGAGGTTGCAAAGTGTTGCAAGCGCGTCTAACTGTGCGATGGCCGTGTCCACAAGCGTGTCCTTGGTTACAGGCTCAACAACAGCAGCCCATTGCTCTTGTTCCGAGTCTTTCGGTTCGCCAGTGTCAGGGCTTTGTTGCACATCTTGTGGTTGCTCAGGCTGCCCAGACTGCTGTACCTCCCCGGTCTCCATCTGTCTAATCTGCTCCTGCATCTCAGTATACTTCAGTTCCTGGAGTACAAGACACCGCTGGAAAAGCTCTATCGCTTCCTGCAGAAACCTAGCTCCTTGGTTAAGTTGTTCCTCCGCCGGTCGCTTCGTGTCGGTAACTGCCTCGGCAAGACTTGTTAAGACCTGTGCTGTATTAAAGAGTGCGTCTGCGTTGTCCTGCTCAAATTGCAGAGCCACCCGATGTGAATGCAAGGCTACGCTCAGAACCTCCCCCAGCGGAGTCGTCAATTGTGCAGCAAGTCTCGGGTGTTGCGTGATCTCGTATTGAACTCTCGCCCTATGCAAGGACAATGCTCCGTTAGTTTTATGTCAATAATGGGAAACAGCCCTAATAGGTGCAACAAGAACATACTTGTTATACGCCAAATCAAACGCGTTAGGATGCCTCTGTAGCCCCTCATCGTATGTAGCAATAGCACGCATAAAGAACCGCAGAGATTTTGCCGCATCGCCAGCACGCCATTTCTCACCAGCCTCTTCCTGCTCGACTCCGACTAGACTTTTAGGTTAGTAGCCCTCATTCTCGACACGCACTCTTCCATTTGAAAAACCAACCGGCTAGGAATTCATCTGCCGTTCGAGGAGCCTATAAATTTCAACAGATTAGCACATGTTTCCCCAAATGGAAGTGATCCAAGATTAAGGACGCAGTAAAACAGGGTATAATTCATGTTACCTGCTGTTGCGCGGATTTCTTTTTCAATTTCGTATCCTTGAGGAAGGACTTGGGTTTCGGCATTGCTTGGGTTTATGTATAGTTCACTTTAAGAGGATGAATATCTGGTTTTGATTAGAAGATGCCAGGCAAAGACAGCAATAAGTGCGATATGGGACGAAGTACACAATTCAAGACTCGATAATTGTTAAATGACGTTCAGTATTTTTTTTAAAGCAGAGCAACCCCCCACCAGTGCGATAATGCCTGGTATCGTCCCACCGCTCTGGCGACCGCTTGCGGGGAGAAGGAGGGAGAAAAGGAAGTGGGAAACTGGGAATCCACAGCCTCGGCATGCCGAGCGGGTCTGCTTTGTATACAAAACACTGTATAACTTGCTAGGCATTGGGTCTCTGTAACCGGGTAACCACAGCCTCTTCTTGTCTGAGGTTAATTTACCTGCGTTATCCCGGCTAATATACCGATTAAAACCCCAGCTGTCTCTCAAATTCCCTCCACTTCTCCCCGATTGGCTGGATAAACGTTGAGCTCCTCGAACTCTCGCCCATCTCCTGCACCCCATTGACCAAGTACAAGGGTGTCATCTCCCCATCATCGCTAAAGAATATTTTCGCCCTTTCCCTCCTCCTTAGTGTCTGGGCCGTCCCATCAGTGTACGTTATCGTGGAGTTAAACGCCTCGTGCATATGCCAGCGCCACGGTCCCGCCAATTCCCTCGCAAAGACATGTGCTCCAACCCTCGGCCACTTCTGCCCATCATGCTCAACGAGATCAATCATCCAATGTGCAAGCGCATGCCAATTGCCGCGCTTGTCGCGCCACAAGAAGCTATCCTCAGTCCAGGTCGGGCTCCATTCACTCGTGTTCCAGCTTTGCGTATGCACAACCTCATACTCACCATTGTACCTGTCTGCATGAAGGATGGCGAGGTCTTCCACGGCCAGCACAATCTCGCCTGTGCGGTTTTCCGACGTCCACAATGGGTAGGGTGAAGGATTCGTGGAATGCGGTTCTACCGAAGCTAGAACCAATTCAAAGGGCGACCATGGGCCCCGGATATTCTGCGCCGTGGAGACAGAGATGTTATTTGGCCATTGCTTATTCGAGAGACTAGAGCATTTCTCGCGCTCTGGTGCCTCATTGTCGTCTACACCAATGGCGTACAGCAGGTATTTCTCATCTGCGGGGCTCCATACCACCTCGGGGTTATGTCGGAAGGGTTTGCTGATGGTATCGGCATAATGGTAAGGTCCCTGCGGTCCGCTTCTTGATTCTGCGCGCACAATAAATGAGAACGGTCTCCATCCACCCAACCCGCACCCGTCCGCGAATTGGGAAGCAATGAGGTGGAAAAGCTTTGGGTTATGCGGGTCTTGCAGGATTGTTCCGCCCCAGGAGGAGTTGCCGTGTGGGCCGAGACGGTTGGAGGCGGTTGCATCGATGGAGTGGTTGTAGCCGTTGTTCTTGATTGCAGGATGAAGATCGAGGCGTCCGCAGTCGTCACCGAACCATCCGGGATCGCATTCGCAAGTTTTCTTGGGGTGGGGTGGCCCTAGCCAGGGTGAGCCGGGTCGGCAGAGACCGTTGAGACTACAATCTTCGTCGGTCTTGCAGGCCTGAGATGTTGCAGCGTAAGTGGCGCAGTAGAATACGAAAATACTTGGAAATCGCATAGTGAGTAGATATTTTGATATAAGCTGGGTTCTTGTGGGGAAAAGGCGCTTTTGTTACTCGCATTCTGGACATGATGAATGAAAGGATTCTGCGGGCTAATTCTAACCCGAATGATATGTGGCCAGTGGGTATTTGATCATGGCTCCAAAAAAATGTTGGGCTTCATTATGATCCATGTAGTTGTTTGGTGGATATACTTCTCCCGACGGCCTCAAATACTTACATGGCGCAGCGCCCCGCACGAAACCAAGAACAACGCTTAGGATGTCTTCAAAATACTCTGATTAGGGAACGAGGCGAAAAATAATAATAATAATAATCATCGGCTAGTGTATAATCAATTTATGATCTGCTCGTTGGCAGTTTGTTATCTGGACACATTGGAGCGGCAGGATAAATTCCAGTAAGCAGAAGGCCAATAAATCTACAGTTGACGTGAGTGATTCGATCAGTGTCGCTCGGGAAGTAATACGGAGTATACCGTAAGTATACTACACAATAGAAAGACCATGGGCAGGTACGCTCCATCTAAATGCCCATAAGGAATAACGGCTCGGGCTAAACAGGGTCTACTACGCAGCACTAGTCTTTGATAGTTGCGTCTGCTATTATTACGCGAACAGCTACAGGGGCGTGAGAAATGTATAATGTTTCGGGAACAGCCAACGGCAGATCAAGGCACTGGGACCCTGCTCGGCGGCTCACCTGCCCCAAAACGACTTGACTTATGTTATAGAAATAAACCATTTAGATGGGTGTGCCAAGGTAGGTCTACGTCTTGGATTATGAGGTGACTGTGATGAAAGGAGGAATTAGAAGAACAGAGTTCCCTGCGCAAATCCTTTAGTCAACGCCAGAATTTCATGAGATGAACCGGTTCGCCGACGGACCTGTGTAATAACTTAATAATCACTTCTACCCAATCACCGGAGTATAGGTGGCCCTCTCAAAGTGTATGGAACCTCTGAATGCCACGCGGTGAGAAGTGACATCGGGCTGTCGGCCTATTGGGGACTGGAAACGGGCTGAAGGGTGTTACCGTCGCCCGTTTCCCTGAGTTTGAGCCGTCTTGGTTGAGCGATCGTTCAATCATCAAAGTGTCAACTATTTTAGCGTCAGTCTAACGGGAATCTAAGCCCTGAGAGATTGGACGGCCGAGTCATACAAAGCGGCTGAGCTGGAGTACAGAATAAGCTGTACCGAAAGAGGAAAACGAATGAATCACGTTCATGGGCGTCGGTCACAGAGAAGTAGCCGTGGTTGTTGCTGTGGAGGGGAGGGTCGGAGACGAGGAACTACCGCGGTCGTAAGGGATCAGCAATCAGCTCGGCAGTTCCAACTCAACGTCGAGATTATTGTTGTTGTCACAGAGCATTCAGCATTCCCACAGGATAAGTTGGCGGGGGGGAGAAGGATGGCAGGATGCAGGAAGCCCCATCGGTGGCCCTCTCACAGGAATGAGACGGCTGGATCTGACATGCTGGGGGCAGCGACGGCGCAACAGGGATCAACTCGCGTGGCTTTTTGGCTGCCGGGACCAAACGGAGCTCATTTTATTTGTCTCCGACACGTGGCAGCTGATGAAGCCGAGCAGCAAAGTACAATTCGTAGATATGATGTATGGTGGATATGGTAGCGTTCGCCTTGTGGCTTCCAAGGTTGGCTCTCCTGATCGATTTGGTGCTTGGCCCTCTCTTCTGTAGCTGAACCTCGCCCCAGCGCTGACTTCATAGCTTGTATGTGTTGGTGACTGGGGGCGGCGATAAATAAAACAAGTGGAACCGCATGGTATGATGCAAGCACCCACTCTTTGCTCCCTCTCGCTGCCGTCCCTTCAAGAGGGCTCCCTGGATGTCCACAGTAAATATACTAGACTTCTCCGTACGCAGTAGACTTAATTTCGTGGAGACAGAGACAGCGACAGCAGAGTCGATTTAAAACGGTCAGAAAATACTCCTACACTTGTCTGGTCCGCCCCACCGCATGCTCTCCTGAATTCTCAGACGGGTCCCTCATCTTCAGCGACTCTGCCTCATCTGCATGTCACTCCGCTTGGCTAGACAAACCCTCTCTCTCCTCTTTCTTCCTCCTCTTGCTCTTCCTGACTTCCTACCATCTACTGCACCGATTTAGTCGCCAAACCGACAAAGCTCTTGTTCCTGACGCTATTTGCTTTCGACCTTCGGACGATACCGCATTCAACTAAGGTAAGTCACGCTTTGCCCCTTTCGCTCGCTATCGCCTGTGCGCCTATGGAGATCCCTCACGCATGACTCCTATTTTTTTATTATTATTATTTTTTTGCAAAGACCCTTTTGAGGGCCGAACTTGCTCTTTTTCTTCTTCTTTTTTGGTTTCCATGCACATTCTCTTTCCCCTTCTCCTGTCGTCTCTACAAATCGATCTGTCGCTGAGAAATTTACAGCACATATAGACTGCGACGACTGCCTGCACCCTCAACTTCTGCATTCAAAACATCACAATCCAACGTTGCAGCGACGGAGGCATGGCGAGACAATCTTCTCTCGATTCAGAACGTCCCATCATGGCCCAGTCCGTAAGTTTATTTCGGTGCCTATGTATCTGCGATAGCACTGTCTAACACAGTATAGAACCGTGCTTCGAAAAGATTCTCGACCGTAAGCGGAAGCCCTTCGATTGCCTCGGAGCGTACAACTGGAAGCCTACCGAGCGGCGACCCTAAAGTTACTGAATATAATAACCTTCGCGAGGGCCTGGATCGTTTGGAAAACAAGCCCCTTACGAAGCAACGATTTATCCCTAGCACCGAGAAGACCGACAACCTCAGCAAACTTGCCCTAGGTGCCAAGGTAGAGCGCGCTCTCGGACGGAGAATGACGGGCCAGGACGCCGTCATGCGGGCGAAACCTGCGATGAACGAGAAAGCTGCTGCTTCTGAGCGGTCCTCTTCATGAACTTTATGTCTTTTTTTGCGGGAACGCTTCCGACCCCAGATGCTTTAAGATACCTTTTCTTTTGTTTGTCATTTCTTGCTTTTTGCGATCTTTCGTCAGCAGTTTTTCCTTGACCGTCTATGGAGATTGTGCTCCTCTTATTTCCCCCCTTTTTGGCGGATATTGTGGATGAAATTTGATATTTGTCTCTGAGAAGTTTGTGTTTTCATGTCTCTCATACCCCCCCTCCTTTCTCGCTAAATGTCGATTTTTTTTATCATGATTGTTTTGAGTTGCAGATCACTAGGGACTTGGATACACTATATTATCCTGTCTACAACACATGCGTTTTGTTTCTTCAAGATGTGCGCCTGGAAGGTTTCCGGCTGTAGAATCGCTGCTAGATCAATATAAGGACGCTCAATTATCACGAATGTGCAGTCACTGTTCCCTTATCGATTGTTCCTGCCGCGCTACTTGCGCGTCTCCTGCCAACTTCGCGATCTAACCTGCAGGCGGCAGAAAAGAAAACCAGCTGTATATGGAAGGCGGTCGACTGTGCCACACTGTAACACTCGTCACTGTCACCACCACAATTGGGGAACTTCATCGCTCTTTGCAATTTGACCATTTCCAAGTCATTCGTGACCGTTGCTCTTCGTTTCTTCTTCTCCACACCCAATTATATTTGTCCACCCTTCTACATTTCTAAAAGAGCCTTCTGCACTTTTCTCTTGCTTTAACTAAGCTTTGATCTGACTTCGACCTTGGCATCTGTATTCGCCTCCCAAGACCTTTCCCCGGCCTCGATTTCAATTCAAATTGATCGCACAAGAATTTCCTCCGTTCGCACCCCCAATCCACCTCCACGCAACCTTTTCAGACGCATTTCGCCTTCTATCTTAGGTCTCGAATACTTCTTGTACGAGCTCGCTTCGTTTTTCTGAAGGATATTTTTCACTTGCTTGGAGCTGTGCGTTGCCCGATGCGTCTTTGTGTTCCTTCTTACTCCATTCGCCCACCCGTGCTTAGCCGCGATGTATACTGATACAGGCTCCTGAACAGTTGAGCGATAGCTGTCGTTAGATCTTCCGCCCCCATCTCCGCATTACAATAGAGGCCCCTTTGTTTTATCGCTATTTCTCGCCCTGCTAGACTCTCTTTGCGAGCCGACTTTCGAAAAGTTACGTTCACAAACACAATGGCCGACACAACCCAAATTCCCATGAATGGCACCTACCACGCACAGCCTGCCTACCCTGATTCATACAATCATGCGCACACTGCTGTCAACAGTGTTTCGAACTTCCAGCCGGCACAGTCCTCCACGCCTTCCAATGCCCCATCCAACGACCAGAAAAATGGTATCTCCAAGGACGAGGTTGGGTGGTATTTCGTTGAGCAGTACTATACCAACATGAGCCGCAGTCCGGATAAATTACACCTTTTCTACTCTCGACGATCGCAGCTTGTATTCGGTACAGAGGCCGAATCCGTTCCGGTTTCCGTTGGCCAAAAGGTACGTCAATTGTTACCAACCTCTCCTTGCATGCCAAATAACGTGTTCGCGGTTATTGATGTCATCTCTTTTTTTTAGGCTATCCAAGAGAAAATTAAGCAGCTTGACTTTCAGGACTGCAAAGTTCGCGTATTGAACGTCGACGCTCAGGCCTCGTTCGAGAACATCCTCATCTCGGTGATTGGCGAGATCTCCAACAAACAGGAGCCCTCTCGCAAGTTCGTGCAGACCTTTGTTTTGGCCGAGCAACCTAATGGTTATTACGTTCTCAATGATGTTTTCAGGTACTTGGCCGACGAAGAGGACGTCGCCGGCGAGGCTGCTGTCTCGAACAACATCGCTGAAGAGCCTGAGCTTCAGGCACCTGCCCAGACTGCCGTTGAAACTACCCCGGAGGCCGAGGACTCAAAAGTGGACAATGAGGTGGCTGCTGCTAAAGTGGATGAGAAGCTCGAAGGCGTCGAAGAATCCGAAGTGGAAGCACCTGCCGCTGAACCCACTCAGACCAATGGAACCGAGAAGAATGAACCCGGTGCCGAAGCTGCGGAGGAACCTGCCGCCACGGCTGAGGCCGAGTCCTTGAAACCTGAGCAGCCTGCGACCCCCGAATCGACCCCAGCTCCCCCAGCGCAGAAGGAGGCTCAAGCTCCCGCCAAAGAGCCTGCCGCTCCCGCCAGGGCTCTTCCAAAGACTTGGGCTAACATTGCCTCTAAGGTTGGCGCTACTGCACCTGTTGTCCCTGCCATCTTTGCTGCCCCTGCTAAGGCTCCCGCTGCGACGTCCACTACCGCCCAATCTGCCGCACCGGCTCCTCCTGCTGCTGCTACTGCCCCGACCACGGCCCCGGCTCCTGGTCCTGAGAGTGTACCTAGTCAGCCATCATCCACAGATGGTTCCGGCTGGCAGACTGCAGGCCATGACCACAAGAAGTCCCAGGCCCGCACCGGTGACAACCAAGCCGTCCTTGGCTATATCAAGAATGTCACTGAAAAGGTCAATGCGGATTTGCTCAGAGAAACACTCGAGCGCTTTGGAAAGCTTACCCATTTCGACGTGAGCCGTCAGAAGGTATTTAAATGCCATTATTTGACAATGAAGCGTTGATTTTACTGACATTATTTTCCCTAGAACTGCGCTTTCATCGAATTTGCTGACCGCGCCGGCTACAACGCTGCTGTCGCTGCAAACCCTCACCAGATTGGAAGCGAACAGGTTAAGGTCGAGGAACGCCGGCCTCGTGGGAGCGTTTACGGTGGGAATGCCAACTATGGACCCGGACGTGGTGGTGCCGGCCGTGGCCGTGGCGATCGTGCCGGCAGCCAGGGTCGCGGTGGTTTCCAGCGTGATGGACGTGGAGGTTTCGCTCCTCGAGGTCGCGGTGGAAACGCCAATGCCAAGGGACGCAACCAGAGCCAGGCTGCTTGAAGCGTGTCCTTTGCCAATAAGAAAAGGTAAAAAGAATGAGGGTGTTTCCCATGACGCAGTCTCATCCCATGATTCAGTCGTATGACTCTTAACCTTTCACCCTGGTTCGAGACGGTATGCAAGGCTTTTTCGTTTGTATGCTTCTGTGATCCAGGACATGTATTACTCTCCCCCATTTACTGATAATGACGTGTGTTATGCGACGCCCTACCCCTTATCACAATGCATATTAGCGGTTGGAAAAAGTGTCATACTCATTTCCATTTCTAGCTGAGGGTTTCATTTGGCAGGTCCTTCATGACCTTTTGTTTCTATCCTTGTGTTGCCATGATATTTATTTCACTTTTAGCATAGCGAGCTCAATGCCCGTATTGTTAATATTTTTTTCTTCCATTTCATTTTTTTCATTCCCTTCTTACTGTTTTTTACATTTCCCACCTAGCATACTTTCCTTGCATTCATATTGAGGATGGTGCCTAGATGACGGTGTTTTTATTTTTCATATTTGAACATGAATCATGAACTGGCCGTGAGCCTGTGGTGGTCATTGAGCCCTTCGTGGGAAGATGGCTGTCGAGTGCCACGTCGGAGGTGCGTGGGCAAGTAGGAAAGGAGCATGAAGCTTCAATACAGGAGATAATCATCGAAGATAACATACAATATGTATTCAGTATTACTATAAGCCAATAAAGAGCTACGGCGATAATGCTCGGACCCGTCTTCCAAGGTTCTTTGGTCCAGGGCTCAAAAGCCTTGGGACTTGAAAAGATTGTCCACAAATTTGAAAGTTTCAGTGTTGCCTTCGCAGGCAGGGTAAATCCAGTCTTTTGCCTCGCTGGATCAAGACGATCTACGGTACAGGCTGCAGAAGGGAAAATCGAGCGAGTGCCTGGGAACCACTATGGGAGGAGGTGGAAAGTTCTAGTGGGCGGAGTCCGTAGTACAGGCGGGCAATATCAAGACCATGAACAGCCTGGAAGGATCTGACAGGACAATCCTGAGATTTCAGGAACATGATTGGTCCGGTAGCCACATTTGGTGGAGCGGAACGTTCTAGATTAAGAGCCTGAAGAACGAGGCAGCATCGGGTGTACGAGGATCTCCAGGTTGCTCTTGAGCACAGCGAATGGGATTATCTAGATGGTTGGGATTTGCTTTTGATAGAAGACAGAGAGGCTGGATAGTGAGATCTGGGGCCAAGTGAGGCGGGACAGCTGAATGTTAGTGGTGATTCGCAGGCGAGGCTGAAAGCAGGCAGAGAGTGGAAGGCGCTGGAACAGGAAGTGACCAGAAGGGGCGGAGAAGGTGTGGAAGTTGCTGGATCACCGTGGAAAGTTTCGTCCCTCCAGGCCCAAAGAAACATTAAGTCTCCCGCTTTCACCTCGCCCTCTTTTTTTCTTTTCTCCATCCGTTCTCCTCCCTTTCCTTCTTCTCTCCCATACCTCTCCCGTGTGCTTAAATACTTCCTTTCCTTCCTCATTCCTATATTCTCCATTACATCTTCGCCTGTGTGGCCCCTCATTCCTCTCACCGCTCCCCTCGATTTCTGTGAGTACACTTTCGCTTGAGTTTCCAACCCCGCTTCGTTTGTAGGAGCTTTCTCTTCTCAGAGCTTGCCCTATTTTGTGGCTATTTCACATCCGGGCGAATTTACTTTTGTGGATTTTCTCAATTGCCACTTGATGCATTTGGCGAAGAAAACCGAAGAAAAATAGCTAACAAATTTACTTTTTCTGCACAGATCCTATAACCCCTCACAATGGCTGAAACCTTCGAGTTCCAGGCTGAGATCTCTCAGCTTCTCTCGCTGATTATCAACACTGTCTACTCCAACAAGGAAATCTTCCTGCGAGAGATCATTTCCAACTCTTCGGATGCCCTTGACAAGATTCGCTATGAGTCTCTGTCTGACCCCTCCAAGCTCGACTCGGGCAAGGACCTCCGCATCGACATCGTCCCCGACGCGGAGAACAAGACCCTCACCATCCGTGATACTGGTATTGGTATGACCAAGGCTGTAAGTTCTTGTCGCAATTTATTTCTATCGATGAAATTCATACTAACAACGCTCTCCAGGACCTCATCAACAACCTGGGTACCATTGCCCGCTCTGGCACCAAGCAGTTCATGGAAGCTCTCTCCGCTGGTGCTGATATCTCTATGATTGGTCAGTTCGGTGTCGGTTTCTACTCTGCCTACCTTGTTGCCGACCGCGTCACCGTCATCTCTAAGCACAACGATGATGAACAATACATCTGGGAGTCCGCCGCTGGTGGTACTTTCACCCTCACTCAGGACACTGAGGGCGAGGCTCTTGGCCGTGGTACCAAGATGATCTTTCACCTCAAGGATGAGCAGACCGAGTATCTCCAGGAGAGCCGTATCAAAGAGGTTGTCCGCAAGCACTCTGAGTTCATTTCCTACCCCATCTACCTCCACGTCCTGAAGGAGACCGAGAAGGAGGTTCCTGATGAGGAGGCTGAGAGCAAGGAGGAGGGTGATGACGAGAAGAAGCCTAAGATCGAGGAGGTCGATGAGGATGAGGAGAAGAAGGAGAAGAAGACCAAGACCGTTAAGGAATCCAAGATCGAAGAGGAGGAACTCAACAAGACCAAGCCTATCTGGACTCGCAACCCTGCTGATATTACCGAGGAGGAGTATGCTGCTTTCTACAAGTCCCTTTCCAACGACTGGGAAGACCACCTTGCTGTCAAGCACTTCTCCGTCGAGGGTCAGCTCGAGTTCCGTGCCATCCTCTACGTTCCCAAGCGTGCTCCCTTCGACCTCTTCGAGACCAAGAAGACCAAGAACAACATCAAGCTCTACGTCCGCCGTGTTTTCATCACTGATGATGCCACTGACCTCATCCCTGAATGGCTTGGCTTCGTCAAGGGTGTTGTCGACTCTGAAGATCTTCCTCTCAACCTGTCTCGTGAGACCCTGCAACAAAACAAGATCATGAAGGTTATCAAGAAGAACATCGTGAAGAAGACTCTCGAGCTCTTCACCGAAATTGCTGAGGACCGCGAACAGTTCGACAAGTTCTACAGCGCTTTCGCTAAGAACATCAAGCTTGGTATTCACGAGGATGCTCAGAACCGCAACACTCTTGCCAAGCTCCTCCGCTACCAGTCCACCAAGTCTGGCGATGAGATCACTTCTCTCACCGACTATGTCACCCGTATGAAGGAGCACCAGAAGCAGATTTACTACATCACCGGCGAGTCCATCAAGGCCGTTGCCAAGTCTCCCTTCCTTGACAGCCTGAAGCAGAAGGACTTCGAGGTTCTGTTCCTTGTTGACCCCATTGATGAGTACGCTTTCACTCAGCTCAAGGAATTCGATGGCAAGAAGCTTGTCGACATCACTAAGGACTTCGAGCTTGAGGAGACCGAGGAGGAGAAGGCCGAGCGTGAGAAGGAGGAGAAGGAGTTCGAGGACCTTGCCAAGGCCCTGAAGAACATCCTCGGCGACAAGGTCGAGAAGGTTGTTGTCTCTCACAAGCTCATTGGGTCTCCTTGTGCTATCCGTACCGGCCAGTTCGGTTGGTCCGCTAACATGGAGCGTATCATGAAGGCCCAGGCCCTCCGTGACACCTCCATGAGCTCTTACATGTCCTCCAAGAAGACCTTCGAAATCTCCCCCAAGTCATCCATCGTCAAGGAGCTTAAGAAGAAGGTCGAGGCCGACGGCGAGAGCGACCGCACCGTCAAGTCTATCACCCAGCTCCTCTACGAGACCTCTCTACTGGTTTCTGGCTTCACCATTGATGAGCCTGCCAGCTTCGCTGAGCGTATCCACAAGCTCGTTTCTCTCGGCCTGAACATCGACGAGGAGGCTGAGGCTGAGCCCGCTACCACTGAGGAGGCTCCCGCCGCTGCCACAACTGGCGAGAGCGCCATGGAGGAGGTTGACTAGATCAACTGATGAACGAAGAAAAAAGAATAAAAACGAGATGTAACCATTTTTTTCACGACACTTAACTGCTTCGGCTTATTTCTTTAATTGGCAGAAGATAATGTCTTTCATGTTATCAACGATGTCAATCTTGATGGCGTTATGAGCGTTTTAATTTATTAAACCAAATGCAATATTGGTCTGGTTGTTCTATCACAACACCCTTTTGTAGAATTTTCGTAGAACATGCGTAGTGGGTCAATCCCAGTCTGGTCTAAGTCAACAGGGGGCTACTCAAGATCTCATGGTTGAACTCGTACAGGATGGAAAATAAATTATGGAGTTTCAAGATTTACAGTGACTGGGAGCTGCCTACCCGGCCATCTGTATTAGTAACGCTTTTTGACGCCTTTGCAGGATGCGGAAATTTTTATTGCGTACAACCTGAACCAGGGCAGGTTTATTTAAAGGGAGTAAATAGCCCGCCGGAAGAAAGCTCTATATAAATCGTAGAAAGATACGAGGGAAGTAGGTGAAACTTAAAAAAAAAAATAGATTATTCAATTTACCACAAACTCCAGATATATAATTGTCAATTTGCGGCATTCCAAGGAGATGGGGGTATGAGCAAGCATCTGATTTCCCATGGTTTAACCGTTTGACAGCCACGAAGAGGAAAGAAAAAGGTGAGAATGCATAGGATACGTAAGAGGTACAGGAAGAGAGATACGGGGGAATCAATAACGCCAGATATGAGGCTGGACAAAGAACCTCAAAATGCAGGTATCATATCATGCCTACTAACCGCCAGACGCCAACCCAGATAATTTGATGAGAATGGAAGATAGGCCGGGAATGGAAAAAAGTTTGTGATCGTGTGCGACATAGTGCCGCTAGAAAGGCCGAAACGAGAGTTGCATAATGTAAAAGACCAAGAAGACTGCTCGGATGTTGACCCGATGGTCATCGTCTAGTGGCCTTTTGTTTGGTGTTGAGAATGGTCTAATCGCTGGTGCAATACCAATCAAAACGCCAATCGGAGAAACTTCGCGAAGACAAGCCCCAGGTTTTCGCTAGCCAGAGAGCAAGCCCTCCAACAACGCCAAAACTGCCCACAATTTGGACAATGGCCCAGCCCCGTTGTTTGAGATCCTCAGACCACCGGACGATACCGAGTGGATCGAGAGGACTAATGCTAGCAATGTGATATTCAACACTCTGGCCATTTTGTGTTCGGACAAGAACACCTCCATTTGGCCTGTCAGCTGCAGCTGGCACACCGAGTCCACAGAAGCCAGGAGTTTGCGTGACTGGAACAAGAGAGCCATCTACGACACATTCTCCTAGTCGCTCAGTCAGCCAGACAGCTCGCTCGCCCCTTGCTAGTGCTGAATATCGTTCACGCTCGTTTTGGAGGCTTTGCTGTAGGTCTGATGCCCATTTCGCCAATTGGATTTGAGCGCGCTTCTCCTCGTGTCTCGAGTAATCGGATATCCGCGCCATCGTGTAACTAGGCGCAAATCCATACTGACTAGAAGGGAAAGATAAAGCATTGTTCTGCAGTGGATTTTGTCGTCGGGTTGCCATTTCCCTTTGTCGCTCCGCAAGTTTTTTGGCCGCCGAATGACGGATCCAGGCCATATTTTCGCGATTAAAGATGACTTGGACCAAAGGCGCAAGATCAGAGGCAACCAATGGCTGTACATAGTCAGGGCTCATTAATGTGCTAGCATCCATGACGGAATCATCAATTGACTTTGCCGACGAAACCGGAAAAGGAGGCTCATCAATATCCGGAGACACCTCTCCAAGAAGATGGAAAGGCTTCAGAGAAACTGCTCGAGCTTCCTCGTGAAATGCACACTTGAGATTTAATATTTGATCCGAAGTTAATAAATCTGACTTGGCTATGACGGGGATCACATTAGCCCAGGAGCTAAGCTTGCTGATGCACCCTATGTCAGAATGGAGTGTATCTAGAACCGTGAGTCAATAAAATCTAATTCATCGTTTAGAAGGGTGGGGTACGTACCCTGTGATATGAAATACAGAATGGCGTCCACCTGAGACCCTCCATTACCTGCCAGCATGTTCTGGAAGTCGGTGTTCGAACAATCAAGTGCTGAGGCGGCACGGAGAAGCTGTTGGCTGATATATTGGATAATGACATCGACTTGCCCGTTCTGGTTTAGCCGGCTTCCCTGTATATCGACGAAGCAAATATTGCGCTCGAGGACATATTCGCCTGAGCTTTTCCGTCTTCGAAGGACACGGGAGTCTTCGAGATCTGACCACCAACTGGGATAAGGCTTCGAGCTGGCGTAGATCTCAGAAATGTATGTGGGGACGTGGGTTGCCCGAGGCGAAGTGCGGGGTGATCCACCGTGATGCGAAAGAGACAGTGCAGAGGATGATTCACCAAATGGGTCAACATGGACAATGTCTTCGCAAACCTGTACGATAGACTTGATGAGGGACGTTTTGCCAGAGCCTTATTACGTGTCAGCCAAGTCAGTTCTCAAACATCAAACGCCTATCCATGTGTAATCTTACCAGATGACCCCGCCAAAAGTAGTTTCATCCGGCCAAGCGCTCTGCCTTTGTCTGTAAATGGTCTCCGATCAGGCATTGTAATACTCGGCATAATCAGTTGTGACATGGTGTCGGAACTCGCGTTGAGCGTGGGACGAGCGTCCTCGTCTTCTTCACCGGAGGCAACAGCCTGGCAGCTGAGATCATCTGCGATAGAGATCTCATCGAGGTGTCTCGTGGATTGGTTTGTGATTGACTTGGGACTGCTGGGAAGGGATGATGGTTCGTCGGGGTTCAAGAGGTTCAACGGGGTTAAAGGCCGGGGTGATGTGAATTTAGATAAAGTAAACGGCGCATCCAGCTTGTTGTGGGGCGCAGAATCGAAATCTTTGATATTTGAACTTTGATGTGTGTCTGGGGAAGCATAACCAGGATCCTCCTCCAAATTGTTGCTCCATTGCTGAAGTGGTGCAGGCGAGGCGGAAGCAGAGACGGGCTTGCTGACAGACGGGGAATCCAGCTCCGGAAGCGAAGCAGTTACGCCCGAAGCACCCGAGATCGATTCTTCGAAGCTCTGTACACCGTACATACTATCTCTTGGGTTATCGGATTCAACCGAGGAGAGCTCGGAGCCATCGGGGTGCGGACTGCGGGAGAGGAAGAAGGTAGATGGAGGAGTACTGCGGGGATCAATCCACTGCTGTTGTTCAACGGAGTGCTTGCGAGAGCGCGGAAGAGCGACGTCCGGGACGGGTGGTCTCATGGTGAATTAAATGCTGTAACCACAGGTCTTAAACAGACGATGCAAGGCAAAGGGGATAGAGACATTGAAGAGATGGACTCTATGTTGGCGATGATGAGTGCAAGTCCAGATGGAGAGTTTGTCTGGTATTGTCAGATGTGGTCACGTTCCTGGATAACCCCTCCCAGAACCCCGCTTTCTTACGGTCACAGCAATACGTATAAGAGTGGTGGGCTGACAGACTACATATCTGATGATCCTCTCATTCTCTGCTGCTGGTCCAGGTTTGGCCAGGGTTGCTGTTTCAGTGTCTACTGACCTACTTCGGAGGAGCATCGGATGAGGTCGATGCCCAAGACTGCTTGACAGTTGCATGGGATTAATATTCTCCGGCTTCGCAGGCTCCAGTCTGATATCGACGGGCACTGTCGTGCTACTACTCCTTCCGACTTAGCGTTGATGTCGGTTCTTCCAACCGACAAGCTCTTTGAGCTCCCTCAGTGGCTGAATCATGCAAGACCAATTTGGAGGGATCTCTGGCATGATAACAAATGAAAAGCCAGGTTCGCTTGTCTTGAGTGCTTGTGCCACTCAACTTTTTTTTTTTTTTTTTTCACGCGATGCTGAGGGATTCTATGCGCCCGTCCAGAGGGGTAGCCATTCCGTTCTCAACTTGGGGACTTAGCCTTTTCTCGCGTGGATAGCGCTGTTTGATGTGAATTTTAGTGTTGTGGCTGGCGACGACTTCGAGCCCTGTCGGCGCAGGGATCCGCAACTGGCAAAAGATCGGCCAGAAGGATTTAATGACTCTGATCACTGGGGTCGACCATCTGCACTGGGTTGCCATGGTCAATAATGGCGTCGTTAACAAGAAGCAGCAGTCTGCGATCTGAAAAAGTAATTGACCGTTGGAGGGGATGAAGGGGAAAGGGCTCCGACTCCGAGTCCCTGGCCTGGCTCAGCCGAGAGGTCGTCCGAACAAAACGGCAGAGTCCCGACTCCCCAGTCCCCAGCGCGATTCTGCCCCCCATCGTCAGCCCAGCCCAGCCGAACTCTCACTGGCACTACACTTAGCCGATGGCAAGATTAAAACCTCTTAGCGCAACTACCGCCAGAAAAAAACGCCCTAGAAGGTTCCGAAGCAGCAGAGAAGGCTGCGACGCTGTAAAAAAAGACGTTAACCTAAATAATATTGCATGCTCTGTTACATCTAGGTTCCCATTTCAAGCATCTGCAATAAATCCTCTGGGGCGAGAGGATAAAAATTCAGTAAGCCTGATTCGCCACAGCTGCTGGAGCGAATCGGGGCAGCCGAGTAGAATTCATTCCAACAGTCGAGCTCTCCCGAATGGGACCCATCATGGCCCATGGGTGGGGAGGAGGCTAGAGACCAGAACCTGCGAGGCGAGATGAGACTGCCCGGTCGGCTCCGTGGCTAGGTTTTGAATCATGAAGCCAAAGTCTGCCATTTGGGAGAGACTGTCGAGTCGCCGACAATCCCAGCGAAGATCTAAATCAGATGCGCAGTCGTAGGCGGCCAATGGAAGGCAAAGTAAGATGAAAAGACAGTGGAAGACCAGGATTGAATCGTCTTTTCCCAGTGGAGCAGGTGGTAACTGAACCTGGGACTGCAGGCGCAAGAGCGATTAAGCGTTCGAAGTTAGAGCCGGGCGTTCTCGCTCGTGTTCCACTCCGTTGCGACTTTGGCTCCCACTCCAGCAGCCCTCAATCTCATCCTCCGTCTCCTAGCCTTCCCCACGCTCTGTCGCTCTGTCGCTTCGTTCTTCCCTCCGCGAGGGTCTTTTCTCGTCGCCTGGAACATATCAGCCCGGCCTCAGTCGTTTGATTATCTCGTGGACCGTCTATCCTATATCCACCATGCTCTTCTGCGTTGCTTGACACCTACGCCCTCACCCTCATCCACCCGCTCATTGTCATATCCAATTGCTGGTGCTAGAAACTAGCATTCGGTGCCTTTCTTCCCCTGTTTACCGTCGCTGCTGCTTCAAACTCTGTCTCGACCCGAAATACTTCCACCACTACTAATCTCCGACCTGCGTCACCACAACTCAAATAGTACAACAGCAGTGGGGGAAGGGGGAAAAAAAGAAAACCATCAGCGCTCAAATCAAACACAAGTTCTCGCACTCAAACGAATCATCCGCCATGGAGCAAGATCCCTCAATGTCCTGGTCGGACATGCCTGCACCAGCCGAAGATGAGTTCAGTAATTTCCTCGAGTTTGGAATGCAGTTCCCGGATCTGGAGGGGCAGCACGGACCGACTGATCACCTCCCTTCTCGCTCCGTCGCTCATCAAGTTGCGATGGCCACCTCAACCGCTCCGCCCCAGCAACAGCAGATGATGTGCATGGATCCAAACGGTGTTGCCGATCAATCGCAACCTTACACCCGCATGATGGGTGATTTCCCTGTCGAACTGCCTGGCCATGGGCAACAAGGAATACCGCATAGCTCGTCCTACTCCAATGGCCCAATGACACCGGCGTATTATGCCCAAAAACCCCAAATGTTCCACGCCTCTCAACAACAGCAGCAGCAGCAACAACAGCCGCAGTCGACCTCCCAAACCTATGTTCCGCAGGGCCAGATGATGATTCCGCCGACTCCCAACAGTATCGAGCTTCAGGGCAATGCAGCTCCCTACCCCCAGCGCGTGGGAGATAACTCGGAGATGTATGATCGATATTCTCGCATGATGGAGGAACAGGTATGCGCTTATCTATCTTGATGTTTTAAAACCTCCATCGCTAATACGTGTTCTCTTCTTCTAGGCCCTCTACACCCCTCTTGTTTCTCCCGCTATGACGCCCTTAGAGTCCCAATTCAGACAGCCCGAGTATACCATCCCTGGAGAATACTTCAGTCCTCTCAGTTCACCTGCAATCGAAGCCCAAAATACCAACTCGAACGGTTTTCCCATTCACTCTGGTCCGCTCACTGAAGTGAATTTTGTCCATTCGCCCGTCGACAACGGCTTTCATTTATCATCTGCTCCGTCTTCTCCTGGTGTAGCGCGCAAGCAAAGGCGCCGGCCGTCTGCCGCCAGTAAAACTTTCATCTCTCGGGCTAAGAAACAGCAATCTCCTTCGGTTCGACCCATGCGGACGAAATCTCGTTTGACGGATGAGGTTATGAATTCCCTTACAGAAGGACAAGTGAACCCTACATCGCAACCCCAAAACGGTAATGGACCCCCCTATGGCAGCGCTGAAAGCTCCGGCCAGGATTCGGTGTCGCCTGAGCCTCTCTCTGAGCCATTGATGCCACCACCGGCGCTACCACCGGCGCGGAAGTCACCCGCAATCACCCCGCATACCCGTCAACAACAGAACAACAGCGAGCCAGCGACGCCGGCGATGCTGATGCGCATTCAACGGTCACCACATGTTCGCGCCGTGTCAGACCATAACCTAACTCCGACTCAACCACCAGTGGCTGAACACCATGACGATGTCATGGAGGATGTTGTTCTCCCTGAGGCAGCAACCCCGTCTGCCCAACTCTTCCGGCCCCAAGTGTCTCGCATAGATACGACCAGCACAACATCTCCAAGCATATCCGCTAATGGTGCGACGCAATCGGAGTCTCATCAGGCTGGGATTTCAGAGAAAAACTCCGCCTCTGTCGCCCCGAGCCCCCGTTCGATTGCCATGCCCTCTCCTAGTGGTCCAGTTGCGAGGAAATCAGAAACCCCGAAGCTCGGGCCCGTGAACAGAAAGCGGCAGAGTCTTAGTTCTGCGCATCCCAGTCCTAGCCTGCGGCCTAAAATTAGCCCTAACATACAGCCATTGGTGTCCGGTGATACACCATCGACACTTCTTGCCGGTTTAAAGTCGAACTATCAGCAAATCATAGACGGCACCCTTCTTCCTGGTGTCTCTTACCCTGAAACCTTGGCTGAGAACCTAAGCTCAAAGCGAACGAATCACAAGCTCGCAGAGCAGGGACGACGGAATCGCATAAACAACGCCCTCAAAGAGATTGAAACTCTCATTCCAGCTGCTTATGTTCAAATAAAACAAAGTAAGGAAGCAGCGGCTCTCAACGGGAAGCCTGACAAGGAGAAAGAAAAGGCTGGAAACCAAGCAATCAGCAAAGCCAGCACAGTGGAGATGGCTATTGACTACATAAAATCGCTTAAAGCGGAACTCGACGCAACGAAGACGAAACTCGCAGCTGCTGAAGCCAAATTGGGAACAGGCCAAAGCGCCGAAGATGCTAAGGACAGGAAAAACTGTGTACCAAACGGGTCAACAACGTCACCTAGCGATCCCAAGACAGCCAACCCCAACTCGGAGCAGGGCAATGCTCAGGCTTCAGCTATGGAGCCCTCACCATAAAGACTTGCTCAGTCGTAACCTTCACATCGTGGGTTGTGTTTACGTGATATTGTTTATGAGAGACGGTTTGACGTGATATGTAGACGGGCGGGGTGAATGGGTTGGAAATTTGGTGTACTATGAGACAATTATAGTTTGTTTTGTACCTATTTAGTCTGGTTAGGGAGGTTTTCTGATTATCTCGTTGATTCCCCTCATATTGTTTTCTCGGATTCGCAACTGGTGGGACGTCGTGTTTTGATTACTGGTGTTCATATTTCAAGCATTATCTATCCGTTCTCATCTTCGACTGCTATTTGGGTTTCGCCTTTGTCTCTTTTCTTTTCTTTTCCCCCCTCATCATTCTTGGTGGTCTACTGCTAGCAGTCCTGTTATAACCCAGTATAATAATGATAAGGCCTTGCATTGAACAACTATCTATCCAATCCATCGCCCCTGGGATTATTCCCGGGTATTTAATTTCCCTCCATAGACAACAACAAGCCGAGACCACGGGTCTCTTTTTATTTACATCCAAGAATGGATATTTCATAATGGCCGCCTAGACGAATGGCATTTCCCTAAGCAACAGGGTAAAGATACATAAGTCAGAATTCTAGGAAACTTTTTACAGTATTATCATTGCTCGTTACTCCATTCCAAATTCCAGGAAGCTATGCCAGCTCAATAATCCCGCACCACAGCAACCATGTCATCTAGCCGCGCAACTTCCCCAAGCAGCAACGATTCTTTCGCTCTCCATTCACGCAACCTCTCCAATTCTCCCTCGGAAAGATACAGTTCTTCATTCCCTTTAACGTCGCTGCGTTCCGTCTTTTCGAGGAAATCCTTCAGGCGCCCGCGCTCAAATCTTAGTCGTTGCAGGCAGCGTGACATTGATTTATATGTGTCCTGCAAAATACTATCGCGGATGCGGTCTGGATCGTAGAACCAGAGGTAGATGGTGCGTGAGGGCTGGCGTTGTGCGTCACGGGGGACTTCCTGGAGATCGACAAAGCCCCCCGTTTGCATGGATGCTAGGACCTGGCGGAGGTCTTTAAATGGCAAGAGACTGATTTCTTGGAGGCGCTTTTCGTCCAATTTCCCCTTTGCCTGGAGGACGCGGAGGACGCGGAGGGCAACGTCGCCATAGCGGGCTTCGACGACGCGCTCGAGTTCAAGGTGGCGGAGTTTGCGGGCTAGGTGACGGAATTCGACGGTCCAGGTTATTATGCCGCCATTCAAACGCTTGGAGGTGAGGTTAAGGGGTGGTTGAGCTAGGAGGCAAAGGTGTTGGTCTATTTCGAAGGTGCGGCTCCCATTGGTGCCATCATCGTCGTTATCATCATCACCATTTACGGTGTCATCCAAGGGGCGTTTACCGAGTCGATTGTTCGTAGAGGTTTCTGTGGGTCCTAGAGAACCTGTGAGGTCAAGGTAGGGGTCGATATCTTGGGCGAGGGCGCTCAGGGGAATGGACACTGAGTATTGTTCGCCTTCCTCGCCTTCGCGAGGAATCTCGACTGTATCCCGACATTTGGTGGTTTGGTACTCGATGCGACGGAGAAGGTAGTCATATATCTGTGCTGTTTCCGGCGGCGCACCACGCTCAGCAAATTCCAGGAAACGCCGGTTTCGAAGGGCAACATCCAGCTTTTCATAGTTCACGCGGACCGTTAATGAGGACTGGTAAATGTAGTGTTAGTTTTGTTGCAGCCAAGTTGTAAGAATGAGATTGCGGTCATACCTCCATGGGGACTTCGTCGTCCATCCATTCATTTTCTTCTTCCTCTCCACCTGCGAGATCGTCGTAGTCAAATCGCCCGTTCTTACTATCAAAATCGTCTGTAACTCCATTGGCGTATTTTCGTTTGACCCCCCGGGGTACTCCATTGACGACCAATCCACGAGTGAGGTCCCCGTCCAGCTTTTCTCGGAGCATTTCAGCTGTCTTTTCTAACACATACTCTTCCAGTTTTTTCCCTTTTAGGCTTTGCACCGAATCTCCTGCTCTTATTTGCCGTTCAATAGCCAGGATACTATCAGCATGGCTTTGAAAGTGCGCTTCTCGAACACGAACGATATACCCATGCCCAGCTAGAGCCTTCAGTGTCGGGTGGAGAAGTGCTGGCTGCTCTGAAGAATGCTCGCCATTTACCCCGTTCACTTCCGTTTCCTCTTCTGCCGGGTTCTCTTGTTCTACATTGACGCCATTTGTTTTTCCAGCGTCTGGTCGTAACTCCGGTAGAGTCTCGAGGTGACTTACTTGGGCATGACCGAGGTACATGATCGTCGACATGACAGTGGCGGCGTATTTCCCTAGTCGATCTTCCACGAGTTCCAAAATTTTCCCAGACCTAGTAAGATAGTATGCCGACTGCATATTGGCACTGTAATAGGTAACGCCGCCTTCTTCGACGGCAGTATAGAAGTACACGAGATGGTGTTGGATCATGGCAACGAGCGCCGCGCGGACCCGGTTTTCGGAAAGGTGGGTGAAATTTAGCAATCGCTGTAGAGTGAGTCGTTCGTAACGATGCAGAGTCGAGAATATGCGCTGCCATTTTCAAGAAGTCCAAGGTCAGTCGACACTGTCATCGTACTATATGCAAACCCTCGAGTCACCAAATTCAACATACCCCAAAGAGCTCGCCAAAATTATCTTCGACTAGGAGCATGCACAGCTCCGCCACATACTGCCATCCGCATTGTCAGCAAATGCAGAAAGTCTTTTGTATCTGAGCCGCGTAGTTTCGCATACCTGCGAAGACATCTTTTTAGTCTTCTAGAGAACCCTCCAGCTTCAATTCCCTAGAAGGAGCACGGTGGTCACCGCGAGAAGGTCATGGGGAGAGTATGTGAAAATGAGAAATTCAGCCCAGTAGAATTCTCAGCAATTCGCGAGTCTCTGCTGCTTTCCAGCCCAGCTTCAGGTTGCTGTCTTGTCTTTTTTTCTCTTATCGCAAATGCTCTCCACGGCTCACGTGCGATTGTGGTCACCTGATATCACATGATCAAGACTACCGGTTCCGCCCGCGCTCGCAATTCGGACCAATCAGAAATCGAGTAATCACAACGCCGACATCAACTTGAAGCTTTTCAGACGTCGTCAAACCACCAGCCAGCAGAGAGCCGTCTTCTCCCCCTTCCCCCCTCCCATCTACCACCACCACCTTTCCACTTGCTGTCGAGCCTTCGCCGGCCTCCTACGCTCCTCTCCTCCTGATTGTCTTCCCACACATGCGATGATGCTGTCGCGGTCCACCATCAGTCGAAATGCGCCTCGTGCGCTCCAGAGTGCTAGCCGTCGCGGCATGGCCTCTGCCGCTCCTCAAGGCCTCCAGTACGATGTTTCCGAGTCTGCTGGCGTGAAGATTGCCAATAGAGAGCCTGCCGGTGTCACTGGTACCCTCGCTTTGGTTGCGAAGGCTGGTTCCCGCTACGAGCCTTTCCCTGGTTTCTCCGATGCCCTTGAGCTCTTTGCTTTCCAGGTTGGTCACCACACCTCAATTGCTGGCCTCACAGCTTTCTCACGAATTTCTGGATGAATTGTAACGTGCTAATGCTTTTTTTTTTTTAACCAATTGACAGTCTACACTCAAACGTTCGGCGCTGCGGATCACTCGGGAGGTTGAGCTGCTGGGTGGTGAATTCTCCTCGACACATTCCCGCGAGAATATTGTTCTCAAGACCAAATTCCTTGCAAATGACCTTCCATACTTTGTGGAGTTGTTGGCCGAAGTTGCTTCCCAGACTAAGTTTCCTAGTAAGTCTCTTTATACCGAGGAAAAACCAGCTGGTCAAAACTTGGTATTCGGATTGCTAACGAGCCTTTATTTTTTCCCCAAAGGCTACGAGCTCGATGAGGTCGTCTCCAAGCTCCTCAAACTTAGACAGGTCGCTATCGCCAATGACCCTGAGGCCATCGCTGTCGATGCTGCTCACGGTGTTGCCTTCCACCAGGGCCTCGGTAACAGCATCTCACCCTCCGCTCATGTCCCCTACGAAAAGAATCTCTCCGCCGAGGCTATTGCTGAGTTTGCGAAGAATGCCTACGCCAAGTCCAACGTTGCCCTCGTCGGTAGCGGTATCAGTTCTTCGGAGCTCTCAAAGTGGGTTGGTGACTTTTTCAAGGATCTGTCCAGTGCCGGCAACTTGAAATCTGGCTCCGCTTCCACCTACTACGGTGGTGAGCAGCGTATCTCCACCAAGGCTGGCAACTCCGTTGTGATTGCTTTCCCCGGCAGTGGCGCCTTCGGCACCGCTGCCTATAAGCCTGCTGCTTCCGTTCTCGCTGCCCTTCTCGGCGGTGAGTCCTCCATCAAGTGGACGCCCGGCTTCTCTCTCCTCAGCCAGGCTACCCAGGGCTTCTCGCAGCTCCGCGTCTCAACCAAGAACTACTCCTACTCTGATGCTGGTCTCATCGCCGTCTCTCTCAACGGTAAGGCCGACCAAGTCGCCTCCGCCGGCAAGAGCGTCGTCGATGTTCTGAAGAAGGCCGCCGCTGGTGAAATCCCCGCCGACGAGATCAAGAAGGCCTCCGCCCTTGCCAAATTCCGCGCTCTCGAGTCTGCTCAGACCCTTGAGACCGGTCTCGAGCTTACTGGTTCCGGACTTATCAATGGCAGCAAGCCCTACCAGATCGCTGAGGTCGCCCAGAGTGTTGACAGCGTCACTGAGGCGCAGGTCAAGGATGTAAGTCTTTTATCTCTCCGAAACATAACTTAATATAACCTTAAGCTAACCCTTTATCCAGGCCGCCAAGTCCTTCCTCTCTGGCAAGGCTTCCGTCGCCTCCGTCGGTGACCTTTCCCAGCTCCCCTACGCCTCCGATCTGGGCCTGACTGTTTAAACACCTCCGCACACCGACCCACAATTAACTCAAAACCAATGTACACAATACATGCTAGACTCTCCCGGGACAAAAGAACCAAAACCTGAGCGCCGAATCTTTCATGTGTCTAGATAAATCTCCGCAGATATCTTTTTCCCTTGTTTTCCTCTTATCCATTGTCGATTTCTTTTTGTGATAGTTGTTGTGGCTGTAGCTGTGTGACTGTAATACAATCGAATCTGTATTCTTATGTTATATTCGCTACGCATCAATTCTATAGAGCTTCTATAGAGCTACCTATCAACTGTCGCCAGTGATAAGTCGACACGAGAGTGGAATTTAGACTTAGGTTTTATAACTTCCGGCCAGCAGAGCCTGTTCTAATCCTGTGCTACTCTGTTCTTGGGGTGCTCAGGAGCTGCTATGGCAGTTAGACACACCACTATAATCCACACCCAATGGCGTAGAACTTGCGAACCGAGTGGTTTTATACTTGTATGAATGAAATCTTGTTGAAAGTTTTTTCTGGATTCTAACTTGGCAAATGCAATCCAATAAAAGCCATCGGACAGGCAGCAAGAGCCCTTGATCAGGCACCTTAATCTTGGCTCTGTACAAATATATTGTCAGGTCTAGTTAGACTGGAATCTGTATGGTAACTCGGCATGATAAAAAAACTGCCAGGATGCATCACTGTTCCAAGATGCAAAATCAAACTACCCCCCAAAGGGTATTCTGGGGAATTGTCGTTCTGGCTTTCGACGCCACCCTCTTCCTGGGTCTATCTATGGCTACACTTAAGATTCCATTCAAGAAAGGCACCAAATGAGCCTTAAATGAGCGGCCTCGAGATGTTAGTGATGCCTGGAACAAGGTATAGCTAATAATGAGGGCAGCTGTTTAACCTTTGGCGCCGCGTTTAGGCAGCCCTTGGTTGGCATTGACTTACTATGTATAGAGGGCCTTTTATTCAGTTAAATCCATATGTAAAATGGTTATTTGAGGTCCTAGGGGGCTGTTGACTTGGTAATATTGACTCGAAGTAACTTCTCAGTCGACTTGATAACTCATCATATCGGCGCTACAGATATCTTCCGATCATTCCTCGACTTGTTATCAAAGATATTGCCTTAAGCAAAGTATATTAAACGTCCAGTCCTTAGAAGTCAAACGAAACATTTGCTGCGTAGATTCTAGTCACAAACCCACGTTGTAGATGCGGTGTACTGGGCTGCTAAATTTGGAAGCCTTGCTTAACCTTGTGGCGCATATATCATGTTAATAACAACCAGCTAGCGATCACTACTACTCAAATTTCGATGGTAAGGATAACTCGCGATGTACTTGTGAGATGGAAGTGGGCGTCGAGGACAGTATACGAGAATTGGATCCATCAACATGAAATGGCTGTTTTGGACGCTGTCTCCGGATGGACGTTGCGAAAGTATTAAAAGTATACCTACCCACCACGCGCATCGGGGCGGATTCTGCGATGCTGAGGCAGGGCTTGCTGCCCAAGACTACCAATTTCTCTATTATTGCAGCTTTGTTTCATCTACTTCGTAATCAAAGCGCACTGATATAACGCTATCACGATATTTTCTCTATTCCGAAACTAGTACAAATAATATAACATAGATCAGATTTGTTGGATTACTCGAAACCAGTCAGGCTGCATAAGTCAAACGGCATTACAACAGAGACCCCTGCATAGTAGAAGGGTATTTCAAACCTTCTCTAGTGCTTGGCGGTGACTTGGTCGCCCGTCAGTTTTTCGACTGCCTCTTTGGCCCTATTCGGTGCAACGGAGACCCACAGGTTAGCCTTGTTTCGCACCTCGGTATATCACATGGAATCGGAGCAAGGGAGGTGTGAGATCGAAGCCTCCGAGTTCGGGAACATTTATCCCGAAGGAGCAAAAGAAAATAGACTTACATGTCACCAAGAGCCACCATGCAGACGGTCTGCCAGATACCCAGGCCAATACGGGGTGTCACACCACGGTACAGACCCTTGACACCGTTCGAGTCGTAGATGTACTTGAAAGCTTTGCCGACAGTAAGGTTCTTGGGGCGGTTGGGGTCCTCAGTCTTGCTTTGCATCTCAACCCGGATCACTTCGATGGGCTGGTTCCAAGCTGAGAGACCACCACCCAGACCTGAGGCAATGACCTTCTCAACAGCGCCGAGCTTTTGACTGTCGTCCTTGCCGGTGACTTTACGAATGGCCTGTTCTGCCAAGCGTGACAGACCGAATCGGGATCCCCAGTTGGTAGTCTGGCGGATAGCAACAGCATTGACTCCACGGTTAATACCCCGGATACCTTCTTTGCGGTAGATGTCCATAAACGTTGCGAAAGTGCTAGGGGGCTTAACACCCTGGGCGGCCATCTTATGCTTTGTGATTTCGACCGTCTTCATGCAGGTACAAAATCCCATAGTAGCATAAGCCTGGGCGACACCACCAGCCATACCTCCAGAAATACCAGCAAGGAAGTCAGGTGCACCGAGCACCTTGGCACGGAATTCCGCTTCGGACGCGACGAAGAGAAGGACAGCGCCTTTCGTCGAGGCCTCAATCCAGGCCCACGGAATGAGACCTTGATAATCTGCACGATAGCGAATATTAGTCTTGGGAAGTTGTACCCACCCCATACCTCGGGATATGCGGGTTGCGGGTTGCGGGTGCACTTACAACCGAGGATCCCGCCACGACCCCATATCCGACCCATAGCGCCAGCGAAGCTATCGCCCCGGTTTGCAGCCATGGTTGTCTTGATCACTTCCAGTGGCTAGATATATAATGTCAGTAAATAGAAATTCCATGGTCGCTTCATTCCAATAATGTACCTGTCCCAAAGTAGTGACCCTGATGTGGTGTTAGCAATAGCTTCTCGGAGATTCACATGCTGCCAAATACTTACTCAAACATGTTCAACCCTGCGCCCACTGTATAACAGGTCCATTAGAAATCGCTCCTTGATGAGATGAGATATAGAATGAAGATACGTACGCAGCAAATTGCTGAACTTGACGGGCTTCTTCTCGAGCTTTGGGACGCTGCCCAACTCTTCCGCAGCGGTAGACATTATCTGATTTCGGGGGAGCACTGAAAGGGGCCCTGACCAAGGGATTTAAGGGGCCTCGTCGCCTAACGGATCACGGGTGAATGATCGATTGAAAACGACCAGAAGTCGGATGTCTAGTCGGATCGGGATAGAGGGTGGTGTGCTCGGCGTCGGTCACGAAGGATGACCTGGGACAGGGGCAAGGACGAAGGTCGAGGGGAAATGAGGGAGAGCGGGAGAGAGGAAGAACGAAGGAAGGTTTGCAAGCTGAAATATAAGAGAACAGGAAAAGTCGAGCGGTGGGACTGGAATTTTCGCAGCTGACTCTTTATTAGGCTGATCCTCTAGGAACAGGGATTGGAGGTACACGGTAGCTCCTGTCACTTGGTAGAGTTGGGAAGACAACAGTTCCAGACGGCCATTTTCCGAGATTAGGACGCCTCAGGCAGAAAATTGCCGCCATTCAGCCAATCAAATATGATCATTTGGACACTAGGACCGATTGAGCGAGTCGACGGGCCGATCCAGGCTAATCCATTTTTGGCCGGGCGGTGAATGGAATTGCCTAATCCTCGGGCCATCAGTTGGGAGCCGGGGGAAATCGGGTGCCCCAACCAGAAACCGTTGAGCAAAGAGCACAGGCCTCAGGCAAGGTGTCCGGTTGTTTCTCCTTATCTACCGATTGAAGCGAACCTCAATTTCAATTGCCCATGACGCGATATGTACATGTGGTAACGATCCACTACTCTGTACGAGTGTCGTTGGCTCGTTGCATTCTTCCGCGGACTGACTCCTAGGTCGCCTTTTTATGAAAAGATATAGTTATCTGTGCTATATTTCTGGTGTTTATTTGTCTTGTACTTATGCTTGTGCATCGTTCAACCATCAATCGCGGTTGTTAATCCAGCGTGCCCATCTAGTTTAAGGTCCAATCTGAAGTAATAATGGATGACATGGAATTAAGTGTTGTTACAAGGCCCGCTCGAACAAGTCCTATCATACATTAATCGAACTAACCCCAACACTTGGTACGTCCGTGTCTAATCAAGACGTTGAATAAATAATACAAAAATGGCTGTGCTTGTCAAGCGTAAAAGATATACCCCCCCTCAAAATTTTCATATCGTTCAAGATATTCAGAGCTTAGCACCAACAAGCTTAGCATAAGCCTCAGTGCTGAAACTCTTGGGACGCTCGATAGGAGCACCAAGAGCACGGTCGATGATCAGCTGAGGAAGAACACCCAGGGCACGGGAGACACCGAACAAGACAGTGTAGTAGTTGGCCTCATTCAAGCCATAGTACTGCAAGAGGACACCGGAGTGCTAGAAGCGTGTTAGTAAACAAAGCCGCATTCACCAGCATAGAGCGGAAGACTTACAGCATCAACGTTGGGGAAGGGGTTCTTGGTCTTGCCGTGCTCGGTCAGAACACCGGGAGCAATCTTGTAGACCTGGCTGACCAAGTTGAACATAGGGTCGTCAGGCAGCTTGCGGAGAGCGAATTCGCGCTGGGACATGTAACGGGGATCAGTCTTGCGCAGAACGGCGTGACCGTAGCCAGGAACAACACGGCCGGAATTGAGGGTAGACCAGAGGTAGTCCTTGATGGACTGGTCGCTAAGGTCGTTTCCAATGGCCTTCTTCATCTCAGTGAGCCAGTTAAGAACTTCCTGGTTGGCCCTGTTGAATTGAATATGTTAGATAAATGGAATCGTAAAAGTGGAGAAGTATAAAAGAAAAGTGTAATCTTACAATCCGTGAAGAGGGCCAGCCAGACCATTGAGACCAGCAGACAGAGAGAGCATGGGGGAACTCAGAGCGCTACCAACAAGGTGGGTGGTGTGAGCACTGACGTTTCCACCCTCGTGGTCGGAGTGGATAGTGAGGTACAGGCGCATCAACTCAACGAAATCCTTGTTGTCAGCAAAGCCGAGCTGGTTGGCCAAGTTGTAGGAGTAGTCCTTGTCCTTCTGGATAGGAGCAACCTTGCCGTCCTTGAAAACGTTACGGTAAATCTTAGCAGCGATGGTGGGCAGCTTAGCAATGAGGTCCATGGAGTCCTCGAAAGTGTAGTGCCAGTACTCCTTCTTGTTGATACCCTTGGCGTAGGCCTTGGCGAAAGCCGACTCGTGCTCAAGAGCAGTGACAGCAAGGGAGAACTGAGCCATGGGGTGGAGAGTGCTGGGGCAGCGGTCGATAAGCTCCTCAATGAACTTGGGGAGGTCGGAGCGAGCAGCCCATTCAGCAGAAAGGTCGCGAACCTGCTGCTCCGAGGGTACTTCACCGGTCAAGAGCAGCCAGAAGAGACCTGATTACCGTTAACACCGAAGTTCTCTAGCCTCCTATTCTGGGCGCTGTATCAGGATAACTCACCTTCAGGCAGAGGCTCCTCGCCACCGGGGGCCTTGGGAAGAAGCTTTTGGCACTCGGGAATCTGCAATGTCATCAGAACAATTCTATCTGGTTACGGGACGGATGGTGTCGCTTACGGTGAGACCACGGAAACGGATGCCCTCCTCAGAGTCCAGGACGGAGCCCTAAAATCATAATCGTTAGCAATGCTAGACTTTAGATGTTTCGCAAATCGACTTATTGACTTACCTCCCACACGAGGCACTTCACGCCACGGGCACCACCATAGGCCTGGTCAAGGGTAAGCTCGCCAATGACCTTGTTACCGTGCTCCCTACAAATTTCAAGCTCTAGTATTAGCGATAATTGCGATATGGGCCGTCCGGAGGGGTTTATATGCGCACTTTCGGAGCTTCTTAACCTTCTCGAGCTCGCTAGGGAGCTTATCGGCGAAGGTCTCCTTCAAGGACTAGATTGAACAAAGTAAAGTTAGCGATCAATCATGTCAATTGGCTAAAAAAAAGCGCCGTATGAAGACGAACCTTGGTCTTGCCGGTAGAGTAGCAGCGCAGGCCATTGAGGACAGCAGACTGAACGACAGGCTTGCCAGCAAGAGTGCTGGAGCGGAGGGCAGAGGTGCCGAGTCTGAGCGTGGAAGCCATATCGGATCAAACAACTTAATGTGGAGTTGATTGATTGATGAAGGAATGGAGAGGAGGTTGAGGAAGATAAAGATAGCAGAGAGAAGGGAAAGAAGAAGTTCAGGTTTCGGGGAGAACCTGAAAGCTGTTTTCGGTCCCATCCTCATTTTTTCCATCTGGCCGTAACAAGGACAGCCGGTACAGGATCCGTACGGTACACTCGGGCACCCGACCTAACAGTGATGGGAGGCCGTATAATACCGTCACATTGTTTCTATGGGGCCGGTCTCCCGAGTACCCACCCACAACAGCACTCGGCGAGCTTCTGCCGCCTGCGTGCTCATTCTTAGTCTTACCCGCCAGCTTCCGTCATCGCAGTGACACAGGGCGGAGTCCGGAGTATGGAAGGTCTACTATGTACGAGGTATGTCTCAGAATGATCCCTCGAAGGAGAAGTGCTACGGAGTAAATATGTGCCTCATCGGTTCTCTGAACAACAGAAACTGTCGGAAATATGGCTTTAATTTGGTGCCCTTTTCCGCGTTGACGCGAACCGTTCACTGTCCTTTCAGCTTGCCCATGGACCACGGCCAGTGACGTCGGCACTCAAGCTTAGTACATATCTGTTCCAGTGGTCTTTCATCCTCATGCATTCCTCGGTAAGTCTGCAAGTTGTCGACTCGACCCCGGAACAATATTATGCTTAGAATAGATTCGAATAATAAGACCAGTAACCTAGATAGATTAATATGTTGGTTTTCTGAAAAGAGTCAAACAGGTGCCTCCTTTGAACTTCCAAGTATGATCCGTTGTTAAGGCCCAACATCCGACCCATTCGGTTCACCGGGAACAATGCCACATGATCTCACGTGCTCTATTGACACGTGATTCAGCATGAGAAAGGCCGAAGTTGAACAATGACTAAGGAAGCTGTTCCAGGACTAGCTCATGCTTTGAGTTTGCGCTCACATGACTCTCACACCAATGAAGTTTTCTTTCACTTACCATTGCCCCTGTCTTCTTTCAACGACCTTGCTCATAACTCACGACTTCCCGCCTTAACCCTCATTGTAATTTCATCATTTTCTCTTTTCTTTTTGACTCTCTGTTTCTCGCATTAGGTCGTACACTGTACACGTACTTTTTTGACGAGCTGAAAAGGTCCTAGACACGATCGCTGTGTTCCAGCTGTAACTAGGCCAAAGGCCCCCTGGCCGTAGTGACGCGACCAGAAGTCAGCTTAGGCTATCATCCTCAGCACTTAGTTTGAGGCACAACGATTCGGAGTTCTCTCTACCCTTCATATTAAGCATACAATCTTCTGTTGCCGTTTGCTGGATTTCCCAGTAGAAGCGACTCATCGGGAGCCTGCTACATTGAATCACCTGCGACTTTATCGCACGATAGTGTTTCCCGTATTGAATTGCAACAAACACGACCAGCCATGTCGTCCGCAGTAGCAGAGCTGGACAACTATCTCCAGTCAATGCTGGCTCTCAAGGCTCCGGGTGTTTCGGGCTCTAAAATCAACAGTATAACATCGCTGTGCACAGCCAACGTTCAGGTACTTCTTCCACCTTTCGGGATCTTCAGTACCCAACAGCAGACTAACTCTTTTTGCTTCACTCCCTCAGAACGAATCCGTCCTTATTCAGAAAATCTACACACACTTCAAGAAAGCACCAGGCACACACAAGTTGGGCGTACTCTATGTCGTAGATTCAGTAACTCGACAATGGGTAGATGCAGCGCGCAAGGCAGGACAACCTTCTGGGAGTGCTGCTCCTGACGGAACCTTTGCCGCTGGTGTTAACAGAGTGACTGAGTTGTTACCCGTCTTGATGACTGATATCATAAACAATGCGCCAGAAGATCAAAAGGTACGCTCTAGATGCAAACATGCAAATATCCTATTCCCACGGGGGCTTCCGGGCATATACAATAAGGCCGATAAGTCGCGATGAACTATTTTCCTTCGCGCTGCCGACTATAAGTCTCTGTTCTACGTATATCCCGTGATACACCCCCCTATCTGCATAGAAACCGCGCTCTCTAGCAACTCCTTTCGGCCGTTTGGTGAGGAATAGTTTAACTTACGTATTTCACACATCTTCATAGGAAAAAATCAAGAAGCTAGTCGACATTTGGGAGCGTGGATACACTTTCCCCGCTCCCATGCTTGCGTCTTTCAAGCAAAAGCTAAATGCACCTACATCCAACAGTAAGCAGCCTTCCCCTTCCATGACAACCAGCGGTTTCCTGTATACCAGACCGCTTGGCCTTCTCTAAAATGCGCGACTTCTGGCTCCAATAAAACTTTTTTTTAAGATAATTCGACTCTAATATTTGTTACAATAGATGTTGAGTCAACTACCCCAGAAGGCTCACCAGCACAAAACCACGCCCTTCTAGGAGGTCTGCAGCAACAGCAAGCACCACCCGCTAATGGTACAGCTTCGGCGACCCCAGGGCAGCCAGCACCAGACACGTCAAGTATCCTGAAAGCCCTAGCGGATATGGCCAAGCAGAACACCGCTGCTCCGGCTGCTCCGGCAGCAGCCGCACCAGTTAACCCTCTTGCTGCACTAAACCAGCAAAATACAGTTCCGCAGCCAGCGTCTTCTTCCGTAGACCAGGCTTTACAACACCAGACAGGACAACCTGGCGTAAACCCATATGGTGCGGTGGCAAACCCTTTCGCAGCTTTAGGTAATTTGGCACAGAATCCAGCCCTGGTCCAGCCCCAAAGTCAGAGTCATACACCGAATCCATTGACAGCTGCTCAAAATCCGCTGGCTGCGCTTCTACCCCAGGCCACCGCTGCACCAGCTCAGCCTCCCAGCATGACCCCGGATGGATTGCAACAACAGCTCCAGCTTTTGCAGATGCTGGCAGCACAGGGGATCCCTCAGGACCAGTGGGCCACTGCCCTGCAACTTCTTACCCTTTCCAACCCCGCCGGCATGCCCAATATGAATCCCAGCCAAGCCCCTGGCTTTAATCTCCCCGGTCAGAACGCCAATGCATGGGGTGGTCATCCTGATGGACAGTCACGTGATTTTGGCGAGCGCGATCGTGATTACATGCGTTCTCCTAGTGGATATCGTCGTCGCTCTCGTTCTCCCGGATGGGATAGGCGTCGCGAAGCATCCCCACCACGTCGCCGCGATAGCCCGGTCTACGGCGAGTACCACGGCGATTCCCCTGGCCGCAGGGGCGCGGATCCACGTGGTCGACGAGGAAACGACTATCGTCAACGCAGCCCTCCCGGACGTAGACGCCGCTCTCCCTCTCCCCCGCGCAAAGACCCGGCACTCCCTCCCCCAGGCCCCAAATTCATCGAATGGGACTACTCAGTCGGCCAAGGCAGTATCAAAGGTCCGTTTTGGCAGCCTCTTTCATTTTCCTGGTCTAGTTATTCTAACGTGAATTTTGCGCAGTTCTGAGCCGTACACTTTTTGTCGGCGGTGTAACGTAAGTGCTACCTTTCAATAAACCTCGGGAATGGATTTTTCTAACCATCTTGCAGCTCCTCTGAAGCTCATTTGCGCTCTCTCTTCTCTAAGTTTGGTATTGTCCAAACTTGCATTGTGAACATCGACAAGCGCCATGCATTTATCAAGATGGTTAGTCGGCAAGATGCTATCGCCGCTCGCGAAGGGATGGAATCATACAAGACGGGGGACATGCAGCTCCGAGTAAGTTCTCTTTTCTGCCCCCGACTTTGTTCTATTACTTTAATGGCAATCGCTAACATACACGAAAAATCTAGACACGTTGGGGTGTCGGATTCGGGCCCCGTGACTGCAGTGACTATCAGACTGGAATCAGTATAATTCCCGTCGATAGGCTAACAGAGGCAGACCGAAAGTGGATGCTTACTGCAGAGTACGGCGGTACTGGGGGGAGACCCATTGAATCAGGCATGATCGTTGAAGAACCTGACATTGAAATCGGCGCTGGCGTGTCCTCGAAAGGTTCGTTTAGTGCCCACCATGTTATCACATTATTTCCCCGACTAATCTTCCCGAATAGCAATCAGTAGACGAATCGCAACGGACACCGGAGGCAAACGCGGCCCAGTTTCGACGCGTGTACAACATGACCGTCCTCCTCGCCGTGAGCGCGAAGGGCCCCAAATGGCGGACCCGTCAAGCGTCAACAACGTCGGCGTTCCTCCAGCAGTACCCGGTTTCGGCTTTTCCTTCCCCGGCATGCCGATGTTTCCTCCCGGCTTCATGATGGGTGGTGCGCAGTCTGGGGCTGGCAGCGCGACACAACCTCCACCTCCTGGCCAGTAAGACAATCGAGTCACACATGGCCCTCGAAACACGATGAATACGAAGGATGATATTTTCCTGTCAGATGGTGGATCACCCCGCCGTTCGATTCAATCTTTTGTCTTGATACCAACTTTATTCGTTTATCTCCTATCTCTTTCCATGTGGACTTACGGAAATTTGTTCTGCTGCAGATCATGGCGTTTGGGCCGGGGCATGTTTTGAAGACGGAACTTAATTCATTTATACGCCTTCCAACAACGCAAACAAGGGAAAGGACGAAAAGTTTACATCGAAGCGGGTTTCTTTTTCTCTCATCTTGTCTTCCTACTAACTTTTCGCTTCTGTCCATGTACTTATTTCACACACTTTTTTTGTTTAGTTCCTTTTACCAGGACTCTCATTTACCCAAGCGAGGCAAATGGACGGGTTCACATTCTTGAGCTATTCGCATATTTGTGTTCTCTCTCTTTCTTTTTGTTAAATTCCCAGATTCTCTTGTGATATCTCCGTTGATCTGGCCATCTGTTTCATGGATTTGAAAAGCTGAGAACTCGTTGATATATAGTTCTCAGCAGTCGGAGGTTTCATTTGTTTTCTTTTCTTTGCACTCTTCATTGGTTCCGAATGTATGTTTTGATTCTGGCTTCAATTCATGGACAGTTTACATATTTATAATGCCAATCCATTAAGCATGTTTATAGAACTAATATTTCTCCAGTTGGGACGTGTAAGTACTTGTAGGGCGGGGTGGGGGCCTTGAGGCAGCGAGTAAAAGTACAGCAAGCATATACTCACAGAAACATAGCGGGCAACCTGATAGTACTTCCTACAGTTTATATCTGGGGATTTAAACATCTTCAGCCCGAATAGTAAATTGAAATAACGACAAATAAACAAAGTGTCATACTGTAACCAAGTATGTCGAGTGAAGTAGGTATATTGCTGGCTGCCTGTAAACGCCGTAGCCAAGTTCTTTCCGTCACTCATCTCCCGTTTACCATTCTAAACCTCCTTCTCTAGAGCCTGATACATTAAGCACTCCTAACAGTCTTAAAAGTTGTTGCGAAAGATTGTTCAAAGTCAGCAATGATGTCGTCAATGTGCTCGGTGCCTACGGAAATACGGATACCGTCTTCGGTGACACCAGAGTCCAGGCGCTCCTGGTCGGTCAATTGCTCGTGGGTCGTGCTCCAAGGATGAATTGCGAGCGTTTTGGAATCCCCAACGCTATGTTTTGGTTAGCGACGTTCACACGGTCATGGTAAAAGGGGAATTTTAGGGTTAAGCTTACTTCGCGAGGTTGGAGATGAGTTTGAAATTGTCGACTACCTGGCTACCAACGGCTGCCTCGCCCTTGACACCGAAGGATAGAACGCCACCAAAGCCACGCTTGAGGTACCGTTTGGCGATTCCGTGGCTGGGGTGCTCTTCGAGACCGAGATAGGAGACCCATTTGACGTGCTCATTCTTCTTCAACCAGTTGGCAAGAGAAATTGCGTTTGTGGCATGTCGTTCAGCGCGAAGGCTTAGAGTCTCGAGGCCCAGGAGGAGCTGCTGAGCCGCGAAAGGGTTTAGGGCAGACCCGAGGTCACGGAGGATCTCAACGCGGACACGAATGGCGAATGCAATGGGGCCGAAGGTCTCCCAAAAATTCAAGCCGTGGTAGCCTTCAGATGGTTGCGTGAACTGCGGAAATCGGGCAGCGTTCTTGCCCCAGTCGAATTTGCCGCTGTCAATGACAACACCTCCAATGGTTGTACCGTGTCCACCAATCCACTTGGTAGCACTGTGTACAACGATGTCGGCCCCATGGTCGATAGGCCGGAGATAGTAGCCACCAGCACCAAATGTGTTATCAACCTGAAGATCATAGGTGAGCTAGTGACCTCTCCCTGGGGCTTTTAATGTCAGAACGACTCTTAGAAGAACTTACCACCACAGGGACACCTTTTTCGTGGGCGACCTTCGCAATGGCCTCAAAATCAGGGACGTTATAACGGGGGTTTCCAATGGTTTCAACGTAGACTGCCTTGGTGTGGTCGTCAATGGCAGCAGCGATGTCCTCCGCCTTGTCACCTTGAACAAATTTGGTTGTAATTCCCAGTCGCGGAAAGAGAACTTTGAACTGGTTATAGGTACCACCGTACAGGTTACTCGTGGATATGATGTTATCCCCTGCGTGAGCTAGCGCAGAGATTGCCATGAATTGGGCAGCTTGGCCTGAAGATGCAGCAACCGCAGCTACACCACCCTCAAGGGCAGCGATACGCTTTTCAAAGACGTCGACCGTAGGCTAAGAATTTCACTTATAATCAGCATTTGACCAGGGCGTAAAGACAGCGGTGTTGAACATTACATACGTTCATTATCCGGCTGTATATGTTGCCGAACTCTTTGAGGCCAAAGAGCCTGGCACCGTGTGCAGAGTCATTGAAGGTATAAGACTATAGGCATCAGTATCTCCCCATCAAGGATGGTAAACTGGGCCTACCGTCGTCGCATAGATCGGAACCGCGCGGGAATTAGTTGTAGGGTCGGACTCCTGGCTTCACGCTTGTCAGTACAAGGGTTGGAAGGGTGCGCATGGAGGCGGGGGTGGTTACCCCGCATGGAGCTGGAGAGTCTCGAAATGTTGCTGAGCAGAGTCGGACATGGCGTCTTCTTTACGTGGGAGGTGGGTGTTTCTTTAGGTCTGTCTTGCAGGGTGTGGAATAGGGATCTCGAGCCTTTCGAGTTCCCAGAGGGTCGACGGAGGGGTAATATATGCGGGGGAGAGAAGCAGCCTCTCCCCGGTGACCGCAATGGCGTGATTGAGTCTTAACCAAATTGGCTTGGGTGAGGGAAAACAAAGTAAATGGGTGTCGTAATTGGGTGAGTAATGGAAATCGAGCCCAGCGAATGCAAAACTAATAACTCGCGAGCATTGCACCATCGATGGTTGGAAAGGACGAAGTTCTCTACAGGATGGACATGGTGGGGAGAGGCAAGATGTGACCAGGAACGCGCCAAACTCCAGGTTGTGCCTCAAACCAAGGCTCTGCAGAATGAAATAAGACTGACAGTCATTGGGCAACCCTCCAACGTTTCATTTGGACGTATTCATCGGCCGGAAACTGGTCGTGGTGGACCTTCACGCAGAGCCTCGATTCAGGGTCCCAGGCTAGTGGGCATGTAATATATATCAGCACCTGGCTATATTGGGCCATGCACAACAATGCGATAATAAAGGTATTTGGTTAACTCCTTCGTTGCCCTCGGCAATTATTAACTTACCAATCATCATTATTATCGAGTACAGCCGCCAAGCACTTGCTTTCTCTCACCGACATGCAAGACGGGCGCCTAATCTTGCCCAAACACAGCGAAGCAATCCAAGCAGAATGCAGTTATTAATAGCAAGGCCAAAAGGACTGGAGACTTCTTCCCGAGCTCCGTGCATGGCGATCATTCCCTGGTTCAAAGCGTCTACAACTTCGATATCGCATCAGTAGAGGCACAACTAGGTTCACAACAGTTCCTCAGCAGAGCTTTTCGCCCCCGCGTCCTCCCTTTTTCCATATTCAAAACGCGGTGCTGCAAGGATGTCGTCATCGTTTGCAGAACAACCAGCGGCTTTCGTCTGGACCTTGTGTCCATCGCGCCGAGCCACTTGCTCACAAGGCAGCCGAATTCCTTCAATCACACGCGAGCTCTAGTCAGACTAAAACAGACTAACAAGGGTGGGAATGTGGCATTGTGGCAGCTCCAGCAATGACGATTTGACGAGATCCGCCCTATGACGCTCATCTTCGACCTTCTTCCCAATTTAATTGCCTACTTCTTCAAGGCCTGATCAGCTCGTTATATATTTGAAGCTCTAACCCTGCAGTCTAGCCGCTCTCCAACCCTCACCAACCATTATTTTTCTTCACCTTTTTTTTTTTTTTTTTTTTTTTTTTTATTGCTTTTTTTTTTTTTTTTTTTTTTTTTTTGGCCCGCGCCGTAATCTCAGACCCTCCGTTTGTCTTCGTCGGCGCTGGTACAAATACTACGTATAAATCCACAAGCCAAGGTCTGCCACTCTTGGATCGGACTTATCCCAGTATACAGTCTTTGCTGGCGCAAGTATCTACATTTGAAGCTCTCCCCTGTGGATTGTCATAATCACCCACCGAGCTTCTTCATAATGCCAAAATTCGACTTCCCTCTCTTTTATATTCTGCGGGGCGTTCAAGCCATCTTCGCCCTCATCGTCTTGGGCTTAACAGGACACTGTTCGTACACTAGAGAGTTGACCGGTCTTCAGACATACACTAACCCTGCCAAGTTGTGAACAGAGTCTACGGCCATGCTGATACAGTCAATTTCATGCTATTTAACGGCGTATGGTCACTTTTTATCGTCGTTCCATATTTCATCCTGGCACCAATCCTCGTCCCCGCACTTGCCCACCGTTTCGCTCTCGTGGCTGTGGATGCAGTCACCATGATATTCTGGTTTGCTGGTTTCATTGCCCTAGCTGCCGACATTGGTGATCCTCAAGGTTGTTCAAAAGGTTCTCTATGCCGAGAGATGCAGGCTGCCACAGCCTTTGGGGCTTTCAGCTGGTAGGCGGCTCCCCAAATTAGAAAGCGGACCCATAGGAATATGCGATTGATCGCTAACACGGGCATCTAGGGTTTTGTTCCTAGCCACAGCCGTTTTGAACGCGCTTGGTGCTCTTCGGAGAGATCCGACGCCTGGCCCTCAGCCTCCTACTGCTCATGTGCCATGAGCCTACAGGGTGCTGAATGTACTTGCAAGGGTCAACAACTGACAGTTTTCATGACGTCATTTTCGGGGCCCCAAGTGAGCCATTCTGAGATTTATGTGTAACCTGTGTTTGAATATTTGATGCAATGCTGCTAATGTCCCTTTTTTGTCTCATTAGCTCCTGTACTGAACTCGTGGATACCCCCTATTTTGATATCAGTTTAATAATACCCTCGTGTGCTGCATTATTTGAAACAGATGATCAACTAAACTGCTGTGACCAATTTATATCTGGTTCTCCTTGGCGTCGTGGGTAGCTGAAACCAAGTAAAACTGAGGCGTAGTAAGCAGGTTTTCATCGCAAACGTTGAACTGTGAGTAGCATGAAATGTTTTGTGCATGCAAAAGCTTGGCCCGCAATTGGTTGGTGAGGGCCAAGCTTTAGAGTTGCATTGCCGCCACATTTTTGGGGATCATCCTGCAGGTTGAGACTTGAGAGGACCATGGACCATGGACCATGGAGCCCGATGAAGATTGATGTTGGAAGCTAATATTCCCCGTACTTTTATTTTGACATATGCCGCATGGCTGTTTTGAATATTTCTGGGGCCCAGTGGCGGCTGGTGAGTGACTGTATGGCGGCTATCATATGCGCCACGCCACGTTCATGCAAATTTGCCAGGAGCAGCAGCGGAGCTAAGCAATTGGCGTCTGGCGAAGCCGCGAAAGGGATCAAGGGTGAACAGGCTAGATCCACCATAGCATGACTTCGAGATCGAGCAAGTATCTATACTCTCGAGCTTCAGTTAAGATAGGTATTATTACTGCACCGAGTATAAATAGATCACAAGAATACTCCGTACAGATGGCTCTATTCTGTACTGATTCTCTCTTCTTTAAGAACACTGGGGAATGAAAAGTTCTCCGCCGGCTATTCGGCCGTCGTTGCCTCTCTTCGTCTTTGGTCCACCCACTGGGTGGAGTCGCGCTTTGCCGCTTTCTAACCAGAAAAAAACTTTTACGACTTTTCCGGCCCACCTCGGATACAGCTGCGATGCGTTGACTTTTCACGCTCTGGAAACCATGATTGGACTTCTAGATCTGATGCCATGCCGGAGAGGACAGTGGCATGGACGGCGGACTCCGAATGAAGGCAAAAAAAACTTTTCCAGAAGGCGCCGTCAAGATGCCCGTCTCATGCCCTCGTTCCCCTTCTTGCCAGTCAGCGTTGCATCCATCGCCATTGTGAGGAGATCCTCCTTTGTCCCCTCATTTAGCCTGGTTTTCCTTACATAACATCTTCCCATTCATCCACCCTCGTGTGCTGTCGTCTGTCATATCTCCTTATCTTTTGACTCACGCTGCATGAGGGGAGAGATAGATGTAACCCTAAAGTTCTTTAAAAGCATAGCTCCGGGGATCTTGCTTTATCTCTCGCCTTCCCAGATCGCTTCAATTCCGCCGGTTGGAGCGCAAGTGTCACACTCTGGTCTGGGTGGAGTCGGCCCTGACATTTTCTTTTCGCGGACCACTTTCTTCCTTCTCTCCCTCTCACTCTCTTACCTATAACGTCCTTGGGCTTCCAGCGACGCCCTCGATTCTCCTTTCGAAGCCGTCTGCTATCTGTCTAGGGCCAGCCATGTCCTCCGAGTACGACTTCAACGCCGATCGGGCCGTGTCTCAAGGAAAGAAGGAGAAGACGACCAACGATGGTGACGTCCTGGTCACTGCCACACAGCCGTCTTCTGGCCTAGATGATGCCGACTGCGAGAAGCATGGGGCCAGTCGCGAGTCGAATCCGCTACCAGACCTTAAGCGGAAGCTCAAAAGCAGACATCTGCAAATGATTGCCATCGGTATGCTTTTCCGATATACTGCCTTGCTCGCCGATGTTTGACATGCCTTAATTGGTTCAGAGTGTTGACAATTTGCAGGTGGCACAATTGGTACTGGGCTGTTCATATCTTCCGGTTCTGCTGTCTCGTCCGCAGGTCCCGTTGGCGCGTTGATCGCCTATATGTTTATCGGAACGATTGTCTACTCTGTGATGACGGCATTGGGGGAGATTGCAACCTACTTGCCCATTCCCGGAGCCTTCACTTCCTACGCTACTAGACTGGTTGATCCTAGCTTGGGTTTTGCTATGGGCTGGATCTACTGGTTCTCTTGGGCAATCACATTTGCTCTCGAACTTACAGCAACCGGTTTGCTTATACAGTTTTGGAATAAAGACGTCAATATCGCCATTTTCATCGGTGTCTTCTGGGTTGTGATCACACTTTTCAACATGCTTCCGGTTAGCGTCTTCGGTGAGCTGGAGTTCTGGTTCTCCAGCATAAAGGTCCTTACTGTTATTGGCTTCATGATCTTTGGGATCTGGATGTCGTCCGGCGGTGGCAGAGAAGGATATCTCGGATTTCGCTACTGGGTTCACCCGGGCCCTTTTGTGGCGTATGATGGGATATCCCCAGATTCTACGGCCAAGTTCGTTGGATTCTGGGCTGTTCTTATTCAAGCCGCATTCTCATACCAAGGAACCGAGTTGGTTGGTATTGCTGCCGGTGAAACCGAGAATCCTCGCAAGACCGTGCCCTCGGCCATCCGCAAGGCTTTTTTCCGTATTCTATTCTTCTTCGTGCTGACGATTTTCTTCATCGGCATCCTTATGCCGTCCGATGACGACTCGCTTTTGAACTCGAGTGGAAACGATGCTAACTCGTCACCGTTCGTCATTGCAGCAAAACGCGCAGGGGTCTCTGTGTTGCCAGACATCATCAACGCTGTGCTCCTGACGGTGGTGCTTTCAGCTGCCAATTCCAATGTCTACAGTGCCAGTCGTATTATGATTGGCCTGGCTCAGGAGGGTTTCGCCCCACGTTGGTTTAAGAAAACCTCAAAGCAGGGTGTCCCGTACTATAGTGTTGCGTTTACTTCTGCTTTTGGCCTGCTTGGCTTCATGAATGTTTCGGACTCTGGTAGCACCGTGTTCAACTGGTTCCTGAACATCTCTAGCGTTGCCGGTTTGATCTCCTGGGCATCCATCTTGGGATGCCATTTGGCCTTCATGCGTGCCCTGAAAGCCCGCAATATCTCTCGCGATCTTCTCCCTTATAAAGCAGTATGGCAGCCATGGTTCTCATGGTACGGGCTCTTCTTCAACATTCTAATTATTTTGACCCAAGGATTCACCGCGTGGATACCGACATTCAATGTGACGGATTTTTTCGTTGCCTACATCAGTCTGATCCTCTTTGTGGTGCTTTATGTTGGCCACAAGATCATATTCCGACCCGCGTTTGTTAAACCGATCGAAGCAGATATTGATACCGGCCGCCTTGCTTTGGAGAACGAATACTGGGAGACCACGACTTCAGAGAAGTGGTATAAACGGGCTTATCGAGCGGTCTTTACATAGATCTACATAGATCGCCCTACCCATTTAATTCCCGATGTTTGATGATTTCCGTTACTGCCGTTTATAGCCATTCGCATGGGAGAGGGTTCAGCTATTGCGCTGGTGTATTTATTATTTGTTATCCCCGGTTGTATATTATGTGCGTATATATTTGCTGCATTACAGGGAGTTGGGTGAAATTGACTTTTTAAAATTTGCGGCGACCGAATGGTTTCATGTGGATTGGGGTAAGAATGACCGAGATAGAACTGGATCACCGTATAATGTATTCGGGGTTTTTTAGCTGAGCATCCTAAATGCGAAGTATATATGGAGCAGACCACCTGGTCGGTGGCGACCAGAGCTCGTGTAGAAAATAGTGGCGCACGAGCGCACGAACTGGGGCTCTAAGTGGCTATGCGAGAAACATAATTCGGGACATCATCAAGCGTCAAGAGAGGACTTCACATGCTGGCTTGAAACCGGGGCAGACACCTTTCTTAGTAAGACCCCATAAATCGATCGATCCTTGGCCGAAGACTGCAGTTTTAGCGTTGGTCATCATGAATTCATGATGTCTGCAAATCGAGGCATGTGAGTGACCGATCACAAGACGGACGCGCAGTCCTGGGCGCTGGCCCTGAGCGACCCGGTCGAGACTATGAAATACTTGTCGTGCAACGCATGGCCTCGGTTATAAAGCCCATTGCTGTCTGCCAGCCCCTTTGAATTTCATAATTCCAGCTGTTTGTCCCCATCGGAGCATTAAAACCTGCATCTAGGAAAGATACCGAGGCTTTTACCGTAACCGGAAATTTTATGGGGCATCTGCTGTCTTGCTTAACCACTCATATCATTGGCCTCCTATCTCTCGGGCCCGCCGACAGGAAGGCTTTCAACCGCCGCTTCATAGTTAATCTCCAGCTTCTCAGGCTTGACTCCGTGCCTCTCTCTCTCCCACTTCCTCTCTCTTTGTGCGCCTCTCTCCTCCAAACTTCCATTACCCTCTTTCGCCCCGTCCCTCACAGATCGGCGCCGTGTGTCGTACGGCTAGTTGATTTATCTCTGCTGCCCTCCGAAACTCGAGAACCGGTTCTTTCTTTCTGTCGGTTCCTACAGCATACTCGATTGATTAGGTCGGGATCCTAGGCCGTGCCATCATAGGTTTACTTGCGAACACATCTGACTAAACCCCCAGTCATGTTTTTCTCACAGGAGCGAGCTCATTTCGCCCGTGCGGCAGAACTCAATGAGGAGCCTCCGAAAGGCAAGCCTTACTCTGTCCCTATTCCCGGCACCCAGAAGGACGGACGGAGCCCGATATACCGTGCTTGGAATACACAGGAGGAGCTGGTGAAAACACTGGATCCCAAAGTATGCCACAACCTCTCTACCTTCCTTCCTTTCTTTTTTTTTTTTTTTTTTTTTTTTTCTTGTCCGTGGATGCTGGAGTTAACGACACTAGATCACCACTGCGCACGAGATATTCGAATCCACAGCGAACCATTCCCCTAAGTCCGATTGCCTTGGATGGCGCCCATATGATCCGGTGAAAAAGGTGTGGGGTCAATATCAATGGATGAGTTATGCCACGGTCCAGAAACGGCGCGCTGAATTTGGTTCTGGGTTGGTTGAATTGCACCACAAGCACAATTGTGCTCGCCCTGGGCAGTATGGTGTTGGCCTTTGGTGTCAGAATCGCCCGGAGTGGCAGATTACAGGTATTTATTTCTCTCACAAGATAATGACCATTTCCGCTAAGTTTTCAGATCTGGCATGTATGTCTCAGAGTTTGTACTCGGTCTCGATTTACGATGTGCTCGCCGCCGATGCCACCGAATATATCATCAACCATGCAGAATTGAGCTGTGTTGTGGCTTCTCTACCCCATATCCCTACACTTATCAAGCTGAAACCAGTTTTGCCGAACCTAAAAATCATCGTGAGCTTGGACTCTCTCGATGCGGGCGAGCAGACGGGTCACTCCAAGCGCGCGCTTTTAGAGTCCATGGCTGCCGACCATGACCTGACGATCTACGGCATGGAAGAAGTTGAGGCCCTGGGTGCTGCCGCTAACCGTCCTTGTAACCCCCCGAAACCCTCCAACATCGTCACTATCAATTATACTTCTGGTACTACTGGTTCTCCCAAGGGTGTGGTTCTGACCCATGAGAACGCAGTAGCAGCTACCTCTGGTGCGTTGGTGGCCACTCCTCAGGCGCGGAATGATACGTTTCCGTCGTATCTTCCGTTGGCTCATATCTTTGAGCGTCTTATCGAACACGCGGCTCTTTGGTCTGGCGCTCGCATCGGTTACTTCCATGGAAACGTTCTCGAACTTGTTGATGATCTCAAGTTGCTAAAGCCCACTGGGTTTGTCTCTGTCCCACGCCTATACAGCCGTTTTGGGAGCGCTATCCGCGCTGCGACCGTCGAAGCCCCTGGTTTCCGAGGAACTCTGTCCAAACACATCGTTTCCACCAAGACCGCAAACTTGAAAAACCCGGATCCTAGCAAAGCCACCGTGAAGCACGCTCTGTATGACCGGATCTGGGCCAAGAAGGTTGCTGCCGCCATCGGTCTTGAAAATGTAAGGACAATGGTCTCTGGTTCTGCGCCTCTGGATCCATCCCTGCACAACTTTTTGCGAGTGGCTATTGGCACCGATTTCTCCCAGGGCTATGGTTTGACTGAAACTTATGCCATGGCATCCGCGCAGTCTTCGCGGGACGTTTCTTCTGGAAACTGTGGACGCGTAGCCCCCTGCACAGAGGTGTGCCTGCTGTCTCTGCCAGACATGGAATACTCCGTTCATGACAAGCCTTTCCCTCGCGGTGAGCTCCTCATTCGTGGTCCCAATGTATTCAAGGAGTACCTGAAGAACCCCGAAGAGACGGCCAAGGCTGTCACTGAGGATGGGTGGTTTCAGACGGGTGACGTCGCCAAGATTGATGATAAGGGCCGTATCATTATTATTGACCGTCGTAAGAACGTTCTCAAGTTAGCACAGGGAGAGTACATCTCGCCTGAGCGACTGGAGGGCATCATCATGTCGGAGTTGGGATATTTCGCGCAGGCCTACGTGCACGGTGATAGTGTGCAGACCTTCTTGGTCGGTATCTTTGGTGTGCAGCCCGATATGTTTGCTACATTTGCCTCGAAGGTACTTGGTCGGACCATCGAACCCACCGATACCGCAGCCATCAAGTCGGTTTTGCAAGATGGCAAAATCAAGAAAGCGGTGCAGAAGGACCTCGAACGCGTCGCGAAGAAACACAAGCTCGCGGGGTACGAGAGAGTAAGGAACTGTTCTCTGATGGTCGATCCATTCTCAGTAGAGAATGACCTACTGACACCAACGTATGTACTACTATTATCTCGCTCTTGGGAATGAGGATGATGCTAACTTTGGATTCTAGTCTGAAACTCAAGCGCCCTCCTGTTGTCAAGAAGTATCGCCAGCTTCTGGACCAGTTGTACGAGGATGCTAACAATGAGCTATCCGCGCCTAAAGCTAAGTTGTAAATTACTTCTGGCTCCAACGTAGTTTCACGCGAAGCCTTCCTGTACATAGCACCTGATGGCGGATGTCGTTCTGTATGAGTTTAGAATTTACATTGTATGATAAATTATGTTAATTAACTTTATATCGAAACAACCAGCACTTCAGCGAATTAATGATATCGATACTTGGTAGACTTTTCGTATGCCAAGCACTTTGTATACAGCTATCTCTGTGCTACACGAGGTGACATGTGATCTGCTAGCTAATGCTTGGCGCTAGCTGCCTCAACTTCTCCCAAGTTTCTGTCATTCCAACAACAGCACACTCCGGCAAAAACCTACCAATTCTAATCTCAGCTTCATCAACATGCATCTTTTAAATCCGCTTACTCTCTTACTACTTTTAATAACGCCGGCCCTCTCGGACTTAACACTCACCGTTCCGCCCTCCCCGCTCCTCCCAAACCCTCATTCCTTGCCCGCCGACACCCACGCAACACTCACCTCAACATCCCTCGCAAACCCCATAAAAGCTCCCCTTACCCGCTCCGCAACGTTTGTCTTCTCTGGGATTGCTTCTTCTGAATACAAGATTTCCCAAAGAGACGACTTGTCAGGTTCGTACCTACTCGATATTCGATCGTCGGAATATGTTTTTACTCCGTTACGAGTTGATCTTGATGAGAGGGGGTATGTGAAGGGTGTTTGGGAGACATTCCGGGGTAATGAGTGGGGTAATCGTGGGGTTGAGAAATACCTGAGGCCCGTGGATGTGCAAGCTGTGGCCGGACAAGGAAATGCCCGTGATGTGGTGGTTGACGTGAAGGTTGTTGGGAAGAAGGGGTTCTATGAAGTTCGGCAGACTTGTATGTGTTTCCCACTCTCCCAATTTCCTCCATTTATATGTTGTTTTGTTTCTCGGAGGCGCTCTTCAAACACTGTCTATTGGTCCTATGCTAACATTTTCGGATAGTCTCGCCACTGTCGCTATTCAAGAACCCCATGATTTTGCTTGCACTCGTTGCGTTGGGTTTCACCTTTGGGATGCCCAAGCTTATGGAAAACAGTATGTTTGGATATTCATATCTGCATTTGCCCTTAATCTGGCCATGTTCTATCTGTTATTGTACGATGCGGGTTGCTAATGATTTGAGCGCAGTGGACCCCGAAATGCGTGAGGAATTTGAGAAACAGTCTCGCGCGTCGCCCATGGCTGGTGCACAGAATGCAATGGCTGGCGGTGGTCCCGCAAACTTCGATCTTGCAGGGTGGATGGCTGGAGCCGCGCCGAGGGCACAGCCTGTTCCGGCATCTCCTGGTCCTGGTGCGGCGACTGGAAGGGAAAATAAGGGAGGGGCGCGGAGGAGGTGAGCCGCCCGAGGAGTGTTCTTTGGTGTATATTTCGTTGGAAATACGTATGTGTATGGTATAGATAAGACCGGGGAATGGCTCGCCAGGCGCTACATGCGCGCTGCTATATAATTGGAGTGCAAATAACAGGCAGCCTCCATAATACCATTACAGAACCATCATAATACGTGCATAACCCTGGCGGTTATGGCTAGAGTTACAGGTATAACTAAAAATCACCCCCAAAGTCATCCCCACCACCATAATCGCCTCCATAATCATCATGGTCATGGTCATCAATCGCATCTGCTAGCAGCGCACCTCCAAGCAACCCACCTCCTACACCCAGCGCTGCCGCACCAGCCATCCCCATCCCTCCTCCACCTGGTCGTCTCTGCGGCTGCATCCCCCCGCCATAATAGGGTTGCTGCGGGTACCCGTAAACAGGTTGTGGTCCATATCCAGCTCCATAGCTAGGGCCAGGTCCATACCCCTGTTGTGGTGGGTAAAATCCACCGGGTACTCCGTACCCAGGGCCAGGACTGGGAGCGCCATATCCGGGTTGGGAAGGGCGGTATCTTCCATACGCTGCCGGCGGACGACCGGGATGACCCTGGCTGGATGAAGCCTTTCCCATAAGCTTACTGAAGAAGCCCTTCTTTTTGTCCTTGCCTTTATCTCTGTCCCCTGCTGGGTTGGAGGGTGTTGGAGAATGAGGCGTGTCATTATCGTAGTAGCCTGCTGCCGTGCCAGGCCCTGTGGAACTGGACCTTGCGTCTTCTTCAGCTTGCAATCGCGCTGCTAGGGCTGCGTCGCTCTCGACGGTGTCTTTGACGCTTGGTCCGGATGCTTCCGGACCGGAAGCCGGTTCGCCGTTGTATGGATTGTTTGACGAGAAACGGTTGGCCTTTTTCTTGCCAGAGTCTTCAGCATCGGCGACCGCGGATGGATTGCCGGGTCCAGATTCCTCATATGAGGGCGGTGGTGCGCCAGTTTGATCCGCGTGTGGTTGTTCTGACGCAGGTATTGAGCCCTGTGCTGGGACTTGTGGTGTAGGTGCTGGGGTGGGTTGGGGTGGCTCCCATTGGGATCTGCCTGTGGCCAGGTTGATGAAGAACCTAGAGCAGGGTTGTTTAGTCAGATCCGTTTGAGGAGGGATAGTAAAAGTGATAGAATACATACCATTGCTTATATGTGTCATCGAACTGTGTTGTCCACCCCTCCGGCACAGAAGGGGGAGGGGGGCCAGGCGGCGGGGCGAATGACATCAAAAATTATATCGAATCCCCTTTAAGGTTGCACCAGGTGGCTCCGGTCGAAGACTTGAAGTGACGGAAATGCTATCAATAAAGATGGAAAGTTCGCGTGATAGACCAAGTATTGAATGCCAGAGTGGTGGAGGTGAGATGCGGGGATTGCCATGGCCGTCTTATAGAGCTTTTAGTCACGATTGCCACTGGGATTCTACTACGATGCTATTGGTGGACCGGATATTCTGTTACCTGCCTCGCACTTGAAATGGAGCTGCGGATATTGTGTGGCTGTGCATCTAAGCCACTGTTAATATAAAGAACATATCTGGATAGTGAATGGAGGGAGTCTCAGGTATGTCAGACAGGTATTCAAAGTGCTTATACGGTAACATTATAAGAGCCCAAGCAACATGCAAAATATGAAAATCAGAACTGACATCACTCAGGCTGATATCCAGCCCTACTAATGAGCTAGAATTACCAAGTATGAATAATAACTTTCATTTGATAAGATTAATATTTGCTTTTTGTTGTAATTAATGAGTTAATAATAACCCGAGATCCCAATCAACTAAGAATATTTGGGAATCACTGGTAACCACCAGCTGGTCTAGATAAACTCTATGATTGAAAACTGGAGTTAATATTTATAATTTCCCCTACAATTATATGGTGCTTTTATTAGCTAATATACTGGCTACATTTCACCTGTCTAATAATCTCAAACCCACTACAAATACCAGGTAGCTTATAGGAGTTCTAGTAGGTACCAGTTGAATAAAGTGTCAATCATCATCATTAAATCCATGCATGCTATATACACCATGCAAGATAAAGCCATCTATTGTACCTTGTATAATCACACCCGCAGCTTAGTCTCATTTAGTCAGAAAAGTTAGGGTTTACTGCACTGCTATTGGGCCACCAGAAGTCGTCTTCAAGCTCATCGAGATCATCAAGAGTAGCTGGACGGACTGAGCCATCCCCGCGCCTAGAGCATGTCAGAGAGGATGTCTGCGAGCTTGCAAAATTCTCCGCATCCAAATCACCGGTAAGATCTATGATCTCAATAGTAACATTGTCAGGAGTCGATATGACTGGCTGCCTGCGTTTCGGTGAAATGTTATGTGCAGGTTCACCATCACCTTCATCACTGCATAAATCAATGAAGTCACGCTCATTATTACACTCAGTTTTAATAGCCATAGCCTCTGGACCCCGTCTCTTGTTCCGACCACGAATCTGGTTGCGTACTGTTGCAAGTGTTATGTGCCCTTCAACTTCTTCCCGCACTTCAGGTTTCAAGCCCTCGCGAGACTGAGGGGGCAGGCCACAGAGCTGTCGTACCTTATAATAATTTGTGAGTTGAGTGGATGCTATGCGTTCTGGCGACGTTCCAATTGGTCGTGCCCAGGCAGCAAACGGGCCCTTATAGCGAGGGCCCTTGCCAGGCCCAAGCACAGGGTGGATTTCAATTTGCCCTGTTGAAACCAGATCCTGAGCAGCTTTAACACCAGACTCCGGATCGGGTTCTTGCTCGAAACTGTGGGGGCTTTCCTTAAAATTGAATGCTCGTCCATCGTCTGGACAGAACGGACTATTAGATAGAAGATGCACACCCCCAGAAACATCTCCAATCAGTAAGTTAGATTGATCCGGTGAAAATGCTCCGCACATGATTCCTTCATTAAGAGCGGCCACATCTTCAACCAGCACATCATCAGGCCCGCGAAGAATATTCCACCTTTTTACCACACCGTCTGAAGCGCCTGTATACAGCTGGTCAGATGTGGAGCCCCATAACTGCATGTTGACGCCGGTATCTGCTTGTTCTCTAGGAACTGTTTCGTCCAGCTGATTCAAGGGAGTTCCATGTTTGAGCCTGTGAACGATTTCGCCACAGTTGCGCATATCCCAGACATACGTGATTCCGTCTGTACAGCTAGTGGAGACATAGTTCGTATTAGCCGGACAGAACGCCACTTCATTGATGTCCAAAGCTGGACACTCAAGCTCCAAAACCCGAGACTTGAGTCTTAATGGCTCGTAGATGTTCACAACAGACCGGGTGCCCCGAGCAACTTGTTGACCCGCAGTGCAAGCTGCCCCAAATATTGGCAAGGTGGGGTGCCAGGCAACATCAAAAACATTCTGTGAATTTGGTGAAAAATACTCAGGGTCGATCGATGATTCTCGAACACGGAATGCAGCGAGAAGTCCATATTGAGCGACACCATCTTCCTTATCAGACATTCCTGCGAGGAGGTAGTCTTTCGTCACGTGACTAGATCCCCATGCAATTGATGTCGGTATAAGCTCAATCTCCTTTCTTGACCTTGTACGCGGTAATTCGAGTGCTGTATATTCCGCACTATCAGTGTCCCAATATCCAACCGTATGTGTCCCTGTAGCCAATATATTTTCAGCGAAGTTATGACGTGCCATGACAATCACCTTCGAGTCGTGGTTCAGGGTTTTGTGACACGTAGCTTTCCCTCTTGAAGCATCCCATAGTTTGACGGTGTGGTCATAGCTGGCAGTATATAACGTGTCCTCAAACCACTGCACAGCAGTAACACTCATAAAAAGACGAGAATCATTCGTAACGTGGTTTGCTGGGCCCCTACCCCCGGGACGTGGTATACAGTGGTCTGGCAGCTCACATAGTTCACTGTTAGTGAGATTTCCAAACAGGAGATTATTTTTCCTATTATACGCCATCATATGCTCATCACATTGTGCGGTAGCACCTGCTGCGAATTTGGTCCCATCGGGTGACCATGATAGAGAAACAACATCATTGGAAGCACCCTTCCATGTCTTTGACACTTTGAAACTACCGGTGAAGTGCGAATATAGTTGCCAGTTTGAGTATTCGCCCAATTCCCGCTGTTGTAACAGACTGCTGAATGAAGTATTCCGCTGTCTACTGTTCCTGCTCGCAGAGTGTTCCAGTGTTGTAGAAGTAATAACACTACGGGGGTGCCATAACGGGCCCCTGTGGATTGGCACAGTCTTAATTTCTTGCACAGTCCCCTCACCCTCACTATTGAACAATGGGAGTTTCCTGTAGTAATTTGTAGGGCCAGCTCTCGAACGACCAGAGCGTCGTATTATCACGGATCCTGGTACGTCACTATGGAGTGATGATGATCGGGCTGCCTGTTTTCTTTGCGGGCTTGGTAGCTTTCCCTTGGGGGTCGGTAAAGTAACTGTTTGCTTGGTTATCGACGCCGGATTGGCAGGAGCTTTTGGTGGCACATGTTCGGTTGGCCGTGGGCTGCTTTGTGGGCGTAACTGGATATTTCCCCTGGGTATCTTCACTCGAGATTTTGACCTCTCTGCCGTTAACTTGGTGACTGGGCTCCCCGTGTTGCTTTGAGGCTGCAGGACGGTATCCCGTGTCTCATGAGATGCCCCTCTTACAAATTTCGAGAGTAGGTCTTCCGACTCTTTGATCATAGAGGGGTCATCCGATCCCAAGAGGGTCGAGGTTATGGAATTTCGAGAATTAAGAGACTCTCTTCCCATTTTAGCTAGACTTTGGGTGAATTGTGCTGTCTAATTAAAAAAGCATTAATATGTTGGCCCCGGCTAGGCTGATTAGAGGTTCTTACCTAGTCTTAGCTTGGTGCAGGGTCCTCAGGTTAGAGCATACATTATCGTAAGGGTATTTAAAAGTTATGTGACGAGACATGTGTATGTAGTGTCTGATAAAACGAAAATTCCAGAGACACCTCTACAGGTACTCTTAGGGGGAAATGGTATTAATGGCCCAATGAACAGCGTATCAGCCTATCAGGCAGTGTCTCACTCTCATTTAGGGTGTATAACCATAATATTTGATTTCACCATCAAGTGGTTACTCGATAGGTCAAGGTGTGGGAGGTTAAAGCCACTAGCTGTAGCAAACCAAGGACAGTTTATTATAAGGGCAATGCCTAGAATAGGATTGTGGTTAGCTTGAAATAGAATAGGAAGAAAAAGAAGCCTAAAAGGACTCACATGAGGGGGAACTCAAGGTAAGGACTTATCAAATGTAAAAGAACGCGGTCGCCTTTATCTCTCAGCCACTCAGAAAGTCCTGTGATTAGCATTTAATTATGCTCAATTCTTCAGTGTGTTCCTAGGAAGAAAAAGAAAAGAAAATGGCTTCTTGCGGTCTGGTAAAGTGAAGAAGAGGAAGAGGAATAGACCCATAACTTGCTTTGTGTCTCCACGCGTGAACGCGACGGCCACTTTTACCATAAACCGTAGGCGGTCAAAATGTGCTGACAAAGCCGACCCAGACAAACTAGTTAGTTAACTAACCAACCCACAATTTCAGTGGGAGTTGGGTTCCGGTGTAGACAGTGGGTGCGATATAAAATAAAATTTAAAATAAAAGAGTGGAAGCTGGACCAGGGTATGCTATATGTTATTTCCCGAGATTACAAAGGCAAGAGAGAATCATACATAGACAATTATATACATAAAAGAACCATCCTATTATTAAGGTAGATATCATAGTGATGGTCGTTCCCAGTAAAAGTACCGAGGTATTGTTTTATACACAGCTCGCATTGGACACCAGGAAACTTCTGACTGAATAGAGGTTGTACAAAAAAGAACGCCCCATTGTTAGATAGACCGGTAGGTCTAGAATTTAATGAAAAATTTCATCCTTTTGGAAGCATGGGGTAAAAACTCATTCCACAACTGCTCCGCAGTGGGGTTTAGTTGGCCGTTGAAAGTCTGGCAACCCCAATGACCTATTGGGCCATTTCACTACCTATAATGATCTTATCTATTTGGCAGCACGACTTCTCCTAAGGGTCACCATTGAATCGTATAGAACATCCTTAAATGCAAATAAGAATGCAGCGGTGATTGCACTTTGGGTGACCTTAGGTCCAATTCCTGTAGAATCATGAGCATGGGCGCGCGCATCGGCTAGATTAACAACTTACCTTTGTATAATCCGGTATAACCCTCTTCGTTGATTATTCTTTTCAGGCTCCCGTTCAAACTTTCCTTGGGTCCGTCCTTGCTGGCAATGTGCATTTGGCTCTTCACTGTGATATAAGGGTATGTGATTGAGGTGGCCAGGATTTTGCCCAATGCGCCGAGATAAAAGGCATCCTTTGGTGTCATACGGCGGCGGCGCTCCACTATGTTTTTCAACTGCTCGAAGATTGTATACTGCAGAATAGGGTTAATCACCAGGATAAGTGCAGGCAAAACACCGGAGAAAAGGGCAGCTGGGCCTTCTTTCTGGAGCAGCTCCATGAGTGTGCCAAACGTAGAGGCCGACTGCTTCTTAGGGCCACCGGGTAGCGATGGACTCTCCTCTGCGGATTTGCGTGCGGTCATCCTGGTGTTGATAACCCAGATTGGGTTGGTGAGCAGGACAGTAGCACTCCCCGCAATCGCACCAGCAACCATTGATTCGATTGTCGACAGTTTCTTGGAGCGACCCGCTTTCTCGGCAGCTTTCTCGAACGCCGACCGAGTCCATTCGAACCAGTAGTAATACACAAAGTTAGTGACACTGATACCAAACAACGCCGACTCAAGACCAGAATAAAGTCCGATTATTCCCTCCCTTTGCACGATACGGCGAATCGCATTAATGGTGGAAGACTGTGCACGCTTCGATTCGACTTGCGCTCGGGTCGAAAGCGTAATGAGCGGATATCTAAGAAAACTCCTGTGAGATCACGCTTGAGGGCGCATTAAGGGACTCTGTTTGATGCACGCACGTTAAAACCATGGACAGTATCCCACCTCCAGCGCCCGCCAGCGCATGGGCTATGTTGTCGCTCTGCTGTGCAGCTGCAGCCGCAGCGACCTTCTTCGGATCCTCGACCTTCGATAAAGACATAATGAGATACGGGTGTCCTTTCACACTCGGGACGCGAAGGAGTGTGAATATGCGATGGATCTGAAAGCTATAGGGAGGTGAAAAGAAAGGGAGGCAAATGAGGAAAGAATTGAAAGGGGGTGTCAAAAGGAGCGGTATACGAATTACAACCGGAATAAATGATCGAAAGGAGTGAGGATGTTTGGATCGCTTGAGACTGGGGAACGATGACCGATTTCATGACGTTGCCGAATCCCTATACCTCGGCTGATTTACGGTGGGTGTCCCCTTCTCCTTCCGAAGCATTGTAGAAGGTAAGAAGCTACAAAGGTGACTGGTAGTCTACCTAAGTACCGGCCTTTATGGTCTCAAGAACTTCTTCACCTACCAGGGTTTTTTTTTTCGCAGTTATCTCAATACGGATTATTTCTTGGTAACCTATTTGGTAACCGTTAACCGTTTACAACCGTCACGGTGTGGACGTGGTCGAGACGGTAAAAGACGATACCTGATTGTCACCCTACCTAGGTAGGCTTCACCATATCTTTGGCCGAGGTTGAAATTTTGTTCTTAGTGGTAGAAAGCCTGTATCAAGGCCTTGATGCATTGTTGGTTTCTACGTATTTGGGTCTCTGCATCTCGAATAATAATAGCATCTATTAAATTATACAAGTAATGAAAGAAATCCTTGGGAAATCTAAGCTGGTGCTTACTAGGGAGCCTTCTTCTCACGAAGTGCATCTTGCATGTGATCTCGTTGAAACTGTAATGCAGTATATATAGAAGGTTCTATGAAGGGATCAGATGCCCAGATGATCGTGCTCGTGATTGTTCATTTCTCCTTTCTATTATTATTGTTGTTGTTGTTTCTCAGGGAAATAATCCCGTCGACTTGACCTAGAGTCAGGTGGGTGTAAAGTTATCTACTCGGGTAGTGCATCTAGTCTATGCTTCACAGACTTGACAGATTTAATCGCATACTCTGTATTTGTTAGTTCAATCTAGGTGAGATACTGATTATGGCTAGAAAAGACCTAATAACTTCTAATTTACCACAGCAGCAAGTCACAAGTCATTCATGCGTTTCCTATTAATTGAGCCCGACAAGATACGCAAGGAATCCAACCTAAGCAACATGAAGAAAATGATGTAAAGATGCCCATAGTAGAGTCGCAAAACAGAAAGTAAACAGAAGTAAAGAAGAACGAAGTATCGGGGGTAAAAAGTAAGCAGAGGGACAGGGTGCTAATCCCTAAAAAAATTGATCTTGTATAAAGGCAAGGTGTAGTAAGCCGGCTAAAGAATGGTGGAGAATCGAAAGACCCCCCCCCCGTACTCGTCCTCAGCTAATTAAAACCGATCAACACCGTTCTTTCGTACCGTGCTGCATGAACACAGCCGCCAAACTTCGCAAATAAAGCAAACCAAGGCCCCACGGATGATTCTCTGCCCTGTGCTAAAAGGGGAGCGTTCGGCAATAGTGATTTTGGGTCATGATTCGTCTAACAGCAGCCACCACCGGATCCAGATTGGACACCCTGTCCCTGACCAACTTGCACAGTCGGCTTGTTGTTTACGGTCGCGGTGCCCATACGCTCCTTGATCTGTCTAGCCATCGTCAAAAAGGCTTGCTCGACATTAGACGCGTTCTTGGCAGATGTTTCCAAAAATGGGATTCCAAGGCTATCAGCAAATTCCTAAATGACGCATACGTAAGTTAGACAGATTATGTGAACGAAAGCAGAGAGTCACTGATCGATTGTGCTGGTATGGAGTCCTGGCTACATACCTTCGCGACAGTATATTCTACGACTTTCTTATCCTCCATATCGCTCTTGTTTCCCACGAGCAGCTTGTTGACACCCTCGGTCGCATAACGGTCAATTTCCTGGAGCCACTGCTTTACATTGTTGAAAGAATCCATGTCGGTAACATCATATACAACGCAGATACCATGAGCGCCACGGTAATAAGACGATGTGATGGTTCGGAATCGCTCTTGGCCGGCAGTGTCCCACTGTATACTGTGTCAGCTATATTTGATTATGGGAAGAAGTGTTCCGGGTCTTTGTACAATTTGAAGTTTCACTGTTTTGCCATCAAGCTCGATAGTGCGGATTTTCTATGAGGGAGCTGTCAGTATACTGTTGGTCGCTTTTGAAATGGATAATTGAGGACAACTTGGAACGTCCAAAATAATAATAAAAAAAATAAAAATAAAATAACAAAATGGTTAGCCGGGATACGTACGAAATCCACGCCAATAGTAGAGATGTAGCTTTCTGTGTAGGTGTCATCGGCAAATCGAAGGAGCAGACAAGACTTTCCGACGCCGGAATCTCCGATAAGGAGGAGTTTGAAGAGGTAATCATATCTATCCATGTGGTTAGGACGCGGCAGTCCGAGTTACTGGGCCTTTTGAGAGGAACAGCGGGTACGGCATGGGGGTAAAGCACTCTGAGTTTTAAACACATTAGCCAGTTGAACAAAGAGAGAATATCAGAGTTGCGTAGGTAAGACAGATAAATGAAGAGGAGGCACCATATCGCTAGAACAAAGGAACGTCCGGAGTGCAGGCGTATCATTGTTAAAACAGAGTAGGCAGACATTCAAACAACTTACCACTCGGGGTTCATCTTGGATCCTATCCGGCAGGGTATTCCTGGGGTGAAACAAAAGTACGATTAGATGGGAGGTAGTATTTGCAACGAGACCAGGAGCGAAATCTAAGTGAAGTAAATGTCGTTGAAAAGTGTCAGCCAGGATGGACTTCGGCGGTGTTGCTAAGTGCAGGAGAGCAAAGGAGCCCAGCGTGCAGGTAACCTGTGACCGTTTCACGTTCTGACCCAGAGGCAGCCTTGACCAAATTAGGTCTAGTGTGTTCAAATCAAAAATAGCCCCTAACATCCCTTGGCCTGTCACCTCAAGCTTCACTACGTACTAAACCACAAACAACAGCATGAAACTTCCAAAGAAAGGGGCCTAGCTAGTTAGTTAATAACTTGCACTTGCAGGATCCTGCAAACCTATGTAACCTAGAGTTTTCTACTCTGCTGAATAGAATGGATGTCGATGTCAGGTTAAGCCAGGGAGCCTTCAGTGGATATTGTGACCTGGACTACGGTAGGTCACATAGTAACTCAACATCTAAGAGCATACCTAGTTCAAGAGCATTGAATCGAGACAATTTAGATAACTAATTTCAAGGACAACCATAATTAAATAGTTATTCAGCTCAACTTATTTAATAATATGCATAATAAGATCGTTCCCCCAAATGATGCAACATATTCATTCTTCAAATCGCACCAACCATCAAGCATAGCCATGTTCTTGAAGCCATTCCAAGACTTGCTTTTCGTCTCTTTCCTTGTAGTTAGCATTGGTTCGGATGCTATCTGCCACAATTACCAGTGCACGTTCATACGCGCTTGTGTCCTTTGTTTGAAAGAACGCAGCAATATCCGCTCCAATACTGTGATCCGCAAATTTTGATAGTCCCATCCGCACAAAGCGCTCGAAAACAACGTTGTTTGTGGATAGCTGGTTTTCTATAAAATTCCAGTTCTTCTTCAGATACTCCCACAGCAGGTGGCGAACTTTGGAGTTTGCAGCCAAGGAGACTGCACCATTGTGCACGTCTTGGATTGCAACCTTGTCCGAGAACACGAAATCCAGGTAATCATCAACCAGCACAGCATCCTTCGTACGCCCAAGGGCAGCCAAACAAATTTCCTTGCCATCAACGGAATCGGTTCTGAGGTACTCGTCTTTCACGGAGTTGTACTCTGAGCGAGTACCCTCTGACACAGCAATGCCAAAAATAGTAGAGCGGAGGTTTGTGTGGATAGCGCTTTTGTTCCTCGCGGTGGCCCAAAGATCAAAACGGTTCTTAGCCTCCGCGACAATGCTAGACAATACGGTTAATATGGACAGAACACGAAAGACGAGAATTGGAGTTTGCGTACCTTTCATTGCCTGCAAGCCCTGACATCGCAATGAGAAGCTTCCTCAACTGGACAGTGAGATAATCCTCATCGGGCTTGAACTCCCAGCCAATTTTAATCACAGCCGGAGATGATAATCCACCAGCAAATTTCTTCAAACCCTCAGCCACAGCTTCATTCTGGGAAAATACGGATCTCAGATTGCCGACCGAGGACGAGATTTGAGACCAAACCCTATTATATGTGTTAGCAAGAAACGAATGGCTAGGCGCTGTCCATCCCAGGGGGGGAGAGGTTACAAATAGTTTTTCTCATCCTTGAAGCCTTCTAGGAGAGACAATAGAGCCGCAGTGGTACCTTCACCAGATACGGCAAGGGCGGCAGCATCGCCGATCAACCCTATTTTATCCTCAGTACTTAAAGAACCTAGAGACTGGCCGAGTTTTTCTAGTCTGTCGGGAGAGTAGTTGGTTCGATAAAATCCAGAGAGATCTTTGTTGATCTTGTAGAATGAATCATGTCCAAGACCTCGGATAGTGTCTGTCTTGGAAACAAGAGCTCGAGGCTGTTGAGCTGCCAGTTCTGGCCCCGACTTGATGCCGAGTGGGATCCACCACATCGTTTGGTCTTCTTCGGGTTTAGCATCACCAGTTGAGAGGAACCGGTTTTGTCGAATCTCAAGTTGACCGGTCTCTTCCGCAACAGTGACAACAGGGAACCCAATTTTGCGAATCCAAGGGTCCTTCAGTGGAATATCAGTGAATTAATGTATGATTTTAACCTTGAGGGCACTTACCATGAAGCTATTAACATCCTGGTTAGATGCCTGGCTAAGCGCAGACCAGAGGTCATTGGTAGTAGCATTGCCTGGACGTGGACCATTAGCAACAGTCATAACAAGTATAGTAGTTATGAATGGAAATGAACGTACCGTATGCGTGAGCCTTGAGATACTGAGCAACACCTCGAAGGAAAGTTTCTCGGCCAATATGGGTACTTAGCATGCGGATTACCGAGCTCCCTTTTAGGTAACTAATGTGATCGAATATCTGATCAACCTCGAGAGCATTTTTAACAGGCACTTGGATTGGATGAGATGCGCGCAATGAATCCAGCTGGAATGCTTGTTGGACACCTTCAGCCTAAGCAATAGTCAACCTCTTGGGTCAGAAATTAAAGTTACCTCGGGAATTGCGTACCACAAACTGGGACCAGATATTCCATTCTGTTTAAAATATTAGGCAACTCCCCTCAATAACAAGAAAGGATGGCAGATTGCTTACCGGGATAGAAATGGTCGACAGCAAGCCATCCAACCCAAGTAGCAAACCCTTCATTCAGCCAAAGCTCGTCCCACCAATCCATTGTGACGAGGTTGCCAAACCACTGGTGCGCGAGTTCTAACATATATCAGACGTCAAACCGAGCCCTAATGTTATGTTTTGCTATTGGAATCAGACTTACCGTGCGCAACGACGTAAGCAATTCGATTCTTATATCGAGTATCAGACTTTCCCTCGTCAAATAATACAGCAGTTGTGCGGTATGTAACAAGGCCCCAATTTTCCATGGCTCCCATAGCCTAATATAAAAATAGAATAAATCATTAAACTTTGGATCGGCCGGGTGAGACAAAAATGGGAAACTTACAAATTCATGAACGGCTAGAAGGTCTGCCTTGGGCAAAGGATATTCTATCTCGAAAACTTCCGAGAAATAGTCGACCGTCCGGTGTGCACACTCAAGAGCAAAGTAGGCTTGTTCCTTAAGGCCCTTTGTCGTATAAACACGGACAGGAATGCTCTTTCCTTGGTACTTGCGTTCAGTTAAGGCTTCAACGTAGTCAAAGTCACCAACTGCCCAGGCCAAAAGCTGATGAAAAATATTAGTGCGGATTATTTCCAAGGAAATTATATACGGACATAAGTGCTCATCACCGGAGTGGTATCAAAAGAAACCACTTTGAGCTCTGGCTTGCTGCCATCCTTTTCAGATTTGACTGGCATATTGCTGATAGCGGTTTGGCCTCTGGGCACTTCGATCTCGAAGTCAAATGTAGCCTTAAGATTGGGCTCATCAAAACAAGGGAAGGCCCTGCGCGCGTCGCAAGACTCAAACTGAGTACTTAACATATAGTGGAAATCTCCTTCTTTGGGAGTATCATGGGTTGGCTCCACGGCGGCCTTATACTTTGAGCGATAGAACCCAGCCATGGCATTGTTCATTGTGCCAGTAAATGAAATAGAGATAACGACATCTGATTGAGGGAGTTCACCAGGAAACCTAAGCGTCACACGCTCCGATTTCTGGTCGTAAGTGATTTCAGATGCTTTCGCTAGCTCTGCGCCTAGAGCAACATCATTGTTAAGGGTGTTCGGTGGTCAGAGGTAGGGCGTTCAGAGGAAAGTGAGTATCACATACCATCTGCTGCCAGAAGCTCCGCGTGCTGTACTTCAATCTCTTTGGAGTTGAGTACGACTTCCTTCGTGGGACCGCTGACTTTAGAGTTGATTTTGACAATACCCTTGTAAGCCCACGATTCCCCGAGTTGCAGGTCGAAAAGCGATATGCCATAATGGCTGGGCTTGACCCTACGGTATCGGTTAAACTCAACGCACTCTATCGGCGAGGGTATTCCAGAGAAAGGCAACTCACACGCTGGGCAGAATGTCTCTGTCCTTTGGTGCCATTGCGCGAACTTCAGACGAGCAGTGCCTTTTTGTGGTGAACGATATGACAGGCCTGAGCGAACAAGCCAAGAGCGTGCGTGATGAAAGATAAGTTCGTGTGAGGGTGGTTGAGCGAGATGAGGGGAAGGGACGGAAGACGGACGAAACTGGTCGGAGGGGTCGATAAACTCGAGGCACTGGCAGGCGACGGAGCCCAGCTCTGGGTGACGCGATGCTGCGTCTCCCCCACATTTGATCAAACCACTTCAGCGGTTATGGCCGGGGAGAATGATTGGCTCTTTTTTTTTAGAAAAAAAAAAAAAAAAAAGCCTCTTGGAAATACAGAAGATGGCAAGAGGCTGACCAAGGAGCATCTGTTGAGTGTCATCAACCTCGCTTATCTTTTTGCCAATTGTATTTTGTATACTCAAAACACTCATCTTTTTCAGGAGCAAAATCGACGGTCCGGACCCTCGGGCGGAGGAGCTTGGACCTTTCTGGCGCCGATCCGGTACCTACCTATAATCCTCGCTCCCAGCGGACTTTTCGGGCGGTACTCACGAGGCCAAAACCGAGCTTTCCTCACCAACACTCTCTGTACACAATGGCCGATTCTGATGAAGATTATATTGGAGCTATTTCTGAGGATGAAGGCGACGATAATGTTGTTCGTGGTTCTCGAGGCGCGGCCGGTTCGGCTTCGAAGCGAAGGAGGCAAAAAGGCGGAGCGGAATTCGAGCTTTCGCGGACTTGGGAGACTTTAGTCGAAGGTGCTGATGGCACGATCAGCTCAACAGTCGAAGGGCTCTTAGAAGCCAGTAAGAGAAAGAGGTGAGTCTCCCGATATTTCTATTCTTCAATCGCATTGCTGCAGTCATTATTGGAGATCTTGCGCTGATCCACCTTGTCGAATGAAGGCTTTTAAAGGACACAACACCACTGCAGCGCGGCATAATACGCCACGTCGTTTTGATCTTAGATTTGTCACAGTCAATGATGGAGAAAGACCTGCGACCCACTCGATATCTTTTGACTCTGCGATATGCACAAGAGTTTGTGAGAGAGTTCTTTGAGCAGAACCCCATCTCTCAGGTTGGGATTGTTGGATTGAGAGATGGCCTTGCGCTCCGGATCAGCGACTTGAGCGGAAACCCTACAGGTCATATTAGTGCAATACAAGACTTGAGGAGTCAAGATCCGAAGGGTCTTCCTAGTCTGCAGAATGGACTTGAGATGGCCCGAGGTGCGCTATTGTAGGTTCACCTAGCTTGGAAACCACTGCTTGACTCTATACCACACGCTAATAACAACACCTTCAAAGGCATACCCCCAGCCACGGAACCCGAGAAATTTTCATCATCTTCGGCTCGCTGCTTTCCTCTGACCCTAGTGACATTCACCAAACAATTACTACACTTATTGATGATAATATCCGGGTCGGAATTGTGGGACTTGCAGCTCAGGTAGCAATCTGCCGTGAACTATGCTGGAAAACAAACGGTGGTGATGACACCTACTACGGTGTGGCTCTCAATGAACAGCATTTCCGAGAGTTGGTGATGGATGTAACAACTCCACCAGCCACATATTCCCAGAAACAATCCACAAGCTCCCTTTTAATGATGGGTTTCCCATCGCGTACTATTGAGTCATTCCCGTCCCTTTGCGCATGCCACTCTAATCCCAGCCCCGGGGGGTACCTGTGCTCGCGATGCAATAGCAAAGTTTGCGGTCTTCCTGCGGAGTGCCCGTCCTGTGGTCTTACCCTGATTCTATCAACCCATCTCGCAAGGTCTTATCATCATTTATTTCCCTTGATGAACTGGGTTGAAGTACCCTGGCAACGTGCTTCTCGCAGCACCGCTTGTTTCGCCTGTGGCATACCTTTCCCCACCGTTCCTCCGAAGGAACAATGGCAGGCCACTGAGAATCTTGCCAAGGGAATGAGTGTAAGCAGTCGCTACGAATGCCCGGTTTGCCAAAATCATTTCTGCATTGATTGTGACCTCTTTTCCCATGAGGTGGTGCACAATTGTCCTGGCTGTCAGAGCAGGGTTGCATACCATCATCCCCTTGATGGCGTTTCTAGGGAACAAGATGGTCTAGATCAAATGGATATCTCAAGATAATAGGCATAGTGCGATTGCACACGAAAGTGAAATAAAGATACCCAATACAAAGCGAATTAGAGGCTTCAGCTTCAATCAGCTGTATATTTTTGGCATTATAACCGATTTCTTGTTCAAGAAGGTCTTGTCGGAATACCTGTCAAGATGTCAGGGCCGGACACTCACAACAGTGAGTTTTCTCGGTAGTAGTTCTGGTAAACCAGACCCACAAGTATCAGTGCGTACAAGAAGCCTCGGCTATTCCAAGCTTCCTCCGCAAATTCCAAATCCACAACTGCAACAAAGCTGCAGCACCAAGCTAAATCAACTCCCAGTAATCCAGAGAATCAGACGAGGCAAGGTCGCACAAAAGCCGACAGTCTATTGTTTGAATCAAAATATAGGAAATAAAAAGAGCGACACAAACTCGCCCGCCAATGAATACAGCCACAGAGCCGGAGACATCCTCCCCGCCCTTCCACGAGAGCACCACCACCACCTTGCAAACAGAATCCCTACAACCCCAAAAAGAAATTTTTGAACAATTAAGGACATATCCATTTACAAAGGACCGTGAATTTGCAACAGGTCTTGCGATAATACTCGGACATCCCGAAACGCCCGCATCAGAGGGGGAGATAGCCCGCAATGATGATTTAGTTCTACAGGCGAAGTGTTATTACTTTACCAGGTATGCCCCCTATAAGGTGGTGGGTAGAGGGGGGCCTAATCCCTATATACCTTTATGTATGGAGGTAAATATTTATATTGTTTATACTGATCTGGCCTTGTTCTTACCAGGAAAAAGAACCTTGTATCACCGCTGGATATTGCGACCTTCAAATCTTGGCTTGAAGAAAGGCCAACACCCTACAATTCCATGGGTGAATCCCAAGAAACCGGCTCTTTCACAGTATCTGATGCATCATCTTCTGGGCATACCGATCAAGTATCAAACCCCACCTCACAAGAACCAACCTATCCCACTTCCTTTGCTCATATAGTTGAGCTTATTACCACCGGTCAGCCTATCCCAGGGATCCAGGAGATACCGGATACTCTTTTGACAGGTCAGGGTGCCCTGAGTGCGAAGCCAAGGAGATTAAAACCCTGGGAGAATGAGGGAACTACCTAGGCGTTCTAGGTATCAAATCATCAGATGAGGCATGACAACTATAACAATGATTTCCGTGAAGTTGGGCCGCCCACGAACTGTCTAGAAAACCCAGCTTTGTAAATACATGGTCAAAGCCTAGTTGTCCTTTCGTTGCACGTCTAATCTCAATGTAAAGCACTATAAATGGTACTTTGTGAATCATAGCTTCTTTCTGGAGCAAGAACTAGTAACAAGACATGCCTATCAAGAATGAACCCCGTATATGAATATTAAAAAGTCATAGCTATGAATATGTAATAGTCAAACAAACAGCCTTGAGTCTAAAGTTGCACAAGCAATCCACTGCTGCTGTGAACTCTTCGAACGCAATCGATAATTGTGCACCCGTAGAACGCGGGTCATTCCCACAAAAAAAAATACATTTCCATCAAATTCCATGCTGATGGGACACTAGAAACATGAAAACTGGAGAGAAAAAAAAAAAAAAAAAAAAAAAAAAAAAAAAAAAAAACAAATAATTCAACCAGATGAGTATACGAAATGAGCATGTGGNCATCAAATTCCATGCTGATGGGACACTAGAAACAAAAAAAAAAAAAAAAAAAAAAAAACAAATAATAAAGAGCCTAAGACTTCAACCAGATGAGTATACGAAATGAGCATGTGGCGTAGGATGTTCAAGCTTTTTCCAGCCTCGCCCAACCATGTAGATGTGGAAAGCTCGAAGTCTGACTTGCGGGCCATTCATGCAACAAATCACACTAAGATCGAATCTATGTCTTTGGTCGGCCAAGCCGGTTTCCGTACTTTTGAGATGCTTCAGGTATCTTGTAACATTCCGGTTGTCACTCTCCTAACGAAAAGGGGGGTAGCTGGGGTTCCACTGACTCCCACGGCTAAGGCGCCCTACGTGTTGGGTCGGTGCCTGGAATCGATCGTCGTTGAAATTGTTGAACCGACCCATCTGAACGCCCGTTCCGGGCCCTGGGCGAGTGGTATGAGACAGATTGCAGCAAAGCATTGCCACACGCGAACCAAACTTGGATCCACGGAGAGAAACCATGTGTTTTCTGGGATGGTTCATTAGAATTACAAAATATGGCATGACCAAGAAACCTTACCGGATATGGGTTGCGACAAGCTCCCGCTGGTGGGAAGCAGCATTCATAAGAACCCACTGGATGAGATAGTTGCCGTATTGGTCTCCGGCAACTTCTTATTTAGTACTATATCCATATAAAGGGACAGGGATCGAATCCGCTTACTGTCAATTAACGGCATTCTTGGCCGATCTGTCCGGCCAGTACACACTCGCGACAGGTAGCGATCTAAGAATTCTGCCCCACCAATCTTCAAGCATTTCTCAACGATCTTTGACGCAAATTGATCCATGCTGTAATCCACAGCCCAAAGTATTATGTGCTCAATGGCGCGGCTCTTATCATGCGGAGCGCCATGTTCACAGATGTGTTGAATGCACCAGTTTCCGAATTGACCATGAGCAAGCACATCGATCTTGACTAGAACCTCTTCAATGGCCGGGCGCTAGGCACGACAGTTAGCACTCTATTCAACGGTGGAACAATGTGTGGCTAGAGGAATAGACAGTGCTTCAGTACCTTCTCGTCTTCAACGCAGTTTTCAAAGATATTCTGAACCACGAGACTTCCAGTCTCGCCCAGCGCAACTTCGTGCCACATTCCATGCAACGCTTCGTTCACCTTTGCCATGATTTGTGGAGGTTCGCCGCTCCATCGTAATTCAAAAAGTTTCTGCCAAACATGGCATGCATACCGATGGATTACAGTTTCGGGAATCCTGCGCAGGAGTTCGTGGACCATAACAGCTTTGTGCTCTTCCGGCACACAGTCGAATGCCTTTTGGACCACATGGCAACCAAAAGGATCCATGCTGAGGCTCAAAGTGTTGCCCTTGATAGCATTCGCAATGGCAATAATCTGCTTAGGGGTTCCGTGTTCGAAGCAACGTTGGACAAGAAAGTTTCCAAACCGATTTACCATGAGTGAGTACGCTTGTTGTATGATGGCTTCAATTATATCATATTTCTGCTCTGTTGTCCCAATTTTGAGCTTTTGCTGCAAAAATATAGAGGCCTGCTGGTCATTGTTGCAAACGATCTTGTCCACTATATACTTCCAATCACAGGAGACGTTCTTATCAAGTAGGCGCCGATAGTTGAGTGGTTCAAGTGGCGAAATGTACGTCTGGACGGAGCCCCCACCGACCTAAGCCAGTCAGCTAAGGGACAAGAATTAACTCAAGTATAACTCACGGGCGAGGCAGCCCATGGCACTGAATTACCACTGGGAGTTGAAAACTCCGTCGCCGTTGGTGAAAGCGGAGGTGCGACGGGCCTTTGATGATAAGGTGGCAGTGGATACAGCCCGATTTGCTGATAGGTGCTGCTTGGTTTACTCGGGGGTGATCGAGGGCCCTGGCTGTCGCCTGGGCAAGGAGCAAATGCACTCCAGGGAGAGTTTCCCCCAGAAAAACATGGTCCGATGCGGTTCGACTGAGCAGTTGGATGGCGAGGTCCAAACTCCGAGCCTTGAAAATACCTACCTTGATCCTCCGGGAAAGGTCCATCAAAGCTACAAGGGGTAACAGAAGGGCCAGAGAGCACACGATGCGGGTGAAAAGAACCGTTCCCCGGAACAGCAGGGGTTGTTGCTGATTGTCTCCAAAATCGGCTCGAATCCTGTCCAAATGAAGTGCCGGACAGGGGAAGATTGTTATCACCATAGGCCCTTTCCGAGTTGTGTCCAACTCCGTAAGCTGACTGTGTAGAATGTGGCCAAAACCTTTTAGCCCTATTGTACGCGCCGGCGGAAAGTGCATCAGATATATCTGACTGCGAATCTTCCTGCGTATTCCAGCCATCCTGGAGTAAATGAGGGGTCGGTATGGATGCGTTGAATGCGCTCTGCAGGTTACTGAACGTTTTCTCGCTTATTTCACGCCCACTAAAGTCGACTTCAGATGGAGGCCCAAGAGCCTGGTCCAGAGTATGGTTGATCACACGGGTTTGCGCTAATTCTTGTTCCTGCAGGGCGATTCTTGAGTTTGCAGCTTGAAGCTCGTGCTTCAGACGAAGTAACTCAGAAGCTTCGGAGTCAGAACTATCCTGACTCACTGCATCTTGTGCACTATTACCCATGTTGACACTCGTATGCAGCGAAAAACCAGTAGGTTCGGCAAGCTCCTCAGGGATTCCCATGCTGTCGACTACATTTTTGGACAGGAGGCTTTTCTGCTGGTCTAGGGCTAATTGCTGTTCTGATAGTTTCGAGAGAATCTCGTGGTTGGTGGCCTGCTTGGTATCTGAAACCTGAGCCTTTGGCGACAGTTTCGCTAGCAGTCTTTCCATTTTAGAATTTCCTATCAAAGGAACGGCATGGTTCAAATGCTCTAACTTCTGCTTCTGGGATTGTGAGATACCATTTTTAACAAGGGGGGCTGAGAGGAACCTGACCTTATTTGGGGTATTGTCATTTTTCTGGCTAGCGGGAGACTGGAGGTTTCCGAGCTTGGATGTCTCCAGCGGTTCGGGGGAGCTGATGCAGGCGTTTGGGTGCTTGTGGCCCTGGGGAATGTTTAAAAGGTTGGTTAGAAATTTGGCCAGGAAAGCAGTCATAGATGCAGTGCGTATGTGAACATACTGATATTTCACGCCCAATAGATAAGGAGCGAATTTCACCGTTTCCATTCCTGGAAGATTGTATCTCACCAGAGCTTCTGCAGCAAGTCTCTGGCAACGCGGTCGAAAGCAAAGACATGTTGAATCGTCAAAACAAAACCAGTCTCTTCATTACAGGGGTCCGCGTCGCGAAGAAGGTAAACCAAGCCGAGATCAGAGAGTCGGAAAGGACAAGGACACCCACCCATAAAATCCAACCGCTCTTACATGCAACAGCAAATCAAAGGGGGAGATGCTTCAAAGATAGCGCGGAGAAAAGCAGACTGTTTCCTACCGGCTTCCGCACTTGGGACTTGGAACGCAGCAAAAGGTATACGAAAGTATCTAGAAAAGAAATCAGAAGAGAGAGGGAGGGGGGATGATAGAGAGAGATGCGGGAGTTCGAAAAGATACCTTAGCAGAGTAGATTCAAAAAGCAAGTACAATCAGGCAATTGGGAAACAACGATAGGATCAGTCGAGAAGAAGGAAGGGTAGGGAGGCTCCTGGGTGAATTTGCAAACAAGAAGAAAGTCAGGCGCCTGTGTCTATAGTAGAAGGATCTGCTGAAAATGGAAGGAAGAGAGAATCATTCCGTCAGGGCCTCACCTCGACCGTTTAGTGGAGGAACTCATCAACATACCGCACGCGAATTACGGCCCTGGGATAAGAGATTCCCATGCCTGCTACATAACCAATTAGGGTGCATGTTTAATGGGCACACGGCGGATTGAAAAATGCGGACTCTCCTTGAATTCCGAAGCCAACGATCCCATATATTTCCGAGGTCCTCCTTCGCCTATTAGCGTAGTATTATATAGGTAGTACGGAGTAACCAAACAGTAATAATTCTAGGTATCAAGCGGGCATTCGTCACTCACACCGTGGACGTACGTGCTCTGTTAGCAAGCTAAACCACGCCGAAAATGGCATATCCTCGCCCAGCCATAAAAGCTCCAGAAAACCTTATGTGCCATTGGCAATATAAGACCCCATTGAAATTTGCCAAAATCTGTCAAAATGGCCAGCAGCATAAAGCCCCGCGTGGCCCTTCCAGCGACAACTGCCACCGAGAATCAGAAATTCGGGCTGACCAGCTCCGGTAAGTGTAGGCACAAGGCGAGCAGCCTGCTCAAGGCCATTCATATCCTCACCCCATACTACCAGCTCCAGGCTCTCGTTTCCCATGGGACGGAGGAATAGAGCACCCATTGAGGGCTCGCGGTTGAGGGTATACTTTTGATAACGTCCTCTTGTCTCGAAATTTATACTTCGGTGAAGGCTGTCTGGAACTGGAAACCTCCCCCTATATAAAGCGATATGGTCATCTGCAATATAAATGGGGTATGATTGCAGCAGTGAGTTTGGCAATTCGTTCCCTAACGAGACCGTTATGACATTCCCCGGAAATGTTGTGTTCAATAAACTGCATTGCCGACTGATGTGCGAGTCGGCAGCGAAATACTGTAAAAGGTTGCGGCTAATCTGGAGTGCCGTTTCCTCAACACCCATCGAGCATACGTTGATGGTGAATATCCCATTGGTTCGCATGATAGCGTCCATTGCACCCATTTGACGACCATATCTTTGGGATATGGACCGCCAATCATTTTTCTTCGAGCTAATCCACCCATTGTTGGTTTTAACATACCACGTGGATTCACACTGGAACTGGTCGACTTCGAAGTGAATATCCATATCATCTACAACCAAAATCAGAGAATCTTCTTCAGCCCAGCATATTTTGGCTGTAAGATGGAAACGATGGATATTTTGTGTCTGGATGTGCCATACCCCTGAGTACGAATCTTTTTTGACACGCAAACGGCCGAACATATCAGGAGACTGTAGCTGATCCACATATATTCCGCCTTTAGACGCCATGTCTCCGGAAGACGGGATGTACATTGTGTACTCCATTGGAGTACGTTCTGGCATCGGTTGTAAGGAATCGTTATAAAACTTCAGCAGGGGAGCGGTTGCCATAACACCATCATACCAGTGGCCTTCATGAGGTAACTCGACGTAGCCAGATGGCCAACCAGTCTCCTCTAGCAACTGATGCATAAGGCGCGAATGATACACGGGGACATTTGTGTCGTTTAAGCCATGCTGTTGTAATATTGGGATACCAGCAGCATTTGCTACCAAAAGTTCATGTTTGAAACTAGCCCGCGATTGATGAAGGACGGCGGAGATCAAAGGCTCGGAATCTCGCCACATGTTATATGGCACATAATCTACACGATCAGAACCTGCAAATATGGATGGAATCCTTTGGATTAGCGGGTAAAGTAGCTCACTTTCAATAGATGTATACCCCGACACCGGGGCAGCGGCGATAATATTATCGGGATGATGAGTAACAAGAAACCAGACACCCTGACCTACCACTTTGATGAGCCAACGAATGTCATCATAAGCACCGAACTCGAGGCATTACCTCCGTTTGAATGACCTAGGGCAATCCAATCATCAGCCGAGAATCCCGGACCACTCCAACCAACGGCTCCGATCCAGTCAGGAACAGCCCTTATGGCAGCCTTTATGTCAGCGGCACCCCAAGTATCTATTGCGAAAAAAGATTAGTGGAAATGACATTGCGCTTTGGTTTTTTCAGACACAGAACCAAGAAGCACCGCAGACAGGTACTTACGCCAGTCGTCGCCACTCCAAGAGGTAACACCGCTTGGGAACAGCATCCACGCACAGATACCGTAAGCAGGGTCCAGCATCCGGCGGATTTGCGCACTATTGGCCTCAAGTCCGGCTCCATGGAGGCCTATTACAACAGGTAGGGAGATGGTCGTCTTATTCAACAAACAAGGGGAATCGAGGGGTGGTGGACGTAAGATAGCATACGAAACAATGCCGGCTGGGTGAATGTATGTCAACCGCTGAGGCTCAGAGAAAGACTTATTGATAAACTTGATGATGAAGGATTGAACCCAGGTCTCTCCGCCTTGAACCACTCTGTAGCGAATATCGACCAAAAGCTTGGCACTCAAGGGACTGCGGCCCATGAACCGGAAAGGCAGTGGCCGAGTTTGATATGGAGCAAGAGGTAATGGCGCGTTCACTTGTAGAGGAAACTACCCGAGTTTGTTATTTGTGAACTAGAAGTGATGGGTAAATTGGCACCAACATCAGGACAGCTGAGGGAAAGAACCTCTACCCATTCAGCCGCATTGTTCTGCACATTCACTGACCCCCAGGCACTCCCAAAGTGCCAATCTGTAGTTTCAGGTACCAAAAGGCTTCGTTCGTCAATCGTTAACAGTCCATAGCGTAGTTTGGCCTCGAGAACTACACTTATTGTGGGATCACCTTGGCCACCCAAGGCCCGAACATCACGAATGAGCCGCAGTTCAATGACATGCTCTCCGGGAGAGAGTCCCAATATCAGAGGTGCCCTGCGATAGCTGTAAAAATCACCGCCAAAGTACCGTCGACCGTCGATAAGAAAATCCAAGATGCCATCCGTAAATATCCCAACTGCCTGGTAATTTGAACCAGGCAAGTTTATATATCCACGCACCCACGCCTGGTACTGCAGGGCAGACCATCCATATACGGATTGAAGGGACTTCCAATTTGTTTGTGGAAAATCTACCACAAGCTCGGCCCTGCTTTGTCCCGGGAGAGGATTGGTAACATTGGCCCGCACCCAGTCCCACCTCACGATCCCGCCTGTCGCAAGAGGGCTGTTGTACCCTACCTCCTCGTCAAATGACAAGTTTGTGAATCCGCCCCAATACTCCAGAGGATCAGTTCCCCAAATGGCTTCTAGAAAATGATTATAAAAGTAGGGTTGGTATATTGCTTCACAGGTGAGTCAAACTAGGGAAATACTGACCTCTTGTTCCGCATTGGAAGGGGCCGAGGACCTGCCATTTCTCTGAGAAGTAAACGTTGGAGGAGATCTCGCCAAGCGGGTACTGGGGGGCGTGAAATTGTGGCTCGAGAGACCATCCGCTGCAAAGTGCCCTGCGGAATAGCACTACATGAACCAGTATTTTTGTGAAGTATGCCGATGAGTAGTACATGATTCTATGCACGGCCCATATGAAATTGATATTAAATTGCTGCGATCTTAGGTCCTCATTAAGAACTCGGAATTGTGTGTTCTGAATTAGGCAGGTAAGAAACTCGAGGGCATCAGAATCAGAATCAGCACCTCGTCCTTGCTCCGTGTAGTTAAAACTAGCTCGCGCTCGAATGATTGATTTTTTTATAGGAATATTTTGCTGCTTAGAAGGTTGACCCGCACAAAGGCTGAAGTTGGATCTGAGGCTATCTACACCGGTGTAAGATGATTGATCGCCAGGGACAGTCAGTTATGGATGCCGGGGCGATCGGTCCCTTGCCCAAGGTCTTTTTTCCACGTCCAACAGGCGAGGTGGATGCTTCGTGTGCGGGCAGTGCTGAGTGCACCTGCTCACAGCGTTCCTCGATTCTTGAACGTCACTGGTCAGGAGTGGCTAAAGTGATTCGTCATCTCCCTCCGCACTAGCACCAAAGCGCACTAGTGGATTTCCGCTCTCGTCCCCTCCGACATGAAGAGTTCCGTCGAGACGTCCAGACCTCTCAAGTTCACTTCTCATGAATCAGGATGGTGATAGATGGATATTACCCGAGCATCTGCCACGAAATTGATCCATGCCATAACTATTCGCCGCTCCAAACAGTACTCGAGAGCCATAGGATTTGCGAATATCCGCACAGATTAACCCTTCGATTTCAGAAACGTATCAGAAGAAACAACTTGGCCGCATCCGGTCTCAGGCAAACCATCCCGGACAACAACTGAAAAGCATTACTCGTCCTGACGCCAATTTTGCGTCTCACCCGCATTGCAGGATAGCCCTATACGGGTGTATTTGAAAGGACAGGAAAATGTCGACAACCACTGTGACAGGCACGGGGCGGCGCGCCTCCATACGACAACCAGAGTTACAAACGTCAGTCAAAGTGGCCAACCCTCAAACCATGGCCAGTCCGATAGACAAGTTCCCACCATTCTACGACGAAGAATACGATTCCACAGAGTCGAAAATGCTACATCTCAATACCACAGTCAGGTATGCGCCCAATGACCGGTGGGACTATAAGCCGGCCAGAGATCCAAAACGAAAGCCGAGAAAGAGCATCAGCGAGACCATAAGTGCGATTAGGACACGTAATGGTAGTGTCAGCGCTAATGCGCAGGATTTGGCTCAAGCGCTCAGAGCGCCTGTTTCATACAGACTAATAGTATAGCTCTCTATCCCCTTCTAAAGTCTCGCCAATTGCCGCCGCTTACTAGTCTGCAGGTGCTTTGTCTTGTTTGGTATACTACTTCGGCTTTAACGAATACATCCTCGAAGTCTATTTTAAATGCGCTCCCAAAACCAATCACCCTCACAGTCGTGCAGTTTGCTTTTGTATCGATATATTGCCTCCTACTCTCGTACCTGTCGACCGTGGTCCCCTGGCTCAAAACCAGCATACCGGCACTCAAAAACAATATTCGCCCGCCATCGCGCGATGTCATAATGTCCGCGTTGCCTCTCGCCGTATTTCAACTAGCAGGACATATCCTAAGCTCGATGGCAACATCTCAAATCCCTGTTTCGCTGGTTCATACCATCAAGGGACTTTCTCCATTATTTACTGTGATAGCATACCGCTTCTTTTTCCGCATTCGCTATGCCATGGCAACTTACCTATCTCTTGTTCCATTGACACTGGGTGTCATGCTTGCTTGTTCGACAGGGTTTTCCACAAACTTTTTTGGCATTCTATGCGCTCTAGTTGCGGCTCTAGTATTTGTCTCGCAAAATATCTTTTCGAAAAAGCTTTTCAACGAAGCCGAGCGTGCGGATTCGGATATGCAGTCCGCAGGTCGCCGAAAGTTGGACAAGTTGAATCTGCTCTACTATTGTTCTGGGTTGGCTTTCATCCTCACATTGCCCATTTGGCTCGTCACAGAGGGTTATCCCCTATTCTCTGATCTGATGTACGATGGTGCCATCTCTCTCACAAACAAGGCTGGATCATTGGACCATGGCGCTCTTTTCCTCGAATTTGTGTTCAATGGGGTGTCTCACTTCGCCCAGAACATCTTGGCTTTTGTTATCCTTTCCATGGTTTCGCCTGTGTCGTATTCCGTCGCGTCTCTCATAAAGAGGGTATTTGTGATTGTTGTTGCCATTGTTTGGTTTGGCAACTCCACGACATCCGTTCAAGGTGTTGGCATTGGCCTAACCTTCATTGGACTTTACCTCTACGATCGCAATAGCCATGACGATGTCGCAGATCAGAAAGCCAACGCGGACCACTTCCACTCGAATAAAACCGTCCTCCCTTTAAATACTCGCCCAACCAGTAAAGTCTGGGATTCCAACGGCTATGCGTTCCCTGAAGGAAAACCCGGCGGTCGATACGTTCCAAATCATTCGCATTCCATCTCCAGCAACTCGAAAAAAGATGATGGTATCGGCCATGCTCGCCCAAGGGCAAGTAGCAATGCGAAAGCTTGGTTGCCACCCGGCACAAAACAGGAGGTGACCTGGCAAGCGAGCGACTCCTGACTAACAACTTTTGCACATGTACCGCCAAGACTTATGTATCTTGTGTTATTATTTCCCGTCCTGTAACATGTCGCGACGGGGTTGAATTAGGAACAAAATTGCCCCTGCGTGTACAAAATTAATGAATCTTTTAAAAATATAGAGGGTTTGTGGCTGTTGGTTTGCTGGGCATCCTAGCTATATAGTCCAGCGAGCAGAAAACAGATGACTAGACACGATCATACAATACGGATATTGTCACCTTTGTATATGATCCACCTGCATGAAGTCTTAAACCAAGATAACTAGTAGAGCAACGTGAGTAATAGTTGATGCGAGGTTAGATATTGTATTAACTTTTTTTTTTTTTTTCAATCGATCAGGTAGATATATTTAGGCGCCAAGGCGGGCCATGTGGTAGAAAAAAATTGAAGAAAGAGAGTAAAATCGTAATATTATTTTTTAACATGCGTCGCGAATTGTCGCCGCTGTCGGTAAGGAACTCTACCTTCAGTAGGCATCTTTGCCAGTGTTTCAACTGTTAAAGAATACCTTCCGGGGCTCCAGCTCAGTGCATCTTGCTCTTGGATCATGATGCAGAGGAGGGAGGGACGAATGAAGCCCTACCACCTACAATAAACATGCCCGTGAATGAGATGGAGAGGAAAAGAAAAGACCAAAACCTGGGATTGCTGAGAAAGCAAGAAAAAGGTTTTGGTTCGGATGATGGGATTTCCCGGGCGCCGAACCAATCCGGAGGCGGCAATTTGCGAGTGACGCCCGGACCAGAACTGCGAGAATCCAACCTTACACCAAAAGTGCTTTGACCGAAAGACACCAGTTTCTCCCCAAGTTGCACACCCGGCCGCCTTTCTCCCTCGGCCTCCCTCTTTATCTTCTTCCTTTTCTCACTCACCTCCCCTTTTGCTTCTTTCGTACACAGTATGCGGCCGCAGCTATTCCGCGCGGCCGCCCGGTCTGTCCGGGTTCCAAAGGTCAATACTGCCAGGGCCTTCGCAACCACGATCCCTCGTTCTGCTGAGGTGGAACTCACAATTGGTATGGCATTCACATCCATCTCATTATCCTGGCTTTATGTCTAACTTTTTATGGAATAGATGGCAAGAAAATCTCGGTAGAAGGTGATTATCAACTCCTGAAACTTTCCCCCAAGAACGCTACTTACACTCAGCAATGCAGCTGGCTCGGCTCTTATTCAAGCATGCGAGAAGGCTGGAGCTACAATTCCTAGGTACATACCTGATTCCATCCGACATTTGTTATAAATTATTGCTCACAATTCATGACAGATACTGTTATCATGAGTAGGCGATTTCCCCATCTGTCCTTCTCTCCCATACTCTCACCGTCGGCTACTAACGCACTCGGTAGAAAGTTAATGATTGCAGGAAACTGTATGGCCCCAACAGTCTTCCGGAACAACCACGACTATGCTAATTATTAACCTTATTAGGTCGTATGTGTCTAGTCGAAGTCGAAAGAGCCCCCAAACCAGTGGCGTCATGTGCCTGGCCCGTCCAACCGGGTATGAATGTCAAAACAAGTTCTCCATTAGTGCATAAAGCTAGGGAGGGTGTTATGGAGTTCCTTCTCGCGAATCACCCTCTTGACTGTCCAATTTGTGACCAGGGAGGAGAGTGCGATCTTCAAGACCAATCAATGCGGTACGGTGCGGACCGCGGGCGCTTTCACGAACTTAGTGGCAAACGCGCTGTTGAAGACAAGAACATTGGTCCCTTGGTCAAAACCTCTATGAACAGATGCATCCAATGCACTCGTTGCGTCCGATTCATGAATGATGTTGCTGGCGCCCCCGAGCTCGGAACCACTGGCCGAGGAAACGATTTACAGATTGGAACTTATCTAGAACAGAATCTGGATACCGAGCTTTCCGGCAACATTATCGACCTTTGCCCTGTTGGTGCCTTGACCTCAAAACCATATGCCTTCCGCGCTCGCCCTTGGGAACTGAAACACACCGAATCTATTGATGTGCATGACGCCCTAGGGTCCAACGTCCGGATAGATACTCGTGGAATGGAAGTGATGCGCGTTCTACCGAGGCTCAATGACGATATTAATGAGGAATGGATCAATGACAAATCTCGTTTTGCATGCGATGGTCTTAAGACTCAGAGACTTACTACACCCCTTATCCGACAGGAAGGAAAGTTTGTTCCTGCAACATGGGAGCAAGCCCTAACCGAGATCGCATCTGTTCACCAAAAACTGCAGCCCAAAGAGAATGAGTTCAAGGCCATTGCCGGCCACCTTGTGGACGCGGAAACCATGGTTGCCATGAAGGACTTGGCTAACAAACTCGGCTCTGATAGCCTTGCCTTGGATCAACCTGGCGGTAACTCACCCATCGCCCACGGTGTTGACATCCGCTCGAGCTATCTCTTCAACTCTAAGATCTATGGGATTGAGGAGGCGGATGCCATACTCCTGGTCGCAACGAACCCTCGCCATGAAGCTTCTGTTCTTAATGCTCGCATTCGCAAGCAGTACCTTCGCTCTGATCTCGAGATCGGTCTCGTTGGTGAATCGTTTGATAGCACTTTTGACTTCGAACACCTCGGCTCGGATGTTGGTGCTCTGAAAGCCGCCCTTTCAGGTTCCTTTGGCAAGAAGCTGGCTTCCGCTAAGCGACCCATGATTATTGTCGGCAGTGCTGCAGCAGAGCATGAAAGTGCAAAGGCAATTTTTGAGGCAGTCGGAAGCTTTGTGGAGAAGCACTCTAGCAACTTCAACACACCAGAATGGCAGGGTTATAACGTTCTTCAGCGTGCGGCATCCCGTGCGGCCGCGTACGAAGTCGGCTTCACCACACCATCCCCAGAAATTGCGCAGACAAAACCCAAGATGGTTTGGCTACTTGGCGCGGACGAGGTCACTCAGTCCGATATTCCTAGTGACGCATTCGTTATCTACCAAGGACACCATGGTGACCACGGAGCTCAGATTGCAGATGTTGTTCTGCCAGGGGCTGCCTATACTGAGAAATCAGGTACCTACATCAACACCGAAGGCCGTGTTCAAGTTACTCGTGCAGCAACTTCGATGCCTGGTGCTTCCCGTGATGACTGGAAGATCATCCGTGCCGCTAGCGAGTTCCTCAACGCCCCTCTCATGTACGATGATATCGAGGCTCTTCGCGACCGCATGGAAGAAATTAGCCCTGTGATGCGTCGCTATGATGTTGTCGAACCCGCCTCGTTGGCCCAACTAAGCAAAGTTCAACTGGTCGATCAAAACAAGGGTTCTAATGTAACCAGCACACCCTTCAAGAAGGTCATTGAAGACTTCTATTTCACAGACTCCATCTCCAGAAGGTAAGACCAGAGACTCCTCCGTCTATATCCAGGATTCAGCGCTGACCATATCGCAGTTCACCAACGATGGCTCGCTCCTCAGCGGCCAAGGCCTCTGGTAACCCTGATACAAACTACATGTCTACAGGTGGTGAAGTGTCCCCTCAGCACATGTACGGTTAAAAGAAAAGAAAAGAAAAAGAAAAAGAAACCCTTTCGAGCCTTGATCTCCATGGCCGCTTTGGTTTGTTCTTATAAGATTTTTTTTTCCCCAAGGCGTTGTTGTTGTACTACCTTTAACGCCTACCTAAACATTGCTATTGGTCTCTCTGTTTAATTATATCATTGTTTGAATCCCTTTTCTAAAGTGTTTCTAGCTCCATTCTGACATGGGTCAAAAACTTGCGGGGCCAATCTGTACATAAGATCAAAATTGGCTTCGGCAATAGATAACCCTAGTGATTCTAAAGTCTTCGTATAGACCACTGGATTGGAAGTATCAATTGATTCACTCAAACCAACACTTGCATAGTCGAACGATTCCTAAATAGTCATGTCGTTGCTACAAGCCCGGCGAATAATATATGTGCCCATGTTGGCCTGTGGCGTTAGCGAGTAAAAAGCCCCAACTCTTAGCATAGTGGTCAACTTTACATAAAATACATTTTCCTTTACCCCAACATGCGAATACGAGTTATAGTTCATCATCATCTGTCGTCCCTCCTGTTTCATCCGGACTTTGTCGCACCGGAGAGGGTCGTGTGAGGGTCGGCTGTTTTTCTGTCCTTCTTGAAAAGGGCAGCTCTCTCCTTGGCGGTGGTGATTTCGCTACAACCTGTTCATGAAGCCCATGAATTCTTCGATTTCTTTGCTGTGGTCCTCTAGCACTCGAGACGATCTTCTCATCATCCGATATTGCATTATCATCATCTTCAAGTGGCTGGGGGGTCGATGTTCCTTCGTCCGTTTCCTCGTCCACAACATTGTCGAGTTGTTGTTTCGGTTTATCGGTTTCCATTTTCCCAAATCCACCATCACCGTCAGGTTCATCTTGTGTCGTTCCTGCGGGACGTTTTGGTCTCCGTCCCTTCACCCTTGGCCTCGGATCGCCTGTTGCAAGAGCCGTCTGCATTGTAGATACTTTCCTGCTTTCAGATTAGTGCTACACTAGTTGGGTAATTACGACTTACTTTTCTGGGTGTCAACTTGGGCGGACGCAAGTAGGCGTTGCTGATTGCGGATCTTCAATTTCTTTTCATTCAACAACTGCGCAAAATCAGATATAAGTTGTTGGTCATGTTCTGTTTTTAAGCTGATGAACTCCTCCAACTGCTTGTTCAACAAAGCTATTGTATCCTCGGCCGCACGGAAGCGATCGAGCAATAAATTGAAGCGCTGCTCGAAGATATCCGCCCTGGTAATGGCAAGGTTTGACCATTCAAATAGCTCGATACCCTGTTCGTCGTTCTGTTGGAGGCTTAAGGATCCTAATTTTTGCTGTGCATGGTCAGAGAACGTTTTCCGATATTCGCATCAAGGTAGGCCTACTGTGATAGTCTGTATTCTCTTCCTCACGGAGATCACTAGCCCCTTATTGCCGTCCCCAGAGTCAATTATGGTGGCTGATGCTTCGATGCCCGCGATAAGCTCTGTTGTTTGTGTCGTCTCGCCCTGCAGGCCGAGGACATAAAAGACAGTATACTGCCACTCATCATCGCTCCCTTCATAGCTTTTTGCTCTTAGCTTCTTCAGCTGAGACTGCTGCACTGCGCATGTACATTAGTAGCTCGAAATGCGGAGGTAACTTTTGAAATCACTTACAAGTTGCGGTGTAAGGAAATTCTCCCTCCGTCGCTATTATAGTCAACTCCCCGGTTGAGTCGGAGCATGAAACGTAAAGAAGAATATGAGAATCGGCTTCGTCCGATCGACGAATGTGGAGGACGCGGGGAGACAGGCTACCTTTTAAAGGGGGCATCTCGAGCTTGTGTAACTAAAGGTTCGAAAAAATGGCGCGAGCACGAGTTCTTTCGGCAAAGTTGTTTTTCTTTTCTTTTCTCTTCTCGTGAGATCTCGGTTCTTATTTGGTTCCCCAGGTGCTGGTGCCTTGTGCTCTGGGCTGTAGCCTTGTAGCCTTGGTATGATTACTCTCAATTAAGTACGTCCCAATGTAGGGGGGTTTACCCGTAGGCAATATAAATAGTTGATGACACAAATTTTGTGTTATTGTGAGGAGAATTTTAAACTGGAGCTTTTTCTAGTGAATGTGTGTTTGTGTGTGGGCAAGAAACCGTGGGACTGGCAACTATAGCTACGTCCTTAAAGACAGGGGAAAGGAGCCTCAGCTTCAGCATTATATCCGCTTCAGCCACTGCTGGCCAAGTTGAGGTGCGCCTGTTTTAATGGTAAACTAGGTCTTACATGACCTAAAAACATAGGACCAACCATCCGCTAGTTATATAGTGTACCTGACACCACCGGCATCAGAGAAGCTTCTACAATATTTACACACAGACAGGGGGTGCATGCCTATATATTGTCAGTTGTCCGAGTCCCACCGCCTAGGCATCAGCATCTTCTGAACACTGGTTACTCAGTACTAGTACTGTGCTTGATCGTTTTTTAGAGGATGCAAGTGGTGCCCGAGATGTGACCAGCGACAGATCTTCTCAAAAAAATGAGACACGACAAAGCATATGTCAGACAGTGAGGCTGATGCGAGTGAGAGACAGACATCCGAATCTGATGCATCTCAAATTAGCGCGATGCATTACGAGTATTACTAGTATTACGACTGTCCGAGCAACCGGAGACCTAGTATAGAACTAGTGGATGGAACGCCGCACCTCGCAGCATCCAATCCACACTCCATTTGGACCTCAATAACCAAGCGAGTTTCTCTTGTCTCACCCAGACACTCGCCTCCCACCTCACCTGATAATATCTCCTAGTTTTTTTCGCCTTTCCCATATTTGACGGGATGAACATTATTTCGGCAGGCGTTCGGATGCTCGCGTAGTTAGCATCCATAACGCTCGTTTCCGGAGGGAATTCCACCAGCCACCCCTGTCACGACACACGACACACGAGCTCTTGCACGATCGCGGACACCTTGATTCTCGTGTTCCTCGGGTCCAACTTCCCCACGTTATAAATTCACCTTCGCTCTTGCCATACCATCTCGCAGTTCCTCATGATAACTGGATAATTGGAGTCGACGTCAACTCCAGTGTCCTTTTATTCACGTCCTGACCATATCATCGAGAACACAAACCTCCAATCGAACTACCCAACAAGTCGAATCCCAACGCATCACGAATCGTCCCAATTTGCATCTCACAGGGATCTTAACACATCTAGTGGTAGCACGGCATGACGTTCTCACCTTATCCCAACCCCCTATCAACACCGGAACGTTCGATGCGAACGACCTAAAATTCACAAGCCTCAGCTATATATTTCTTTTATGGGTCCGTGCCTTATCGCACAACACCTACAATCGAGCTACTATGGCACAATTTACTCTTGAAGTGCCACAGAATAGTGACGGGACAATTGAATGTTGGGATGACGATGATGACCTACAATGCTACGAAGATATCCACCTTCGCGTTGCCTCAAGTGCTACGTCTGTGACTAACTCATCCATCCGTCGGTCTGGGCATCGCGACTCGATATCTTCACGGCGCTCTGCTCGTTCCGATCTCGACTCTACCGCGGGCGGAGATGAGGATTGGGAGATTCAGTTGCTGGATGATAACGAACTCGTAAACGAAGAGGCTATAGCGTCTGTCAAAAATTCTGGCATCCCATTGCCCGCGAACATTCCCCAAACTGCCCTTGTCGGCGGTACGATTAAACGGCTTGGGAAGAAAAAGACAAAGCGAGAGTTTATCGACGATTGGTCTGACGACCTAGAGCTACCAAGTCCCAGTATTGCTTTAGAGTTAAAGCGATTCCATGATACCACTCTCCCTGAGGTTCTTCTGCAAGTTGATTCTACTTCAGTAGATCATTCAAATGCCTTTTCTCCATCGTCTAGTGACGGTGTGGCACCGCAACCACCTGCCCACACAATATCGCGTGACTTCCTAAACAACAACAAGGAAAGCCATACTCAGGATATCCCCACGATCAAAGCAGTCAAGCAGTGCTCTGCACTAAGACCGAATATCATGGATGAAACGGAGCCGAGCAATGAAACAGCCGCGGTGGATGATTTCGAAAATGATTTTGAACTTCCAACTGATGACCTCCTTCAACTACGCCAACCCTCGGCAAGAAATCCTAGCCTAACTCCTGATGACGTTGATGTCGATTGGTCCGAAGGCAGTATTGGGGTGCGATATGGTGGCACCACGCGAGACCATCGGTCAAATCCAAGCTCCTCGACTTCGATTGTCAGCCCAAGTGCCTCAAGTTACTTGACGGGTGAAAGCGACGATGAAGGGCTCGAGGGGCTTGTGATTCCAGAAGGGCCTTTGGACCTAGGCTCACATTTAGCTCAGTCGAGGGAAGCAAGCACACCCAACGTATCTCATCGTACACCCGAGGATAAGGGTCAAAATCAATCTCGCTGCGACGACTTTTTCTCTGATCTTGAAATAAGCAGCAGCGAGGCGTTCGTAGCCAAGAAATCCTCCATAAATCCGAATATCAAATACAGAACAGAGGCACTTCAGAGCCCGGCTCGGCGTTCTGCAACCACCCTCACATTTACGAACGCGACAATATCTCCAAAGACTCGCATTCCTCGCCTTTCCGGACATGATCGACCGGTTTCCACGCATCTGGAAACAGTATCGGAGAGTGGCGCTCCCCTGTCCAAGTTCCGTACCTCTCCACGCCGACCAGGCCATGTCTCCCACTCCTCCGTATCCAGTCTCCCTATATCTGGCTCAACAACAATACCATCACTTTCCTTTACACCAACCCGGCGCATAGTGGGAACCCGTATCTCAAAAGAAGCTCTAGCGGATGAACGCGGGGCTGGGAAGCAGTTACTGAAATCGAAACGCTCGATGCCGTCAATACGGAATGCACCACAATCAGCGACAAGCGCCGCATTCCCAAGCCCCCCTCGTCAAGGTGGCTCAGGCTCAAGCTGGCTAAACACCAGGATCTTTGGTCCTGCTGACCGCAGTGGACCAGACGGGAAGCTGTTAGCTCGTAAATCTCAGGTGCCATTCTTGCCTGCCGGAGCATCCGAAAGACAATCCCATCATAGCAGCATTAAAAACCATCGATATTCCCGACGTACGAGCTCCGACGATACAACCGATTCCACTGACACACAAGCCGCCGCTATACGACTACCGCGGTCAAGCCGTCATAACAGTTCTGGGAGCAATTCCAATGACGCACCGTTAGAAACACTGAGCACAACTCCTAAACGAACTCTTACCCGACCGGCCCGTCGCCGAAACTATGGTGACGGAACTGAATTGGCTTCTTTCGATGACTTACCTACATCGACAAGCACGGAGAACAGATTTGTCAAGCAGCCCAGCGGACGTGGAGCTCCGCGATCCTTGAGAAACAAGTTGAGCATAAGCCAATCCGCACCCCCAAAGTCACAAGTTTCACAGCAGGCCCAGCCAAGAAATGCTCCATACCAGCAACAATCATCTCTTCCCCGGTTTGCGCGCGATACCAATGCGTCAAGGAACGCTAGGGAACAACGCATTGCTTCTATGTCTGCAATTTCGAAACTTCGGGAAAACAATCCACTTACTCCCCTTAATTCGAACTGGAAATCCCCAAATGTCCCGCGAACTCCGTCAGCAACGGCGTCCATAAGAAGCAAAAAGGGGGTACCTGGTTCAATCTCTGGATCCAGACCGCAATTAATCAAACCCATTGGTGCAGGTGTCCAAGAACGGAAATGTAAGCTGTTTTTCCGATCAATGATACGCATGAACGTTGTACTAATATTTTGCAAGCCGTAAATGGCATGCATTACAACCCCGTCTCTTACCGTTGGGAGGGCAACGAGAACCTGGTTCAAGATTTTGATTCTAGCGCACCTAAGTCACCGAAACCCTCACCTGCCCTGATCACCAATGTGGGGGCGATGCAAAACGTACAAGTGGTCGGCGGAATGGTTTTTGATCCGCAGCGCATGTGTTGGCTCAAAATGGCACCCTCACAACCCGGGAAAGAAGGAGTCTTTGCGGTTGAGGACGAGGACGACATATTCTCTAATATGACAGATTTAGAAGAACCTGGCGTCTCCGAGAAAAGGCCAACAAGGACCCGAGAAGATTTTGATCCTGCAGTTAGCGGGGATGACAGGAGTGGCGAGGATTCGTCAGATGAGTGGCCCATGACGGAGGAGTTTGATGTCGGTCCGGAATTCATTCGACGCCAACGCATGGAAGAAGAAAAGTGGAAACGCAAGGTGGGCAAATGGATGAACGATAACCATGTTGGTTTTGGAAGCAACTGGAGGTGGGCTATCCGGGATCTGGTGAGATCCAACAGCATGCTTGGGGCTCAAAAACTCAATAATGCATGACTGTTTGATTTGATTGCTTCCACCTCTGTGCCCAAGACTTGAGGTGAGACGAATGATACCATAATGATGATACCCATGAATTTACTGGAGCTTTTCCTATTGATTACTGCGTTCGGGCTCTGATGATGTGGCGAGAAATTTGGCCGTTGCATTGATTTTTCCTGCGCTGCAATGAATGTTATTGTTATAGGATCACATCCCTGTTTTCTTCGTGTTAGTGGATACTCTTATTACTTTACTCGAACTGATGAAAAATAGTATAGAAACTATGAAGTTCAGTTCTGACCTAACTTACTTCTGCCAGGTGAAATTGCAATGCGGCTAACGCCATCGCAGCGATCCCTGGATCCTTCGGAACGGTGGTGGTATTTTGGCTAATCAGTATACGGCGTAAAACACGTACCGAGGGTCTGATCTTCCTTGTCCTAATGCATCGGTTCCAAGGACCCGCAGCTCCAGGGCTACAGGTGGCAACATTAGTGGCAAACTGCTCATTGGCACCTGCAAGTAAGCCCAGGTAGGTAACCAGGTGTCTTGGGAAGTTGTCACATCAAACCCCCTCAACAATGGCGCACCACGGGGATTTCTTGAGTAATGTGCTCTTCTACGCTTAGATTTGAGGAGCTTAGGAATCAAGCACACTATCCAGACAGGCAATGCAGATGGTGCCTCCTTGTTATTTATAACTACTTGTTGACAACAAACAGTATGCAGAGTCTCGTGCCGATTGTCTTCATACATCCCAGTCCGCCAGCGTCGTCCCCTTTGACACGATCAGGCATTCGGAGTGACAAGAAATGAGAATTACCCCCCCACCTTCCCCCCCAACACTCCCCAAAAAAGACCTTGTAGCTGAGCTAGGCCGTGGGCAACTAAGTGCAGTCTACACTGGCTCAACTTGACTCTAGGGTTACGCCATTCATTGACAGATATTGAGGACTTACTATGCCGAATAGGGAAATTGCTGACATTGTCCACTGCGTGGACATGTAATTTAGTCACACCACGTTACTAACTAGAGATAGTTTTCTAGATAGTGGACGCCGAAAAGCCAGCACACCAATCCATAGGAATAAACCTATGATGACGTTGAAAGTGGTTATCATATACGCTTATTTGCCATCAACTTGGGTCCCTGTAGCGCGTGAAAGCAAAATAATTTTCTATGGTTGTCAAGTGAAACTGATTTAGTTAAGGCTACCGAAAGGCATGGGGGGGCAGTAGTCAACATACCTCCTGGGAATGATAAATTCAGAAAGATGCCAGCTGTCCCTGGCCTCGTTATTTAACGCGATATATCACAAAGGAGCAATCTGTGCCCACAGGCCTGCATGGGTTGTTGCAAGTTAGTTTCGAGTACCATCACGATGGCAACTTAGGCAAAGGTGGCACAGAAAGAAGCAAAATAACCGAGCGTATCGATGATTGAAGAACTATTGCAGCAGGACTCGAGAAGATACACCCGAGGAAGAGAAGAAATCGATGAGAAATTGAGGATCCCTAGGCCAGGACATACGCGGAATATACGGCGGAATTGACAATGTTTCCCCCCACCTTGCAGTGCTGCGAGGATGGACCATCGATAACTCGTTGGTGCGGGAACTCCCAGTCACATTACGGATTTTCCCTCAGCGGCTACAAGGATCCGCCATTCCTGAAGTAGCACAGAAAACCCCGGGGTAAGGAGTCGGTCGATGAGCAGACGCCAGTTCCAGACTGTATTGGACTATGCTAGTTGCTTCCACAGAGGGGGCAAAAATTAACTGCCCCAACGCACAGCGTTATGGTCGTTTCCAGCCCCATACGACTTCATACAACTTCATACAGGTCCAGTCATGTCGGATATGTACTAGCATACTCAAACACTGTATCCTCTAAAGGATTAACTAGGCGTTGAGCTGTGGAGCACGAGGTTGATTCTTGGCTAGGGCACTGGCCCATCACTGTAGAAGGCGTCCGCCAGCTTGCTCGAACGAACAACTAGGTACCCAGGTAGCCAATGAATGAAATGACCTGCTTCCTTCTTCCCTAAGTAATCATTTGCTACTCGGTGTTTCTGCATACCCTTCCAGGCTCTGCTGCTCGAGATTCTTGATCCTGGTCAATTTTATCAAAACTTGGTCGCTTCTGTTTCTATTTAGCTCACCTGCTGCTGAGGCTTCTCTAGTTGCCGTATTGACTGACACCCTTTGCAGAGCACACTGTGGATTTTGGTTTTTGATTTTATTTTATTTTTCTGCATCTCGTCTCGATTGTTTGCTACCAATCTCTCTCACCTATTCTACGTCTCCTGCCTGTCATTTGGGCCTACCCCTCCTTTCCAGTCCCTTGTTATTTGTATCACATGTGAGCAGAGACAAGAACTAGGCCTATCAATCGAGGAAATTCCATTTCCTTCTGTCCTCTGCATTGGCGCCTACCCAAAAACTAATTGATTGCTACCGTGCATTAGTACTGCCCATTGGATATGCATAACAGCAACACCGAGAAGAGAAGGGGAAACGGGAAACGGGAAAAATAAAAAATAAAGCAATGATAATGACAACCAGGTTCTTGAATATTTAGAGCATGTTCCGTTTAAATTTAATCCTACATCCGCCCATTCGGGTCTTGATACCGTCAACGAAGACTCAGATCTTCATATCTTTCTTGTTCGAGGAAATCGGACTTGCCTCTCCCTCATCATACACTCTCCAGTAGGGCTACCTTGGTCTTCTCCCCCAAGCTAGACTCGACGCTACTTTGTCTTATAAAGGCCCTAGGAGAAGCCAAACATACATACAGGCCTGTGAAAGCATTGTCCGCCAGGAGGGGTGATTAGCACAGCCTCCTCTCAGACAAAATTGAACCAAGAGTATTTTCAAATTCGGATATTGAACTTGGCGTACAACGGCTATCGACAACGCAGCAATGAGTGGCTTCCACAGGCGCAGTAATGACAGCCATGAAGGGTACTTCATCAACCCTCCTATATCTTTACCCATCCCGAACAGCCACGGAGAGAGCCACGATTTCGAAGCAGGCTCCTATCATTTCCCTCAACATAACTTCAGTTCATATGCGTCTCATTTTAGCTTGCCTTACAGTCATACAAGCATAACCTCTCACCATTCACCGGGAGCGTCAATGCCATCAATTCCTGACCAAACACCCCTACACCACCCCACGACGCAGTGTATGTCACAGCCACGTTATCTCCAAGGGCCTGCATACCTCCATCTGCATGAAGCATTAGCCGAAACGGAGCTCGAAAGCCAGGACTCCAGGAATGAGGACACAATGCTTTCAGAGCCAATAACTCCCCACCTAGAAGGCTTTCCAAATGTCACAGAATTCGATAAACTTGTCAAAAGGTAAGTCAGGTGCCTAGGCAATGTTGCTATTCCATCCTCGGGGTAGGTAGGAATTGGGCTCACATTGAGATTTCGACAGTTATGTGGACGATTTATCGGTGAAAAAGCAAGACAAGGCTCTAATACACGCTAAAAGGGCGCGGAACATAAGAACTGTCTTGATAGACCCTAAGGATACGGCTATCGAATCAGCCCAATTTCGGTATGGCACCGCTTCCTTCCGCCCTGATTATTTTCTCTCTCGTTAGCATGGGAATTTCAAAACTAAACAGCGGTATTAGGTTCTGGGTGAAGAAAATGTTTAAACTCCAGGTGATTGGAGGTAATACCTCAGATGTCCGTAAGCCACACCAGTCTGGGGTGACACGAGAGGCCATACTAATGGTATTTATTGTCTCATCTAGTGCAGGCGGATGATTTGCCATGAAGGCAAGCCTGTTGCCGTTAGAGAAAAGCTGTTCAAGATACTCACAAAGGCACACCAACAATGTCAACATGGAGGTCGGGATAAAACTTCTGCCCAAGTCCGGCAAATATACTCATGGTACGTGACTGATTACAGCTGGAGTTAACCCGGCATCTCGCGACAGAAAACAGGTGGAACTTGAACACCCGGCTGACTTAACCTCCCCAAAGGGTTCCCAAAGAGCTAATATCCCGTTTTGTGAAAATATGCCCGACTTGCCAAATCCGCAGGGGGGGCACGCGTGTGACACCACCTAACTCGAGAAGAGGCTCGCCTCCTCTCAAAATATCCTCTCGCTCTCCAAAGCTTCCCTCACCACCAGTCTCCAGACGCCAGTCAGCCATTGCTGGGCCGGCTTCTCTGGAGAGAACCCAGATGGAGTGTTTTCACCAGCAAAGCAACTGGTTAGACCCTGGTCGCAAGTCACATCGGCATGCAAGCTTGAGTATTGGGCCCGTGCGATCAGTTAGCGGGGGAGTACTTGGTCAGCTTCCAGGCCCGGTCTCCGCAAATTTGAATCCCTTCCATAATGACATCCCAATGCCGTCGATTCAAATCAATTATAACACCAGATATTCCAGTACACAAGGATCATCCACCCACCGAGATTTCTCTTGCTGACCTTTGTTTCGTGAAAACCCAATGTGTTCTTGCAGCAATGAAAGGGAATCTGTGAGCACATACACGGTTCCCCATTTTTACCCACACTGAAGAAGGAATCCGGGTTTTGATTTAGTCAATATCATGCTGTGCCTTCGCGGCTTAAGAACAAACACTTATCAGTGCCGATATCCCGACGCTCAAACATTGCCATCCTAACACCCCATCACTATAAAACAATCTTTTCTTTCTTAAAAGTCACCTTTATTGTCCTAGCGTTGGGGCCTCACTTTAAGTGAAAGCTTCAAGGTGGTCAAAGAATTCGCATTAATTTTAGTTCCATCATATAGTACATATAACCAGGAATAATACCTCTCACTGTTGTAACCCCACCGACACGTACCATAGGGGTGGCATACAATGACTGGCGATAATATTTTTTTTTTCAGAGAAGTATTATCTTTCGGCTCTGCCTTTTCGGGTCAGGCCTTCTCACGCAAGATGCCGTAGCCATCACTGGAAATTTCTTCTGCGTAAAGCAGGATGCTTATACGAATGTACGTATATATCCATATGCGGACCCGCCTCCCTTTTTTAGACAGGAAGGGAAAATTTCTTGCCTTTCATTATCCTGATATGCAGGTCAATCATTTGGTGTATCGTATAGAAGGGGTTAAAACCTACTTCGTGTAGTAAATGTAGAAAAAGTCGGAATATAGCAGGGTCTGAATGACGCCCGCTACGACAGAAACGGGGTCGAGATGACCTTCTGAAAAATACCGGTATATCCAATTTGGGATATAAAGGGCCCTATATAGCCCTAATGCGAATAAATAATGGGTGGTTATAGTATCCGCCTCTCCAGTACGCTGAAGCATAAAAAGCTGAGGGAGAATTGCCACAGACTCTAGCCAAATCGAGAACGTCCAGAGAATCTGCGAAGAGTCAACACCAGCCGGGTATTAAAAATCAAGTTGACTCACCTCGGAGATACTATAGTCATGTGTAAAGCAAAGAGCGAAGATTGCGCTCGAAGCAAGCAAGTATTGCACCTTGAACGTGTCCAGGTTCGGATCATGCGTAGGTCGATAATCATTGAGCATAAGGTAAATAATGTAACCCGATGAGCCGATAAATAATATTTTAAAGGTCGTGTTGTATAGCGAGTCGGCAAATGCCCAAAACAAATCTAGTGTCTTGTATTAGCAGTCGCAACAAGGATCATGGATTTGATGTACTGAAACCTACCAAGATAACGAGTCACGAACACCATCAAGTACAGGGCTTGTGACTTAAAAGACAACCCCGAGCAGCTCTGGAATCTATGATTAGATTATGCGTAGTATATTTCAAATGGGCGCACGCACGCTCGAGGACTTCATCTTCTGTAGCAGAACGAAGATTGAAGCAAGATGGGAGAAATCGGCTATTACATCGTCAGGACCGCTAGTACCAGCAATTTGACCGCACTCACCCAGTAACCTGAAAATATTCATCGTGCTTTATCGTGATGTTTGCTTTGAGGGCGACGACAGGTGCGCAAGAGCAGGTGATTGAGGTTGTTGTCAATGAGGTAATGAGTACAGAAACTAATCCGAGAGTGATTGCGTTACTCGGCAATTAGGGCGTCCATTAAATTTCGTGAAAAGTTAATTTCATTTAGGTCTGCGAAGGAGAGATGAATGTTGACACGAAGCCTCTCGGAGTTCAAGATGCGCGACCGCGCCAGGCGGATTAGGTGCGCCCCACATTTACGCCGCATTTCCCAAGCTTCAAAATTGGGGGTTTATGTCCGAGGGTAATTATACTATGTAGAGTGTAACTACAGAGTATGTAGTCAAGTATATGCACGACTAGTACAACTGATGCTATATTTAATTTCTGATCGCTTGTACCGTATTATATTCCTCTGTAGCAATGATAACAGCTGTTTAACCAAAAGGTTTCTGGTAAAGCCCTATCCCATAAGCTCATCTGGAGTTCAAAAAACAAAAGCTCGGGAATACTCAATTGGACCGCATTACGAACAAAACCGATCCGAGCTAATTGCTACTCGAACCACGCTCAATACACATTGTCATCCACCGGTAGGTGGTTGAAAATATTAGTGTTGTCAACAATAAAATGAAGTATCAAAACAATACCCTGCCAAGTGTACCTTCAGTGTCAGTGATACATTGTAAATGTCCTTCAGCAAGTTCACTTTTCAAGGCACAAATAGAACTCTCCCGGTCCAGCTTATCCCAATCCCTTAGCCCAGCACGTTTCAGCTTTTGGCTCTCGGCAATCTGTTCGAAAAGTCGATCCCTATCTGCTTCAAGCTGAGAGAGGCGCTTTTCCGTCATATTGTCAAGCTCTAATTGGTGGAGCCTACCTCCAGGAATGATGCTATTAAGACCTACAAGAAACCTGGAGTATCTTGGGGGGTGAGAGGACGGGGTGCTGGAAACGCTGTTATGGTGGCAGGAACGGGCGCGTTGTGATTCGACACCAAGAGTTGGTAATTGACTACTTCGAGGCGCAGTGGGCGTTCCATGTGGCCCAGCAGGTGCAGGCCCACGGCGTATCGGCGTAGTTATCCAACCACTGTCTTTCAGAGTTGAGTTTCCACGTGGTCTCGTCGGGGCAGACAAAAGGGAAATGTTTGAGGCGCTAGGATGCGATGCGAAGGTCTTGGGACCATGTGGCGGTCCTGGCGGAGGTGATTTGTAGTTACGCTTATTTGCGAATGCCTTTGGCTGACTTGGAGCATTACTCGGATATGATGCTGCGTGGTTTGACCTACCCTGTATTCCAAGTAGTGTAGGTGGCCCCGTATCGTCGGTATTGGGCAGTGACTTCCCAAGCACTTGCTCTCCAGAAGGTGAATTGATCCTGCCTTCCGGAGTGGTGAATTTACTTTTTATTAGGGGCGTAGGATCATTCTGGGCTGGTGAGACTCCCCAGTCTCTCGAGCGACGACGGCCCAGAAGATGGCTGACAGGCGGTGACCGACTTCTATTGCCTCTTGAAGGGGTATCGTTCTTATTGTCGCTGGGGGACGACCGCCTTGAGTTGGACATAGACCCAGGGGCAGAAGGCCGCTTGGTGTGTGTATCATTTGGGGATTGCGACCGTCGCCTTTGCCCTAGATATCGATCGGTAGTAGCGTCTCTACGGCCCCTATAAAAAGGGCTCCGAGCTCGAGTTGTTGTTGGTGGGCGCTGATCGTTTTCGAATGATAGTCCACGTCTTAGAGGTGACCCAGATCTCGTGTGGCGTCCAGCAGCAGAAGGCGGGTGGCGCTCCTTTCTATAGTGCCCATAATCGCGACCTGCGGCAGATGAATCTCTTGGCGGCCTACAGGTTGAGGTGCTCTGGTTCCATCCAGCATCACGAGTCCGATCTTCCCCGAAGGGAGACCTTGGTCGTCTTGAAGATGATGCAGGAGATCTGACCCTCACATCCCGACGAGGGGAGAATCGCCGGGGGACGTACGTCTTTGGATACGAACTGACACCAGTATCCCTATTATACAGCTGCGGACTTCGCGAACGACGCCTATATGGAGGCGGCGAACGGGTCCTCGGGCGAGTATAGGGCCGACCAGTAGATGGCGCCCATGTGTCGGCAACAAGGCGACTAGGGGGTGAGCGTATCCTGGGGGGAGACCGGCTGCGACGAGTATATCCTCGAGAGCTTCCAGGGCGATAACTCTCTCCGCCACGGTGATCATCAAATCTGTAGTGAACATCATATTTAGCATATTGGATAGAAGAACCGCAATTAGACAAACAGACCTTCTTGTACGCTCCCAATCCATCTGTGGCGTTCGTGTCAATTTTGAAGGAAAGAGAAGCAGCTTCGGTACCAAGGATAGGATGTTCAAGTTGGCCGTCAAGCGCTCAATACCTGCCTGATATGGCAAAGTGCCACACGGATTTCCGAGGACTGACCCACTTACAGAGGTACTAGTACAGCATGACTTCCTTTGTATGTGTAAAGCAGTATGCCTTCCGAAGTCTGGGGCGTTGCTCAGGAAAGCTGCATAGAAAAATTTTAAACTACGAGGTCTTGGTTGGGCTGGTAGTTAACAGGTGTGGTGGCAAAAATGCTGAATCACCTGAACCAGAAAGAACTGCGGCGGACTTCTCCCAACTTGTACTCTGTGGTTCAGAGTACATGGGAGAAAAGCTTAAATGGATGTGGATAGTTGTACTGTCGACCGTCATCCTGGACTAGCCCTGTCCGGCAAAAGAAAGACGCATCAAGGCTGCTCAGAAAATGTTTGGTCTGTTCAGTTATTCTCTCTTCCAACCCTTGGCACCTTTCCTAATATATTGAGTGCGATGCGACGCGCCTAAATCAAGGTACCGGATTAATTCGTTGCCTTATACTAGTATAACTGATGTTATGTTTCTCTCCATATATTAACAAAGAATAAACCGTAGTACGGCTCTTCTCCCACGATCCAGCTCTCAGACTTACAACAGAATATGACCGGAGCGTATTTATCTAAGCTCGTACAACGACGAGGGTTGACTGTCCGTCAAAAGGTAAATCCTACGGCCTGCCTGTTCCATGCATGAGCTTGGATGCGACAATATCCTTGATTAAACCGCCATTTTCTAGGGCCTGTCGAGCTGCCTTGTCCCCAGCAATTGTTTTGTTTGACCCCTGGCCAGATCCAAGGTGTTTATTGCTCCATCCCCAACCCGTGAGGTAAACACCGATATAGAAGGTTTGCATACCCCCCTCATGTTGTATGGGCTTCCTTTCATCAACATATTTCAGTTTAACACCCTTTCCCATTATTTTTTTGGCAAGCTCTTCCTTGGCCTGCGAGGGTGGATGCGATTCCTCAATGGTTGCAAGTTTGGGGGACCATAATTGTGAGAGCCACTGTTCGGCAATATCATAGCCATTGGCATGTGATAGTACAACAGCAGCCACGTAGGCCTCAAAGATATCCCCTTTCGTTTTGGTCCACCGCTTCGGCTGGCTTGAATAATCATGTGGAACTGAAGCTCTTTTGTCGATCCCATACTCGGTGGTATATTCGGCCAGGGTCTCATTCTTGACCAGAAGCTCCCTAATCTGTGAAATTCGGCCAGATGGTATCTGCTGGAATTTGTTCCAGATGAGTTTTGTAGCTATGAGCTCTATATATGCGTCACCAAGGACTTCAAGCCTATCATAACTTATTTTTGGATCTTTGCTCATTCCCGGGTGTGTAAAAACCGCTCTTTCGAGTTTCTTGTCAATAATTTGGGGCAATGGGGGCAGGCTAGAACTTGATGATAAACTTGTCATCATATCACTATTATGACAGATATTTGTAGTCGGTTTGCTGGAAGTAGATGCATGCCGTAGGGCTTGACTAAAGTCCTTGGCTGCTTTTAAAATTTCCGGGCTGGACTTAGCAACACTATCTTCAGAAGTTGCGGTGATTTTGTCGACTATATTCGAGATACTTCGTACATCGTTGGCAACATCCGTGTCCGATAGAAATCCCCGCAGAGGGCCCGTATTGGGGTCATGATCAAGATGGTTTTTCTAGTCCAAAGTCAGCACTGGTGAAGTGTTCCATTTTTGGGGGGTATTTACCTTCGCCCTTGTCAGTACTGAATCACCATGATGCGATGAAAAGACTGACTTGCGCTTCTTATCCATAATGATTGGCAAAACCGGGTGCAACTGCTGGGTTGGAATTCCTAAAGCCTTCCCTTGGGTTGCCAACCATATCAGAGTGACATGGTCACGTGAGATTCAGATAACAACTCTTGCCTATCTCTTCCTGTCATCTAATAATTCGTAACTTCGCACAACCACGAATCATCTTTACCCCCAAGATGGCGGGACAGTACAGCCGGTTGTTGGACTTGGCAAAGGTACATTATGGCCATATTCTTGTCTTTTTGTATCATAACGGTTTTGAATATGACGGGTTAATGAAACAGGTTCAATGCCGGGTGTTCTCCATGAACTTCAACCCCGATGGGCTACGGCTTGGCAATAAAGTTTTGCGACAGAGACTACGAGGCCCAACATTAGCATCGTGGTATCCGAGGAAAGTCGTCTCTTTCCGAGATCTACGAACAACATGCAGCTCGCTGGGTCTGACAGCTTTTGACGAGGTCGAAGATGACAGGGAAGAGGCTATCCAGATGTGAGTCTATTCTGGTCCTGTGACAATACACCCAGTATTACTTACATTTTGAATCAGTGCGAAGTTGAGAGGGAAGGGGAGACCGAAAAAGAAACGAACGGCTGCAGGTAGGGCCGTGGATTTGTATCTTACGAGTTTTTCTCTTCTAGTGGTACTAACTATCGTTTTAGAGTCCCGGAGTGCCAAGAAAAAGAAATAAGCTTGGTTTGTCCTATTGCCTTTTTTTCTGGTATAATAGGCCGTGCCAGTGTTATTAATATATTGTGTTGGGATATTTGTGGTGTTTATGTTTTTAGATGGTTTTTTTACTTTCTATAGGAAAACTGTTAAATTAATATTATCTATAAAAAGCTAGATGAGATCAAGTATAAAGTCCTTTATTTTATATGATTTTACATACATCTCTATATATTTTTAGTATGATATTTAATTATCTATCATGCCCACCAAAACCATGATATACAATCTGCTATCTATAGGGTTCTTCGGCATTTAGAGGTGTTATAAGTAATATAAAAGAGTAGAATATACCTAATAATAAGAAATAGAGTACTATGGGAGCCTGATTTTAAAAAATAAAAATTATTAATAGATTAATGTTAAAATTCTAGGTGTTATTGATGATTTATACATTCATGGTAAAGTTAATAGATTCTCTTGGGATAATAGAGTAAAATAAATAAAAGAACTATTAGTTCAGGATAATTAACTAGCTAGGGACAAGTCTGAATATAAATAATATAAAACATTAACTATGATAAAATAAAGTAGATAATAATATTTAGATATAGTTAAGGGTATTAATATTTTTATTAATATAAATAATAGAATAAATAAAGAGTAGTAATATATATTTATGATAACATCCCGAGATCAGTAAGTATCAAAGCCATTAAAATGCTGATATATAGCCTGAAGACTGACTTCCAGTATAGTTATTTTTCTAAGTCTACCAGCTATCTAAGCATCTATATATAACCTACTAAAATATCAGTAATTATCCTAACCAATAGTAGAGCTACTTGATATCAACATCTCTGATATATATCAGAGCCATTAATATCTCCGAGCATCACGGCAGAGAATCACATGTTTAATTATGGTAAAATATAAAATATCAAATAAAAACTATAATAAAACTGTAAAATTATCAATATAAAGCTAGATATTATAATTAGCATTATACTTTATTTATTAATTAAATTATTCAACAAATTTAATATAGTTTTAAATAATATAATAAATTTATTTATTATCTTATTAAATAAGTAATTAATTTTCTAGTAGAAGATATTAGTAAATAATTATTTATCAATAAAAGTAGAAGAGTTAGAGGATATTTATTTATGAAATTTTAATTTAATAAAGATTAGCTTAAGTTACATAATTAAGATAATAAAATATACATACTAGATATAGAATGATCCTTCCAGTTAATATATAAATTATTTTATATATTTAATAGAACTAATTACCAGTTCTCCTAGCTAAGAACTAGTAGTATAATATATATCTATATAATATCTATAAATAGTAATATATAATAATAATTATTTTTCTTTTAAATAATTATAATTTTATAATTAGTTATTTTAGATAGACTCTATAATTAAAATGTAGAGTAAAAAAAAGAATTTAATAACATTAAACTTAATCTTATAAATCTAAAATCAAATTTATAATAAACATTTAAATTTAATATAATATTATTTTATTAGTATAGATAATTTTAGTAATATAAATAAATATTATATATAGTCTAATAATATTATAATATTAAAATACTATTTATTTTTTATTTATTTTCTCTCTTTTTTCTAGATATCTTACTTTCTATTAATATAATATTTTTTTATATTTATTTAATTTATTAGATAATTTCTTTTATTGTTTTATAATTATCTTAATTTTATAAATCTTACTAATATTTTTCTAGATTAAGTTAAGTATTCTAGTATTATATTATAGATTTATATAGTAATATATTAGTTTAATAGTAAGAACTTTATATTACTATTTTTAAACTATATTTTAAATAATTATATTAATATTTAAAATTTGAATTCTTTTAAATTTTATAATTTAAATAAGCTTTTTACTATTTATTTTACCTAAAAATTTATAAAGATATTATTATTAGAAATTTTACTTATATATAATATACTTATACTTTATTTTTTAATTATTTAGTTCTCTATATAGGTCTATCTAATTAATTTAAGCTTTAAATATATTATTCTATATATCTTTCTATATTAATTATTATTTTTAGTAGTTATTTTTCTTTGTAAATTATATTAATATAATTATTAAAGTAGATAAAGAAGTTTTATAGATTAATTATCTATTCAAAGAACTAGGATTTAAGGGTATAAGTCATATAAAAATATATTTTAATAACTAGCTAGCTTTAAAGCTAGGTAATAATACCTAATTTTATATCTAAATTAAATATATTAATATTACTTAATACTAGATATAGAAGTTAATTTAGAAAGATCTAATATATCTTCTTTATATCTAGATAGATTATTAAATTATAGATAGACTTATTAAGGTATTATCTAAGATTAAGTTTAATAAATTTATTAAAGCTATTAGAATCTATAATCTTAATAACTAAAATATTAAGCTAGGTCTATATAATCTTTATATTTTATATTTAAAAAGCTTTATAAATAGTTAACAATATCTTCTTTAGAGAATATATTAATATTAATAATTCTAGTAAAAAAAAGAGTTCTTTATCTCTAATATTAATATCTAGATAGTAAAGTTAATATTTACTATTTATATAGTAAATAAAGTATTTACTATATAGTTATACAGGAAAACCTTGCTTATTACTAGCATTAGAATAAAAAGAGATAAATAGGCCTTATATAGCTGTATTTTAATAAAAATCATGCACTGTTTTTATGTTGATTATGTAGAGATCTTTCCATAGATAATAGATATACTAATTAGTATATAAATTTATATAATATTTTAAGAGATTTAAATAGTATTTAACTAAATTATTAAATAATAAAATATAAAAAGCTATTCTATACTCTAAAATATATAATAAAATTTATAAAAAGATAGTATAATATATATAAAAATTAAAGAATTATAATATATATATAATATATTTTTTAATAGTTAAATAATTAATTCTAGAATACTAGAGTATATTAGAATTAAATTATAATAAAAAAAGCTTTAGAGGAACCTTAATCTATAATATATATATATTAATAAATAGTATATAAGATCTCTCTAAAAAGAGATAGAATAATAAAAATAATTATAAAGAATTATAAATACTATTATAATATCTAGGAAAAGATAAAAAATATAAAAATATATAAAAATAGTCAAGACTATTATAATTATAGAAAGATTAGTTATATAAAATTATAATATTAATTAATAGTAGAGTATATTTATAAAAAAAATAATATAAAATTTAATAAAATTATAAATAATTTAAAAAATTTAAGAATCTAGTATTTTATATAATAAAAATACTAG